ACGTAAATATAAAACGTAAATATAAAATATAAGATGTAAATACAAAACGCAAATATAAAACGTAGATATAAGATATAAATGTAAGACGCAAACGTAAGATGTAGAGTAGAGATGTAAAATATAAATGTAAATTGTAAAGTAGAAATATAAATAGAGATATAAGATATAGATATGAGACGTAGACGTAAGGTGTAAAATAGAAATACGAAAGTAAAAATGTAAAGCGGAAATATAAAGTAAAAATATTAAATAGAATAAAAAATAAAAAAGGAAGGTAGTTTAATTTAATATAGGATATTAATAAGGCGCTAGGTAGAATGTAGCCTGTATTTTCTATTATTACCCCAAATAAAAAAATCTTTAACGGCGTCTATTATTATTAATATAGGATTAAAACCTATAACTTTAGGAGGAATATTTTTGCGCGCTATTACGCTTATTAATAATATTTGTAAATACTACCTTATATTATCTATTTATAATCTTCCTTTACGAATTCTAATAATTTATTTAATTTCCTATTTATAAATGTTAACCTCCTATTAACCGTCTAATACTAAGGACCCTAATTATAATTAAGGGAGGAGGTAATACGAATAGGAGAATTTAATATTAAAATATTTATAGGAGAATTACTATTACTAGTAATAAAATTACTAATAGGGGTTACTAAATTAATATTAGTATTAATATCGCCGATGCTATAGTAGCCAAATTTCGAATAGCCTTTACAATCGAAGTTCCTAATTTAAAATATACTAAATAATATTATAAAGAGACTATTATTAATAAAGCGCGTTTATATTGTAATTTAAAATACTATTACGGATTAATGTAATTATTATAAGAGGGAGGCGGGTAGGGGGCTACTAATATTAATAAAACGTATAATTTCAACTATTATATTCTATATATTATTCCGGAGATTACAAATATTACGGAGGATTTTAAGTATATAGCGGCGTAGCGATAGCGAATACTACAATCTTTTGTTAAATTTTGGAAGGAGAAGACGTTAATAGTAAAAAAAAAAAAAAAAAAAAAAAATAGGGGAGATAATAAAGGGAAGATAGCGTACCTTTGGTTTAGTAGGTATATGTATTAATTAAACGGAATGCTTCGTATAGGTTTAGGGTTAGGGCGTTAGCAAATACTTAAGTTAAAGTAATATTATATCTTAAATAAATAAAGGAGTAAATATTATTAAAAAATAGGAAAGGAGTAGTTAATTAAAAGTTAATTATAAGTATAAAGTAAGAGGAAGGAGAGGATAGAGTAAAAAGGAAGAAAATAGGGAGGAAAAGCGAATATATTAATCAGATTTATAAGGGAAATAGAGATTAATATGTAAATATATAGTAAAAATATGTATATCCGTAGTAGGGGCTAATTTAAGCGAAGGGGTAGGCGAGGCAGCCGTAGAGCTAGGGGAGGGGGTAATAAATATAATTATAAAAATAAGAATAGAAGGAAGAAGAAAGGAGAGGTAAAGAGGGTAGGCGGAAGGGACGTTATATAAACGAAGGAGGAAATCCCTATACGAATATAAATTAAAATAGGCGAATATAATTTAAAGTAAGCGAATATAAAATAATATAGGGTAAATAGAGTATTAGGCAATTATATAAATAATAGGAGGGGGTAAATGGAAAAATAAAATAAAAGTAATAATTAAAAAGGGAAGGATAGGATAAATAAATAATAACGGCGGCCGTAAGAAAGTAGAAAAAAAAGGTAGAAAATAAAAAGGTATATAATTTGAATTATAGTAGGGAGAGCGGAGGAAACGGTTAAGAATTATACTATTAGAATAGAGGGAGTAATATAAAGAATAAAACGAGGGTAATAAGAAGGTAATTAGGAAGGAATAATATAAATAAAGGAAATTTATAGAGGAAATAATATATAAAATTATAGGAGGCGGAGGAAGGAAATAAAGGTCCCGAGGATGGAATTTATAGAGAGGGGAATTGCATTTAAATATTATAATAAATTATAATAGGTACGAACAATAGAGAATAACCTACGAAAAGAATTTCGGATTTTAATTATATAGGTATTATATAGTAAATGTAAATAATAAAGGGTACCCTATAAAAATATTAAATTATATTGCGAGTACGGATAATAGAGAGTATTTAGTAAGAGGAATTATAGGGCGTATTTATATTAGTATTTTAAAGTACTTATTAATACTCTTAAATTTAGCGTAGTATTCTTTATTAAGTAAAATAAAGCTTACTATTTTGTATGCTTATAGGATAACGGTTTTAATAATAGTCGGGAACCCGGCTAACTTTTTAAATTTAATAACAGTTTTATGTCCGTATTTAGAATTTATAAAAATGGATATTATAATACTAATATTCTAGCGGGCGGAATACTAACGCTTTATATTTAATATTAGTTTCGTATCCGTATTGGAATTTACGAGAATAGATATTATAATACTAATATTCTAGCGGGCAGTACGTTATAAGAATAAATATTATAATACCGATATTTTGGCGGACGGAATGCTAGACGTTTAAGCTTAATATTAGTTTTGTATTTATATTTAAAATTATAAAAATAGATATTATAATATTAATATTCTAGCGGGCGGTATATTAGCGTTTTAAATTTAATACCGGGTTTGTACTTATATTTAGAATTTATAAGAATAGATATTATAATGCCGATATACCGGTAGACGGAACGCTAACTCTTTAAATCTAATGTCGGCTTTATAACTACATTTGGAATTTACGAGAATAAATAATATAATACTAATACTCTAGTAAGCAATTCGCCAGTAATAGAGCGGCTATAATTTAGAATATAATATTAATAATTATAGCGAATAATATCTAATAATATTACGGTACTTAATATTTATTATAAAGGTTCTGAAAATAGAATTTATAAAGGGGGGGTTATATTAGGAAACTAAGAGTTCGTATATAGAGGCACCTTAGTAGTTATTATTCCCCTTTATTAATAGAAGCGTAGGATTATTTATAATAATGCTTATATTGGATTAGACTTACGGAAAGGATAATCTAGTACTGTATTGAGGCGTTAAACTAGTATAAAACTCTATAATGTTCGTTAGTGGAGGAATAGAGTTTGTATAAATATAAAAGAGGTTTAATGGAGCGTATTTTATTATAATCGGTAATTATTAATATATTTTTGGATTAACCCTTAATTTACCGTCCCCTACGTATAGCTACGACCGTAGTTACCTCAACCTACCTTTCGCCTACGTTCCTGACATATAAGTATATTAAGATGAAAGTCGTTTGTATATAGTAAAAGCTTAATTATTTATAACCATTTATAACTCTCAGGCTGGAGGGAAGCTACAAAAAAGCTCTATAGCTTTCTGGCAGGTACCGCGGAATTAATTTTCGCCGAGCGTTTGGCCTTGGATCGTGTCGGCCAGTGACGTTTCGGTGGCATAGGGGCGACCATTCCATTCGAATTCTACCCAAATAGTCAGGCGCCGCGTCCGAATCTAAGCGCGGAGGAAAATGGATTCAACGACTCACTTTGGCGGCACATGGGGCATTGGCCTTTGGCAGAGTCCTGTTTTATCCACTCGAGGATACAATGCTGTTGTGTTGGTCAACGAGAAAGCGAGGAAAGAGGAAAGATGGAAAAGAAACAGCATACCATGTGAAAGTTGTGACCGCATTTCCCAGACACTGGGAACATACGCGCCAGATGGTCAGCTGGATATCGTGTCATCGAAGGACTTCACTGGCGTCTTACACAGGCTGCACTCGTCGCCCGGGTATTTGCAAGTCGGGCATGTGCCATCAAAGTGGACCTGGCAGATGCCGCAGACATCGTCTTCTGGGAGATCCCATCGCCAAGTCGCGACGGCGTTCCACTTTTTGATCTTAACCTTCATTTCGACTGTCTTTTTGAATCTCTTCGTTCGATGCGAGCGTGAGACCAGAGAGATCCGGGTTGCAGTTGCTTATCAGTGCGTGGTGATATCCGATCCGACGTCAAAGTCTCGACGTAAGTGTGTAGGGAAATGTTAGATGCCCGTACCAAACGGCCGATTAACAACGAAACAGGAAATGCACTTGCTGAGGTGGGCGGTTATTGACCCGTTGCAAATGGCATACCAGGGTTGCCATACTTGAAGCTAGCACTTACGTACTGCTAGCGCCAGGCAGCGCACTGTTAAGTATAAGGAAGCAGGACCTCAGCTGTTTCTTCTACTACGCAGTACCGTATGTAAGTGTACTATGTAGGTAAAGTATCGGTCAGTGTGGCCCAAGCTCTCTGAAAGCATCTCTAAAACATTTTGGATGAAAAGCTAGGTACCTACGGTAGGTACCTACCTAGGTAGTAGCCCAGTCTGTAATACAGCGCCGAGCCCAAGGGGCCCCTGCACATTGCACCATATTGATTGCTGGGCGTCCACCTAGGTACCTCCATCGCTGGCATGAACAGCCAAGGTCCTATGCTAAAAGTTATGACAAAGGCAGTCTAAACCCCGCATCCACAGTCCTCATCCTTGGGCTACTGACGAGATTTCGGCTTGCTGGGTCCCTTTTTTTTTTTTTTTTTTTTTCTTCGGTTTCCTTTCCTCTCCTCAAGGCCCTTTCTTTTTCTTTTTTTTTTTTTTTTTTGTCTTTTCTTTGCTTGCCAGCTTGTAGACATGCTAGATACCTCAAGTGACTGAGACTGCTACGACCAAGCTCGTTTTCTGCGCACTCAATTTCCGGGCCGTAGTCCGAACACCAGGAACCAGGCAACGCCAAATCTACTTGCCCTCTCTCAACCTCTGCTTCTACGTCTAGTAGGTACCTTGCATCGGGCCATCTGTCGCTTGTCTCGACTTGCTCCAAACAAAAGCACCGCCGAACATCAACTTCGGCTGCGGCACTACGAAAACCCCTTATCGCCGCCTTGCTTCTCCATAAAGGTAGCCCGGCGCATCCTCGACACAACCTATCACTACCGACAACAGGTAGACAGCACAAAGTGGAATATTCAAAATGGCTCGCGTGGGAGTCATAAGCCCCCTTCGGGCCTCGATGCGCTCGACTGCCGCCAAAACGGGGGCTGTCCGCTGCTTCTCAAGCTATCTAGTTACCCCCAAGGAGCTGCACGAAGCCCTCAAGAAAGCCCCTCCTTCTCCCATCTCATCCGAACCCCGTGTCATTCCTCTATGCGCCTCCTGGTTCCTTCCAAACGACCCACAAAAGCGCACCGGCCTCGACGTTTTCATCGAAAAGAGAATCCCTAAGGCACGCTTCTTCGACCTTGACAAGGTCATCGATAAGCGCAGCCCTTACCCCCACATGCTACCCAGCTCCAAAGACTTTGCCGCTGCCATGAGTGAGCTCGGCATCCGCCGCGAAGACACTGTTGTCATCTACGACAGCCAAGAGCTGGGCATCTTCAGCGCCCCCCGTGTTGGCTGGACCATGAAGGTCTTTGGCCACCCCAAGGTTCACATTCTCAACAACTTCAAGCTATGGATCGAGGAGGGTCTCCCTACCGAATCCGGGAACGTCTGGACGATTGAGTGCGGGACATATCCCATTCCCGAGATGAATGAGGACAAGGTCGCAAGCTTCGAGGAGGTCCGTCAAGTTGCCATTGACTCCAGTAAAGAGGGCTCCAAGAGCGTGCAGGTCCTGGATGCGAGATCGCCCGGTCGCTGGAGTGGCACGGAGCCGGAGCCGAGACAGGGTCTGTCCTCGGGCCACATGCCCGGCTCCATCAACATTCCCTTCAGTGCTGTCTTGGACCCCAGCACCAAGGCCTTCTTGCCAGCCGACAAGTTGAAGGAGGTCTTCGCCAGGGCGGGCGTTGATCCATCAAAGCCCATCATCTCCAGCTGCGGAACCGGCGTCACGGCCTGCGTCCTTGAAACAGCGCTCAACGAGGCGCAGTTTGGATCGCCTGAGAAGAGAAAGGTTTATGATGGAAGCTGGACGTAAGTGCTTTTGAATAACACCCTCGATCTCCATCAAAATCATGCATCCATGACTAACTCCGTGTAGTGAGTGGGCGCAACGGGTGAAGCCTTCCGAGTCGCTAATCGAAAAGGCCGAATAAGCGGAGAGAAAGGAGTATGAACAGCTCTCGCCTTGGAGACCGGCCGAGCAAACAGCGTGGCGTCGAGTCGTCTTCCCTCTTTACCTTCTTCTGTACATGTTGCGCCTTGGCCATCGAGGCTAGCTGGGACTGTGGTAGACCAGTGTGCTTCGTGGGCGTGCTGCGCCTATTGGGTGGAAAATGAATATTGTCATTGGTGGTGTTCTAGGCGTTCGGAGGGAAACCCTTGAAGGTTGTGTAAACATGCATTAAAGCGGGTTCTTGAGTCAAACAATTCCATTGCTTTTGGGAGTGCAACGAAAGCGTACTTGGATCGGAATCCTACATGAACCTTGCGGGCAGCCTCCCAAGTGGCTGACGTCATTTCCGCTGGTTTGCCTCTGTTTTAACTCATTCACCATCATATATGACAGCACATATCCTCTTCGGCCCAACCTACCTGCACAAAGCATGACGGAGCGGCCTACAACGTCAGAGGTATTGTTATGCTCCCCCTAAGACGGGCGCATGTCCTGACATCCGAGCACGTTCGTGTACTTTGGACCACCACCAGTCGCAGATCAACTGCTCGAATACTCCAGCACACGGCTTGCACTATGAAGCGGCTTGCATCTTCGTTCACGGAATCTCAAAGCTCGAAACGGGCACGGATAGGATCGCCAGCCAGCCATGGTAGCGGCGAGGCCCCAGGAGCCAACTGGCCTGCCAAAAAGGAGGAGATTGAAGCGGCGAGACGCCTTATTCTTGAATGGTCTGATCCCAACCGCACTCCGCTTTGTTTGCATGGCTGCTTATACTTAGTAGTGCTACCGCCAAATCCAGAACGCTCATCGTTCCTGACAAGGACGCGGATGGACTCGCATCTGGCTCAATCCTTCAACGGACTCTCGTCCTTCTTGGCCTGCCCTCAAGTCTTATTACCACTCACCTCGTCCGAAGAGGGAATAACATCCACGACCCTTCGGAGCGGACGGCCATGACAAAGCTGTCTCCATCGTACGTCTTCGTCCTGGACCAAGGCTCCCGGCGCTCCTTGCCTGTTGTCAATATCTCGAACCACAGAGCCCTTATCATCGACCACCACCAGGCTGCCGAAGACGAGTTTCCGTCTGGTTCTCAGCATGTCACTGCCTGCAACTTCCCGCCTATATCTACATCTGCCCTACTAACCTACCTCATATGCCGTCCTCTTCACCCTGCCATTGAACAGCAGTGCGCGTGGCTGGCCGTTCTTGGTACGCATGGAGATTTGGGCACAAACTTTAAGTGGCAACCGCCCTTTCCCGATATGGGTGTCGTGCTCAAGAAGTACACGCGCAAAAGGATCAACGACGCAGTCTCTCTTATCAACGCACCGCGCCGCACAGCCGCATATAACGTCCATGCCGCATGGGAGGCACTGACGGAGGCCGTCAGCCCGGTCGATCTGCTCGCTAACAAGGCGCTCTTGGCGGCAAGGGTAGAGGTCAACGCCGAGGTGGAACGGTGCACACACGTCCCGCCCAGATTTTCGAGCGATGGGCGCGTGGCGGTTTTGAGAATGAATAGCAAGGCACAGGTGCATCCGGTCATTGCGACGAGGTGGGCGGGACACTTGAAGAGTGCTAGGCTTGAGGTGGTGATGGCTGCTAATGAGGGGTATCTGGAAGGGAATGTGAACTTTTCGTGCAGGGTGGCCAAGTGTGCAAAGGAAAGGAGTGGCGGAAGGGGGGAGGTGAACATCATTGAGCTGTTAAACGGCATCGTAAAAACGGCCGGTGATTCGAGTCTGAGGGATAGACTTGGAGATTCTTTTGCGAGAGGACATAAGGAGGCTAGCGGGGGAATTGTACCCACGAAGGAGTTCGAGGAGCTAATGGCATTGATGGAGGTTGGCGCGGGAAGTAGGAAGAAAAAGGACCTGGCGACACCGGAAAAGAGAAAGGAAAATACTATCACGAATTATTTCCTCAAAAAAGCTGGTCCTCAAACGGACTAACGAGGTCCTGGTCACCTGCAGGTGCGAACATTTGCTGGTAGATAATTATACAATCTATGTACAACATCTAAAAACATAACTATTTAAGTCAACCATCTCCAGATTACCACTTGTATTCTGCCAGCTCGTACTCCTTTTTGAATACACGATTCAGGTTAGCATCCAGACTCATAGGATGGGTAAGACACAGATAAAGCAGCTCACCTTTTCGCCAGAGGCATATGTTGTTGCGGTCGGAGCACCCGAAATCTGAAAGAGCCAATAGCTGATATTGGTCACCCTCGAACAGTTCGCCCCATACACCGTCTGTTCGCTGGAGACGACACACCAAGTACGCGGGGCATCATAGCCGCCGTGCAACACGGATGGGCGTTTAAAGGGTCAATAGCCCCACGCAAGGTCGAGGCTAGCTCACTATCCTCATTGATGTGCTCGGCGAAGGGTGTCAGCAACCACTAGTGCTACCATATCTGGAGCACTCATCGCTCTCTGTTCTTACGGAACCTCGCAGTTGAGACCTCAATGTCTCCTGGATCGGTAACGACACGATACCTAATTATCCAAGGGATTCTTCGGGGGACTTAGTCGACTTGATGATCACGGCGCCTCAGCTGAGAGGCTTATTCATATAAGTTGTCACGCCATCGGTCGTGTCCCAGTACAGCGAGCCAATACCGGCCTTTCCATACTCGTACTGTTCCAGAATGAGCTTTCGTTGGGCGCAGTGTAACCGGTCAGAACCAGTAAGGCATCCCGAGTCAGCTTCACTGAACCAGAGGCCTGCTGAAGACACATTGTCCTTATTGGTCCTCTCATGGCTGACGGATGGACTTGCCGCGAGGGTAGCATGTGCCATGTAACCCTTAGTCTCGCTCAGTCGCCCCAGCAAGGGAATCTTTGAGCCAGCGGTTTCCTTGCCGAAGGCTAATCCCTCCGGGAGACGTTGGGATAGAGTCGAGGCTTCCTGAGACTTAGTCCTGCCTGAGGAGGTTACAGTTTTCAACAAAATGAGGTTCGGTGGACAGCGACTGGCATGCTCGACTAGGTTGGAACGCAACAGACCGGACAAATATCTTCAACCCTATATCTTGTATGAGAAAGCCTTGTGGATACATGAATGATGTTATTTCGAAGCTGATATGTTTCCGGAAAGTAGAGAAGCCCGAGTAAGATAGCTTTTCCGGTAGACCGGGCTGTACAGCATGGGGGAGAAAGAAGCTCGATCTTCATGACAGATTTGTGACTACGAACTCTAGAGGTAGATGAGATCTTAGGCCGTGTTCGTTCCGGCAGTAGTACAGTAACGGAAGCATTCTTTTAGTAGCAGAAAAGCTTTGGATTAGGGTTAGAAGAGATCCCCTTACTGCACTACTGCCACAACGAACACGGCCTTAAGCGACGGGAACTGTAAACACTCCTGCATCTTGCTGCCTTGCATCAACCATCCACGGCAGCTGGTAGGAGTTTCGAATGTCTGAGGACCTATTCTGAACTTCCGATGTCTAAACATGTAGATGACCAGGAACTTGACGACTTCGTAAACTTCTTATGGGGTAATCCTCAATCGTCGAAACATTGTCCCATACATGCATGGCACAAACGTCTGGATGCAAGGAATGATGGCATTACCTATTCACATTGATCACGAAACTTTGACAACATGATCAAGATACATACGAAGTAACAGTGGATAAACAATCAAGGCAGAAAAAGAGACTAGTAAACAATCAAAAAATGCGTTGATATCCAAAAAGCCTGATTCATTCTTAACGTTGTGACACAGCATTACTACTACTACTACTACTACTACTGCTAGTATACAATTTCAAAGAGGAATATCAACGATTGCTTGAGGGTTTTTTTTTTTTTTTTTTTTTTTTTTTTTTTTTTTTTTCCACCTTCAGAAAAACCTTCAATGAAAATTGAATGATAATGGAAAGCGAACCATTCTACATACTTTGGCCAGACAGGCCTAACAAATCAAGAAATCACTGCAACAACTAGCTGCCTCCGAACTCGCCCGCTAAACACTCTTTTCCCTTCTCAAGACAAACCAGTCGGGTCTCCAACACCCTCTCCGACGCATTGATAGCATTTTCTCCCTCTCTGATCCACGACGACTCGTCTTTTCGAAGTTCCTAACACAGTCTCGTCCTTTCTGAACAGATTGATACAAACCCACAACGCACCCAATAGGAGCGGCAACACAACAATCCAAATCATTGCCTTTCTCATCTTCATGACGACCCCTCTTCTCCTTTCCCACCTGCTGCGTCTCCTACCCCCGCCTGAATCACTTTCATCCTCGTCCCTTTGCTGCCTCTCACGGCCAGAACGGTCACTGTAGGCGTGATCAACCCTATGAATTCGCGAGAACTGATTCTCGGACTCCTCTCTGTTCTCCTCCTCCAACTCCTGCCCGTCGTCGTCGTCGTCGTCGTCGTCGGAAAAGGGATGGTACTGCGGGACACCGTCGGTTGAGTCACGATATGTGCCGTAGAATGGAGGGTGGTTCAAGTTGAGGGCTGGGAGGGACTCGTAATGGATGTGTAGTACATGGTTAGGGGCTGTTGCTGTAGAGCGTAGATTTATGGCCACGGGAGCGTGCTCATTGTGAGCATCATTCTGGCTGTTTTTGCTAATGTTGTGGTTGTTGCTGTTGTTGTTGTTGTTGTTGTTGTTGTTGTCACTGCTGTCGTTGTTGTCGGCGGTGTCGTTGCTGTTGTGACCGATGGTAGCGTTGGCATTCTGTGTAGTGTTGTTCGACTCAGACTGCTGAGATGAAGAGGCCATCGCGTGAGAAAACTAAGAGTCGTGATTAGAAAACCCCGCTATGTGAGAAGTCCAAGAAAATCTATGTTGTACGCATTGCTCAGGGAAGCCTACACTTGAAATTGGCTCGTACGATGCCGAAGTGTCAGCGAGAACTAAGGACACCCTATTCGGAGATGAGCTGGATGAGCTGGATGAGTTCGGCGAGCTAGAGAGCATGGCCTTGATTTGATGACTGTTGGAACCTCTATACCCTATCCTCAACTCGGTTGGGCAGAAACAATCTTGTCTGCTTTCTTAAGAAGTAGCTAGAAAGGTGACAAAGAGTCGATGAGATGTTATCGCAATTCGAAATGGTAAAACCTGGAATAGTTGCAAAGGTTGCTAGTTCAGACAGATATTACGAACGCATGCTGGCTAGGGCCATAACCTAACTTGAGCATGCTACCAGGTCAGGTCGTGAATGAACTGCACTTCGACTGGAGGCCGAAGGTCGAAAGCACTGTATATGTAGGAACTTGAATGGCAATTCCTCAAGTTTAACAGCACCGGTGCCATTTTCGGGGATGTGACATTGTTCGGGTGAGAACGGAAATTCGTCATGCCATAGTTGAGACCTCTGGTCTGGCTATGTAGGTCTGACAAGTTTATGAATCGGCAGAAAATATGAGCAAGAGTGGGCGATGGGAGATACAAGAACGGCGAGATGGGGAATAGACAACATGACAAGAGGCAGTTACTGGTTGCCATGCTGTGTCACCAAAGGCTACTAGATGCAACCAAGCACAATGTTGTGAGCATACAGGTAGCCGTCTATTTGCTGCACTCATGGACTCGAGCTGCACCTGGCGTGCTATACAAAGCTATTCCATCTTTTGCTACTGCAGCAGATCCGGCCGCCCACACACCCTTTACTTGAAGCATGGCAATATCAGCATACATGAGAAGGTTGCTCAGGATTGAAACGATATTGTTCGAACCTCCGAACACTTGGCAGATCTTAGTGGTACTCCTCGTTTGGCCGGATAATTTATGGGATTTCAGCTGAATTATACCACTAATTAAGAGACCTATGAGTATAACGAGGCGATCCATGCGCCGCAGTATGGAGCCTGTAAGAAAAGACTCAAGGCAGCTAGAAGGGGATGGGATATCCTGTGATAAGCGAAGGCAGACGTGGATATCAAGAAGGATAATTTAGCCTCACGGTCAGAACAAGATGGAGAACCCTACCGGCTTTGTCTACATACCGTATCCCTTGAGTAGTTTAGGCACTTGCCGCTTTTCACAACAACCCTTTCGACTGAACTGAGTTGTTGTCTTCGCACCAAGTTATTTGTGATGTGCGTCTGCTTGTCGGAAATGTTCGCCACGCCGCTCTGTTAATTGGCTTCTGGTACTGTCGGAAACTTGGCCCAAGCCGATGTTCGTTGTCTCTCAAGAATCTGTATCGGACGTGGAGTTGGATTATTGAGATTAGACGCAATTTCCACAGTTCGCGGTTCGCTGAGCGTGCTTTGACCAGTTTGCTTTGACCAATTTGCTGGATAAGTTTGTTGTGGGGTGTGTAGGGTACGGCGGTAACACCTCGCGCAACCTGAGTCTTCACGACGGTCGAGGAATGAGGAGTGAATACTATGGGGGCATTGTGACAGTCGCTGGTCCGAACATCGCCAGGCTGAGACGAGTTGGGTTGTACCCTTCTGCTTTATCTTTGACTTGAGTTCGCTATGGTGTTGATCGGCTTCAGCTCAGTTTCCACTGGTCTCTGTTTCGTTGGGCATGTCTTTTCAGAGGGTAGAATTAAGGACTGCCTATGGTCGCCCGATGGGCTGATGGCCAGGGAAGGAGAGGGCCGAGCTTCAAGAACCTGTAATTTCGGGACATCTGTCTCGTTATGCAACCAGTTGAGCACATGGTTGGCCACATCGTTGCTGTTTTTCTCCAGGAAGCAGAGGTGTCCATTTCCACGGATTCCATGCTCCTCGAGTCTGTGATGCTTGACGGTAGCCCCGGCCTGACGAAGAAAATGTACCGTTGCCCAGTCCGAGAAACGGTGGAAGCTCGCTTCCGTTGTTACCACAAGTTGGAGGATTTCGATCAGATTCGTGAGCTTCCGGGGCTCTGCCCTGGATTCGGTGGGATTTCCAGCAGGTAATCCAGCAAGGTCTTGTTCGAAGCAGAACTTGCCTTGCCGACCCCTTGCGTAATACTTGCTGACCGGGATGGGTTCAAAAGCTGGATATGTAGCACCAAACAGCTCCTCGAATGACTCTGGTGCTGCAACCGGTGGGTCAAACTGCATCGGTATATCCGCCAGGCCATATTGACGAATGCCGGCAGCCCTTGTGAACGTGCTCGTCGGTCCCAGTTGTCCATTTATGTTCCCAAGAGCAGAGCCAAACGGAGGCCCGAGTGGCTCGACTGCAACGATTGCATGGATGAGGTCAGGGGCCACATCGGCTACCAGCCAGGCAACGTTGGCGCCGCTGCCTTGACCGACAAGGATAGCCGGACGCTTCAGGAACCGCAAGAGACTCGCAACTGCCTCTTGAGCGGCTGCCTGGCGCTCGTGGGGGTCCATATACAATGGAACCAGTTGTTTGAAATATTCGTCAAAAAAGGGATCGCCCCGAACGCCGCTCTGGGTTTTGTTCTAGCTATCAGCCCGAGACTGTCCAATGATGGTTTCTAACACTTCATATACTTACTCCTGGCCACTGTGTGTGCGTCTTTGCCGCTGGCCATTCTGGGTTGTTGGTCTTGTTGATGGCCGTGTATAGGTTCTCGACGGTCTGAGGGGTGATGGCTTTCACTCGTTCGTAGTGAACCAAGGCACCGGAACGGCCATGAAATGGCAGATGCGGAGCATAGACTCGATGACCGCGCTCGGCAAAGAAATAAGCCCAGCCCGGGCGCCTGTCAGGCTTAGTGAGCCACACCTGGCGCAAACCACACTTGGTTAGCCTAACCCCAGAAAGACGGGGGAAACCTGTTCCTGACTGATGCTGTATGATAGTCTCCGTGAAGGAGGATTATGGGCATGAGATTTTTACGGATGACAGTAGGCGTCAAGCTCTCGACGCGCATCTGGCCTATGGAAAACGCGCCTGGAGGGCAAGTGGCAACCGTAGGTGGCACTTCACGGTGAGGTTGTGCCATTAGGATGAATCTCGAGGGGAAAAGGGCATGTCCTCGTTGCGAAGAAATCGACTGAAGGCAAGTGGCAGTGTTGAAGTTGCTCGGTGGTGGGGGAGGATATTGATGAGGAAGAAAAGGAGAAGACAAACGCAGCTGGAGTTTAGGCCACGAAATGGCGAATGCTACACAGCTTGTCAATGCCAGGTAGAATGAAAGCAATGACTGAAACCAAAGGTAGGGATCAAAATCAGCGGGAAAAGGGATGAAAGTAAAGTGAAAGCAAGTTCAAACGAGAGAACCTACTTAGTCTCAACCCCCTTCTTCCTCGGCTATAGCCTATTCACAACGGAAAACATTTTCTATTTGCGCTTGATTCCGTCAACACTTTGCATCCTTTCCAAAGTCCTCATGCACAGTGGCTATAACTCATCCCTCTCATCAGTAACTTGTCCCTTCAACTTGGCCAGACCCTCGTTCAGCGCGGCCAGGTGCTCGTAGTTGGGGGCATCTTCGCCTAGGCCCCAAGCAAAAACGCCTCCCAGCCGGCGCTTCTCCATGACCTTGGGGAACTTTTGCTTGATGGCATCCGGGGTATCGAACGTCCACCACAGTGCCTCGGTGGGGTCCCAGTAGTAGTAGCCGCCCTGGTCATGGTCGTAAACTCCCTGGGCTAGAGCCCTATCATAGGAAGCACGGAGATGCTTTGGCACGTCGTCGTGCCAGGAAAAGGCACCAGAGCGGCCCAGATCGGCTCCCGATACGGGATCTTCCATCTCAACGGTGGGGCAGCCCACTGGTGACGTTTGGGCGCAGGCGTCTTGCTCGGTCTTGAAGTATTTGAGGTAAAAGGCAAAGCCGAGGTTCAGCTTCTGGGGGGCGGCACCGGCGGCCACGTAGGCATCGACGGCCTGGAGGCTCAGCTCGACGCCGGTGTGGTGCTTGGTGACGGTGTCGCGACGGTTCATCATGTCGTACGTCATGACGTTGAGAAAGTCGACATGGCGCATGATGCGGGGGACGGTCTCGCGGGTGAAGGCCAGCATGTCGCGGTGCAAGCCCGGAACGGCGGCTGAGATGACCTTGTCGGGGCCGAGGGCAGCGCGCAGTTCCTGGAGCAAGAGGGGGTAGGCGGCAATCTCCCAGCGCTTGTCCGAGTTGGGGATTTGCTTGTAGTCTTCACCGTTGCCTCCGGGGTACTCCCAGTCGACGTCGACACCATCAGCGCCCGTGGCCTCCACCATCTTGGCAACATTGGCGGCGAACAGAGTGCGCGTTTCGTCGTTCAAGGCGGCCACGGAGAAGCCAATGGTGTCGCCCCAGCCGCCAATGGCGATCAAGACCTTTGTGTGGTTGGGGAAGCGGGGGCGGACATGATGGACGGTGGTGAACAAAGGCCATTCTTGGTTCAGAGGATCGTTGAAGATGCTGGGACTCATGAATGCCAGGGCAACATGCGTGACATGGTCGAGCTGGTCGATTTGGGGCGCAACCGGGTGCTGGCTGCGATTGAGGGAAGAAATCAGCTGTGCAGTGGTTGAGTGACGAGCACTTGAACATACCCAGTCAGATACATGATGCACCGAAGAGGGCGGCTGGTGGCGGCCATGACACCGGAGCCGCCCATCATGGCCAGCATCACGGCGCCCAAGAGCAGTGGAAGCTTGAGGAAGATCATCACAGGGATATTTTCGATGCGTTGCAAAGATGGGGAAATCGGTTAGAGATATACTATGGTGATAGGTGTATGAAGAAGGTGCCAGGAAGCAAGGTAAAGGAATGGATGATGGATGGGTTGGGCATCTTGACGGGTCATCGTCGCAGTCATTCATTCAATGTGCAGTGCGTGTACTGTCGTGTGTTGGCGTCCAGTAGTCGTCTACAAGTACATAGTGTGAATGAAGCTTGATTGGGGACCTTCTCCAAACCAGGAAGAGGTGGATGCGGTGACGACATCCATAACATCCATTGCATCCCGGCGGGCCGTTCGTCTCTCAAGGCTCAATCTTACACTACCTATGAGTGAGTGGCTCTGGCATAGGCGGCTAGGGATCTCTACGCACAGACTCCACTGGTATGTACCACCTCGTACACTGTTTGGTATAGTACATAGGTAGATTCCCGTCAAGGACCTTGATGGCACGGCGGGGGCTTTAGTGTACTGTCGGCGCCAAGCCGGACTGGGCAAGATCAAAAAAGGGCGACGAGACCCGAGCTCCAAGTGTGGGAACAAAAAAAAAAAAAAAAAAAAAAAAAAAAAAAAAAAAAAAGAGGGAGCTTTCCGTCACCTGCTTGTCGGCAACGGTGTGTACTTACCTACCTATCCGTCCGTACCTCATTCTCGCTACAACTCAATTCACCGAGGCCCACATCGTATGTCTGCACCGACCTGACTGACCCAGACGCAGCAACAAAGCCAACCGCAACAGCAACAGTAAAACAGAGAAACAAGTCATGCTGGAAAACCTCTGCACCCTGCCGCTCTCGGCGGACCTGTTCACGCAGGTGGTGCACCCCTCCAAGCCTCTGCTTACAGTCGGCCTATCCAACGGCCGCGTCGAGACCTTCCGCATCCCAACCAACGAGGACAGCGACGACGAGGACGAGAACAGCAGCATAACCGGCGGCAAGGGTGTCATCAAGAGTGTCTGGAGCACCCACCGCCACAAGGGCAGCTGTCGCACTCTGACTTATAGCACCGATGGGGAGTGTAAGTTGGCCTGATACGTATCAATCAACCTGGGTACAGCGCCCGCTAACCAGATTCGCCGTCCCAGCCCTCTACTCGGCCGGTACCGACTCCATCGTCAAGCACTTCTCTCCCGAGACCGGCGTCGTCATCTCCAAGATCGGCCTGCCCCCCGTCAACAGTACCAGCAGTCAGAGCGATACCCCTGCCATCCTCCACACCCTCTCGCCCCAGACCCTGCTGCTCGGCACCGACTCTGGCTCTCTCTACATCTTCGACCTCCGCGAGAATGGCTTTCTGAACCCCAAGCCCGTCCGCAAGCATGTCCCCCACTCCGACTACATTTCCAGTCTGACCCCTCTTCCCCCTTCGTCTGAGAGCACCTCTGGTTTCCCCAAGCAGTGGGTTTCTACCGGCGGCGCCACCCTGGCCGTCACCGATCTGAGACACGGCATCATGGCCACCTCGGAGGACCAGGAGGACGAGCTGCTGTGCTCGACAGTCATCCCCACCGGCTTGGGTCCCAAGCACATGCGCAACAACGCCGTTCTGGCTGTCGGCACTGGCGGGGGTGTCTTAACCCTATGGGATCGTGGCGCCTGGGATGACCAGCAGGAACGCATCTATGTGGCTCCCGGAGAGACCAAAAGAGACGGAGAAAGCCTCGACGCTATTGTCCGTGTTCCCGACGAGCTCGGCTGGGGCAAGAAGGCCGTGGTTGGCGTCGGCGACGGCACCATCAAGATTGTCGATCTGAAGCGCAGAGAGGTCCAGACTACATTCCAGCACGACGAGGTCGAGGGCGTTGCTGCTTTAAACTTCGACTACGAGAACAGGCTGATCAGTGGTGGCGGCAGGACCGTCAAGGTCTGGGCCGAGGCGGGTTCCGCCCAAGAAGACGAGGAAGAGGAGGAGGTGGTGGAAGCCGACCAAGGTGTCAAGCGACCGGCCGGCAGCGACGACTCGGACGACGATGACGGGAGCGATAGCGACAGCGACCGCCCCAAGAGGGAAAGAAAAAAGAAGCGGAGAAAGGGCAACAAGAAGGGTAAACACGGTGGTCCTTCCGTTTCGTTCCCAGGTTTGGATTAACCAGCTTACAAACAGCGCTTTGTTTGGCAATACCCATCTCTTACCACTTTGCCTTTCCACCGTCCATTGCCGGTAGTTCTGAGCATGAAGGTGATCGTTTCGAGAGCTGACAGACAGGACCGAAATGACAATTGATCAGCGAAACAACCATCGTTACCCCTTCCAACCTTGGGCGTCAGACAGCCTAATGAGGCCTTTGTGGCCTGGACTCTTGCATATATTAAATTCGTCAGCCGGGCATGTTACAAGTGTCGTGTCACTGGCATGCTGGGTCAGTCATGTTTGCGCCAAGGGTGAGTTTCTAGTCACCTTTATCCTGTCATGCCTGTGGCTTTCTATATCGCTGCTGCTTTGGGATCCCACCATGAACTGGGAAAATCTTGGCCACTCGTTGATCAAAATGGAAAAAAAAAAAAAAAAAAAAAAAAAAAAAAAAAAAAAAAGAGAAAAAGAAATTAGGAAAAAATAGAGTGAAAAGGATTATAATGGATCTTCTACCTCACTTCAAGAACCTGGTCGCGTGTAGTCCAAAGCACGCACACGCCTCCAAACTTCTCTGATCGTTCTTTCTTGCCCTTCACGTGCTGTCTCCCCTTCAGACGGCCCTGCAGGCCGGACGACAAGGTATAACCGGCTACCCAGCTTCACGTCTGGTATCTCTGCCGTTGCCCAATCTTCAGGCGGGTTTGCCGAGGTTATCAGACCTCCAGCCTCCTGCAGGATCGCTATACCTGCCGCCACATCCCTAAGCCCATCCCATTCTTGTTAGTCAACACTTCCAAGTCAATAACTGTGAGCAGGCAAAAATGTTGTACGTACCATTCCCAGCACCCTCCTTCCCACCAGATGTCAAAAGAACCCATTGCCGTGTAAGCGAGATCCAGGGTCGCGCTGTTCCAGTGTCAGAACTTCGTAGACCAGAACCAACAAGAGGGGATACTGGGTATAAAAAGACTTACCTTCCCAAACTTCTGACACCATGCACCATTCCTCCCTTCCCGCCTCGCCCCCCAACCTCGGCAGCCATATTAACGAAACTCTCCACCTTTCGGTACAAATTCCCTTCTGGCCTGTCCTTCCGATCCTTGCCCCATTCGCAACTAAACACACAACCCCCCGGTGCGCTCTTCGGCATCGGCTGCCTCACCAGCGGCAACCGTTGTGTCTCATTAAGCCAAGCACCCCGCCCTTTGCAGGCCGTGAAAAGTTGGCCAAGCATCGGCGCACATATGACTCCTATTACCGGTGTGCCGTCGACGAGAAAGGCGATGGAGACGCAGAACATAGGGAAGAGATGGGTATAATTGACCGTGCCGTCAAGGGGGTCGACGACCCATGTTGGAGTCGTATGGGTGACGAGGTAGGGGCGCGTGGACTGGGACGATTTCGCGTAGGTCTCTTCCCCAATGAAGTCGTGGGAAGGATAGCGTGTATTTATGGCAGATTTGATGAAAGCTTCGACGTCTTCGTCGGTTTGGGTCACAATATCGACAGCGGAGTCCTTTTCGGTGAACTCTTGGGTTGTGGATTCCTTGTCGTGGTTGGCATTGTTGTTGCTGAATCGCAAGCGGGCAGCTTCCATGAGGAGGTTACCTGCATCTTTTCCGAGTTGGACGGCAAAGGTGTAGATTTCGTCGAGCTCAGCCGCTGTTGTTGTTCTTGATGTCATGGCTGCTGATTACTGATATCGAAGGAGGGAATGAAGCACACATACTCCCAAGCCTTAGGTGTTGTCGGTAGAGTCCGTGACAAGCAGTCGCTGGTGTCAAGGGAAAAGCTGAATAGCAAGATTGAGTTTAAACATCTCCATTCTGACCTACTCTGTCACTCCTCAGCATATGCTGTTCCATGGGCTAACAAGGTGGGCAGGGACGGGCTTGATTCCGCCTACGGCACCTTACATTAGAACCGCTGGAAAGCGAAGAACGTCTAGGTTGGCCTCCCGCCGAGCTCATTCGACGGACCGGCATCATCAAGGATGGTGGAACTTCGGTGATCATTAACGCGAGGGCCCACTTTCCTGAATTGTCCAAGGTGGTGAATACTTCAACAATTGTCTGCATTGAACGGATGTTCCGTCAACTACACTATTATCAGGTTCAATCAAGCACCGTGTACCAGCTCAGCTTGCTACGCGCAGTGTGTACCCTTTCCGCTATATGAATGTTAATCTATCTCCTACGGATACCAGCAGCTTCTTGCGGCCCATGTGCAGACGAACTCTCTCATTGATGGACTTTTGCTGGGTAAAACGTTCGCCCATCAACGGATGAGTCTTTAACCAGCCGAAAAGAGGTGATGCACGGGTAGTCGAAGATCTCGGTAAAGCCATAAGCTGACAGCTTCCCCACCCTTAGGTACCAAATTTTTCTATGCCTTTTTCTTGGATATATCCTAACCCTTTCTTGGTGGCTCAAGGGTTAACGACTTGCACGACCTCAGCCACTCAACCGGAGGTATCATGTGAGAGAACACTAAACCAATACAGCCTCTTCACCACTCCGTACGTTCCAATCGTGCAAATCGAAGACGGGGGGTCTCGCTCATTGATCCAAGGTGCAATGGCAGAAGCAGAAAACAAACCCATGACGGCCTTTCGAATGGTCATCAGTGCAGTGACGAGCAATGTCACGGAAGCGGAGCGGGGACGGGTAATCACTCATCCGCTCGTCGTGCAGACAACTTGTCCGTGTATTAGAGATGGGAATGATGAGGGAACCCGTAATTAAACAACAAAACATAAACACATCTCAATTCATCTTCTGGCCTGTGAGTTGTTCGGTATAGTGCGGCGGCATCTTTCAGACGGATTCCCTATTGCGCCCATCTCCCACAAGCCCATCGCACCCAACCAGAGGTACCAAGCACAATGGCGTCCCGCCGTCACATTCTCCTCATCAATGGCCCCAATCTCAACCTCCTCGGCACCCGGGAGCCCCAAATCTACGGCTCAACAACCCTCCATGACATTGAGCAAGCCTCCCAGACTCTGGCGTTCTCGCTAGGTCTTCGTCTTACAACCTTCCAGTCCAACCATGAAGGAGCCATCATCGACCGTATCCATCAAGCAGCGGGATTCATCCCGTCTCCACCGTCACCGTCGCCGTCAAGTGCCGCAACCACGACGGAAGCAGGGGTGGGTCCCGGAGACAAAGTGTCGGCCATCATCATTAACCCCGGCGCTTATACGCACACGAGTATAGGCATCCGCGACGCGCTTCTGGGGACAGGAATTCCGTTTGTGGAGGTTCATGTGTCGAATGTGCATGCGAGAGAGGCGTTCAGACATCATAGTTACTTGAGTGACAAGGCGGTGGCAGTCGTTTGCGGTTTGGGGCCGTTTGGGTATAGTGCTGCGCTGGAGTTTCTTGGGAGACACATGAAGTTTTGAGAACGTCATTGGGATGGGATGCTAATCTTCAACGTCCAAGTTGGCACCTGCATACACAAGATGAAACTGGTTATCTTGAATCTGTGATTTAGGTGGCGTTGATGGCATTGTAGCAGCTTACCTCTAGTCTATAAGGTTAGTATGAAGCGTCGGATTGAATGCTCAAAGTTTAGGATCTCTCTTGCCTTGGTCCACACCGAAGAAGGGAAGTCCAAAAAACATGGGAAAGCATGCTTTGATGCCAGGAATTATAGCCCTATTGATGTAGAGCCTGGATGTGTATTGTCTTCCACCCCTCCAAGATCAAACTACAGTCAAGGTCGAGAAGAAACTGAGATGAAGAAATTATGATTGAATGAAATGAAAAAACCTGGGCTCAAGAGAACTATGTCACCGACTCCTGATACACGTGCCACTCTCCGATTTGAAATCTAACGTACCAAGGGAAAACGAGAAAAAAAAAAATAAAAATAAAAAAAAAAAAACACAACATTTTGTATAGTAGTAGAGTCAGTCTATAACGATAAACCAAGTAGTAAGAACCGCCAGCGTTGAATTTACAACGAAGCAGAGACTCGGGGCGTCGTCACCAATGGCCCCTCCACCGGTATCCTCAGGTCTTGCACCAACTTGGCCCACGAGATAGCGCCTCTCATGGCAAGTTCCTCCGGCACTTCAGGTCCCTCCTCAGACATTCTGCGGTTGAAAAGCTCTAAACTGACCCAGCCCTCGAAACCAATGCCGTGGAAAAAGGCTCGAGCAACCTCCTTCACGGGAAGATACGCACCATACTCTGTTTCGCCGTAGAACAGTCTACAATTGCGCGACCAGCTCATCCTCGCCGGCTGCTCTGGATTGTAATACGGGTGGCCGGGCAGTAGTGGCTTGCTCAGCCTCTCGGCGTCCACCACCTGGACGTAGAAGACTTTGGAGACATCCACGCGCGAGACCAAGTTGGCGATGGACTTCCTGACTGCCTCTTTTGCGTTGGGTGTCCTACCGCTAGGAGATGTAGGGTCGGCATAGATGCGGCCGAGGATGTTGAAGGTGTCAAGGCAGATGCCAAAGTTGGGGCGGTCAACGCGTTGTACGATGTCCCAGCAGCGCTCCCAGAGGTCGACACGGGTGCTCCAGCAAAGACTCTCGTAGGCAAAGCGGATAGGGGGCAAAGCTTGAGCTCCAATATCGGCCACCTTGCAAAGATCTGAGACAATCAGGTCGAGGTTGTCACTGACTTGGTTGGCAGGGAGGAAGTTGGCTGGGATCTGAATGATGTCGGTGTGAAGCTCATGAGCGAGCTCAATCCATAGTGCTAGCTTCTCCAGACGACGCTCATGTTCTGTCCTGTCGTTAAGGCCGTCGTAGTGCATGAAAGGCTGGAGGCAGACGACCTCAAGCCCCCTGGCTTGACACATTTGGAGAATATGACGAGCGGCGGCTATCTGAGCTTCGACAAGAGGGCCTTCGGGAGAAGGACGCTCGTTCGACAAATGCTCTGCAACGTCGACCAAATCCTCATAAAAAAGCTCGATACCGAGATAGCCGTATCGTTGAGCGGCATCAAGCTTGCTGTCCAAAGAGTGGCCGGCAAAGCAGCGCCCTAGGGACATGGAACTAATGGCTAGCTTTGATGGCATGGTGAAAGGCTCAGCGAAGTGAGTGTGTTAATGGGTCTTGAGGATAGGGGAAAAAAAAAAAGCCGATGTTGTTGGTGGGGGGATCCTGGAGGAATAAGAGATGATGAGACGGGTTCTTGATATTGAGGTGAGATAGTGTCCTTGAAGAACTGTTTATCACCTCGGTGTCCTTGAGCTTGTATCGGCAAATGGTGAGGAAATAAAGCACCAAGATAGTCACAGGATGTGCCCCATTGATATGGGAAGTGAAGGCAATGAGGAAGCAGTTGGGGTTTTCCAAGATTTGATTTGACCTTCTCGTGGTCTCATTCAATACGGCAAGCGTTCCTGTGATCAAGACTCGAACGTAACTCCGCAAGCGGCCAGCCGTCTCCCATCCTGAATCTCCAAATGACTAGGGGTATCAAGGCACTTTCATCTCCCATAGGAGGTGTGATAAAGACGCCGGCCGTGGCGGTGTATTGCAGATGTTCGGGATGTCATCGCTTCGGTTTGCGAAGAATCGGCCAATAACCGCAACGATAACGGATGTAAACGGTGAACCGCGGGATGGAAGCCGAAGTTTGCTGAGCGGAATAAAGCATCAACGGGTGGGCCGAAGGTAAGCGACCTATGAGCGTTTCACAAGATTTAGCATCTCTTTAACGATCAGATGGCCTCGAATGTTGACGGGCTTGGATGACGGGACGAGACATCTTCCACCCTTGCGTGTTAAACACTTAGCCGGCCGTCCTGCAGTTGACAGCCTCCCAAGACATGCACCTCGCTGGCCAGCTTGTATCGAGATCCAGTCAAAGTACCTCGGATTCATATGGGAAGGGACTTTTGACAGATGAAACACGGAATAACGAATCCTTCCGTGTAATCGTGCAACCTGCGAGTACCGGTCTTCCAGTTAGCTGTCTCATCGAATGGCAAACTATTATGGGAAGCCACTTGGTGATACCGCAGCTATGCAACAATTTGGATTCTGGCGCGTGGCTCCGTCTAAGTAAATATGATTGAAAGTCAACAGTGAGTGAATGTAGGTATAACTAAAACAACGACTCCAAGTGGCTGGTCCAGGTCTAGAACTTTGACAGTTCGCTATGGTATATGCTCTATAACCTCCCCGGACTGTGATTTCGGCTCCCAGGTAAGATTCTATTTCCCGAATTCGCGTCTTTTCCGGGATAGTGTCAATTGGACCGGTGGACACTGATAAGAAGCTGCGTAAAATCGGTTGCCACAACGCTTTCCGTTGGCAAAGGTCGAGATACCAAAAAGAAGGATCGGACGAAGATAACGATAGCTGACATGCCTTGTGGGCCCGTTACATCAAAATGTCTGGGAGCCGAGAACATGAGTTCTGTGCATACGTTAAAAGAGCAAGCCGTTGGGTGCCCAGAAGGGGGGGAGGGGGTGGACAGACTGCTGGGTAAGTATTTAAGCGGTAGGGCGGCTCCAGTTTGGGACGCCCTTGCGAGCTTGGACTGCCCAAAGCAACTCGGTACCTAGCAATCCCCGCAACAGACAGGTACCCGAAAGTGTTCAGATCTTCCGAGGCTGTTGAAGAGAGCTCTTCCTTCTAAATCACCGAAATCCCCAGAGCATGCCAAAAGGCAAAACGCTCATCCTTAATCTTTTCCCTTATGCAGGACCACTTCGGACCACTAGGCAGCCCCAGCTTTCCCAAACCCCCGAGGACATTCGAGCGCTCTCATTCATCCTCCTCCACGAAGTGCTTTGTTACGATGGAAATGCTTAGTCGAATTGAACCCTGTCATCTCCACGCGCCCAAGTAGTAATGAAAATGGGGGAATAACTTATAGCCACGCCTTATGGCATCTCTCTCCCGAGTTAGACGATCTCGGGAATTCCTTAGGCTCTCTTTATTTTCATTCCGGTTTTCTGTCGAACCTTGATTTTCGAGTGACTGTGACTTCTCATCGCCAGATACACCACACAATCAAGCACATATCACCATGTCGACAGCAACCACCACAACATCGGCGACGACGACGATGTCGGTCGTCCAGCCCCGACAGCAAGAGCTCCTCCACCTCACCAGCACACCCGACATCACCCCCTACACCAGACATGGCTATCTCTTCGGCCAAAAACTCGCGGCCTCCATGTCCCCTCTCCTCCACTCCATCGTTTACTCCCACCTCTCTCTCAACTGGGCCCAACTTCGTCTCGACTCCCCCTCTATACCACTCTTCCTCCAGCTGGCCCAGCACCCAGACTTCTACGGCGCCTCAGTGACCATGCCTCACAAAGTGGCCATCATCCCTCACCTTGACCACCTGACTCCCGAATGTCGCGATGTCGGCGCCTGCAATACCCTATTTCTCAAAACCGACCTAGCCACCGGCCGTCGCCTGTACTGCGGCGCCAACACCGACGTGATTGGCGTGCGCGAGAGCTTCGTTCAAAATGTATCTGACCCCGCCCGGGTGTACGAGAGCCGGCCGGCACTGGTAATTGGCGGCGGCGGCGCGGCGCGATCGGCCGTGTACGCGCTGCACAAGTGGCTCGGCGCGACGGACATCTACCTCGTGAACCGGGACAAGAGCGAGGTGGACGCGGTGATTGCCGAGTGCACGGAGCGCGGGTACGGCGATCGCCTGGTGCATGTGGCGAGCGTGGAGCAGGCTGAAGGCCTGGAGGGGCCGGGGGCGATAGTCGCTTGCATTCCGGATTTCCCGCCTAAGACGGAGAAGGAGATGTTGGTGAGGAGGATCGTCGAGACGTTCTTGATGAAGGAGGAGAAGGGTGCTATGCTGGAGATGTGCTATAACCCTAGCCCGTTTACCGAGTTGGGAGCGTTGGCGGAGCACGAGGGGTGGCAGGTTATCTTGGGTACGGAGGCTTTGATTTGGCAGGGGATTGAGCAGGTATGTATCCGTCCTGAGCTTACATTGCACTGTGGAGGACAACTCAACTGATCTCTCACCCCCTTTGTTCTGCAGGACAAGTATTGGACCGGTCGTACAAATGAGGAACTTCCCATTCAACAGATCAAGGAAGTCATTGCTGCAAAATTGGCGGAAGCTTCCAAATCGCACACCAGTTGAGATAACAGGGTCCTCTAGGCATGTAAAACGACAGTGGAATGGAAACAGGGTCGCTCCACAGATCGGGGTGTGACATCGGTTGTGATGGAAATAGTAAATCTTCGTTTTAACGCTGCCAGCTCCACAAACATTGTTTCCTGCAAAGACATCACGATGTCGGAGTGTTGCAACGTGGGGATGTCTTGTCAGAAGCAAAGGCACCCGTTGCCTAATCGCAAATAGAAAGACTCGGTGGCTCTACAAGAGTGAAGTAAGAGTCTCCTTGACCACGGGACAGACCAAGATATGCGGGAGACAATCAAAGCACAGTGCCGTAATAAGGAAAGGATACTTGTAGAAACTCAATAGTGAGCTTCAGACAACGCAACTGTATACTCCCGCTTTGTAGCTGTCATCACATCAGCCCCTTCAACCTCGGGCAAGAAAGTCAAGTAATTACAACAAAGGTATCGCCCACATTCCAAACAAAACATCGTATCCACGGCGGCTGGCTGCCGCAGCTCGCAACGCCCCTGGTCATATTCAAGCACCCTGAAAGCAAGGCAAATTGCAGACCTTAGACTGCATTCTCGGTCTGTGTCACCCTGTCCTTGTCGTCCAGCGACGAAGACTCCTCTCGCTCTGGATTTCTGTCGAAGTTGAGCTCGGCCATGAGATTCTTGTTGGCATTTCGAACGGGCTTGATTTCAAATAAGCGATCCATGGCCTCGAGAGGGATCGATTTGGTCTCGGGTAAAAAGAAGTAGATGAACACAATCGATAGCAGCATGAGCGACGCAAAGAAGAAGTACACGCCGTACTCCATCTTGATGAACATTTGCGGCGTGAAACGAGAAATGATAAAGTTCCAGAACCAGTTATTGGCCGCGGCTGATGCCTGACCCAGGGACCGTGTGTTTTGGTCAAACATCTCTGAGTTGATGACCCAAGGTGTACCGTTCCATGAAGGGGTGTAGAAGGCAGTCCAGAGGTAGAAGAAGAAGATGGCTGCGATGCCGCCAGAGGTCAGCTTTGCGTCTTCCGCCTTGTTCGACCCAGGATCAGCAATCTTGATGTAGGCTCCAATGAACCACATGCAGAGCGATCCGCCAGCCGCACCGATGAAGAGTATGCGGCGGCGGCCAACAAGATCAACAAGCCACAGAAGCCAGATAATGGTGAGCACCATCTTAACGACGCCGAAGATGCCTGTTGTCAAGAAGCCGGTGTCGGTACCAGTAATGCCGATGCTCCGAAATACGGTGGGGGAGTAATAGTTGATGGCATTGATACCACTCCCATTCTGCCAGAAAAAGAGCATGCCACCAAGAAAAAAGCGCCACTGGACCTTGCGCTGCTTGAGGGACAAAAACGGTTTCCAGAACCCATTGCCGACCTCTCGGGTATACCTTTCCAGGTCAGCGTCAATGAATGAAACCTCTTGCACGATGTATCTGTCGGTGGGCTCGAGGTTGCGTATCCAGCACAAGACCTTCATTGCCTCTTCTCTCTTGCCATTGGCAAAAAGCCACCGTGGCGACTCGGGAATCCAGAAGCTGCCCAAGAACAAGAGGCCGGCGGGGATGAGCTGAACCGCGAAGGGAATTAGCCACTGCGACCTCGTCGGGGCCATTGTAGTGTTGACGCCATAGTTGATCCAAAACCCGACCAGACCACCAATCTGCCAGCCGAGCTCGTAAATGCCGACAAGACGACCGCGAACGGCGGGAGGGGCAAGCTCTGAGATGTAAATGGGTACCATGTTGGAGGCACCTCCGACGCCGATTCCAGCCAGCACTCTGCCTGCGATAATCGGATCAATGCCTCGCCCCTGACCATCAGCAGCGAGCATGATGGCGGCGCCAATAATGAAGACGACGGAGAAGGCGATCAGGGATTTGCGACGACCCAAGAAGTAACTAGTCGCATAAGCGAACAGACATCCAAAAAAGGCACCAGCTTGGTAAACGGATACGATGTTGGACTGGAGCAAGGCGAGAGCACCAGGTGTGTAAGAGGCGAAATCGAATTCCTTGGTGAAGGACGGCAGCGCAAGGGTAGTGCCAATGAAGGCAGAGTCATAGCCAATCATGCACGAGGCAAAACTGGCAATCGCCGCGCATGTGTAGACGCGCCAGTTGTAAACGGCCTTTGGCGTTGGCCTATCTTCCTTGAGCGCAAGGAGAGTCATCTTGACGCGTCTAATGCCGATTGACAATATGATACAAGAGAAGGGGGGCCGGTGACGCGACCTCTCTTACAAGGTGGACAAAGGGGGTGAGTGATGCGAACGAGGAAAGAGGGCTGAATGTATCCTGGGATCTCTTTGCTGAAGTCGAGATGGCTCTTCTTTTGTAGAAAAGCAGATCTCAAGGGGGTACCTATGAGTATTCGACTCATCCATGCGCATGGGAACCCACGCACTAAACTAGTCTTCCCTTCTCCATGGGGAATCTTGCCGTTAGCAACCATACCCCAGCCGCCCAACGAGCTAAGATCTGGCTGGTTGGTCTCCCCCGCAAGAGCCACACCAAACCTGCTATTCACAAGCGACCGGCACAATTACGGATCGTAACCCCAGAAAATCCAGAGTGCATGGCAACAGCCAAACCCCAGATGCCGGGACTCTTTGTGGCAAAGTGACTGACCTGTTCCAGCTCATCGTCAGCGTCTCAGTGTCCAACCCCCGAGCTTCCCCGCACTGAAGAAGTGAAGCTGATGAGTGTTGAGCCGGCAGCTGGCTGTCCAGTGCAACCCCTGCTCAACAACGACCCCACAAACCGCCGACGTGCTAGCGCAGAGTTTTTGGAGGGTGAGGATGAATGTATAACCGGGGGACGACAGTGTCGACAACGGTGGTTGTTCAGCCCCTTTCATCTTCAACCTCTCGAGCCCCTTTACCCGAGACAGCATGACTGGCCACGGTTGTAAACGTTGATATTGATGAGCCATCGCATCTGAAAAGCTGCATATCTGTGCATGAACGGAAAAGCCATTACCCAGCCAGCGCCTGGTAGTTCGATACCCAGTATCCTTGAAACTGGAAGGTGTTGTCGAGGATATACATATGAGGTGGATCGTACACCTCCTCTTCCTCCCTCCAACTATCAGCGCCAAGTGTTCCCCTCAGCCGATCGCTTCACCGTGCTGTCGCGGTGTTGGTACCCCGTGCTTACAATAGAAGTGCCGGCTCCAGGAGCAAACACGGATCTGGGTTTAGTACTCCGAGCAGATCTTGTTGCTGTCCGCCCAAACCGGTCCGAGTTGTACCCTAATGCCGACAGCCCGCCCCGAAACCAAGACCGTGAGATCCGCATGTCTCTTTCTTTCAAGATATTTGTGTTGCAATTCCGTTGAGGCGAGGCTGTAACTGCGCGGTATGAGATTTTGCTTGATCATCTGGGTATGCTCGTAAAACCTCGCGCCTCATCAAGCGACGAGGTGCTCGCCGCCCGGTGAACAGTTCAAATTGGGCAAACCCTTGTTCTGGCAAGAGGTCAAGTCCATCCATTGCGACCCAGCCTCTGTGAGCCTCGCGTCGTGTTTGTTCGAGCAAGGGTGATGTGAGACATTTGTAGTCGAGTTCTAGTACAATGCCGCCGGTGGGGTTGTCGAGCCAGTGCAAAGGCACAGTAAATTCAGGGTCAGGGGTGTTGTCCACTGTGTGTGTCGGTATGCAGGAAACGATCATGGTCGGGTTTTTGAAGTTTTCTGGGAGCGGTTCGTCTCGAGATCGAATGATGTGAAAACAGGTGTTGTCGTGGGATCTTGGCCCTGTGCTCAACAGAGGCAATGCGTCTCTGACCAACAGGTTCTCGAAGTGTAGAACCAGCTTCTCGGCATTAGCAAATGTTCGGTTAAAGATCAAAATCTTCTTGACTCCCAGTTGAAGCATGGCATAGACAGCTGCCCTAGCCATTCCGCCAGCGCCGATGACAAGACCAGTGCTTGTTGATCTCACGGCATTGGCGGGCGATAAACCGCGGCGAAGGCAGGCCCGGATACCAATCCAATCCGTGTTCTCGCCGTAGAGAGCTCTGACAGCGCCGGCTTGGCTGATATTGTTGAACATGGACACCTCGTCCGGTATTCCTCCGTCCGCGGTAAGGTGTCGTACCGGAATCAAGGTGTTGACGGCTCCGATGGCTTTCGCGTGCCGGCTCAGCGAGTGTGTGAGGCTGATGATTTCCACCTTGAACGGCAGGCCGACCGAGGCTCCAGCAAACTGCGGATCGCTGATAACCTCGCGCAAAGTCCCGATGTTTGCTGTAGAAAGGGGCTTGTAGTGGTGTGGAATGCCACAGGCCTTGAGTGCGGCATTGTGCATGGCGGGGGACAAGCTATATCCCACATTTGCGCCGAAGACATACAGCTTCATTGGGTCGTGGACAAATGCCGAGTAGAGAGCCTGTGTTGCTTCCAGAGCCGTGAGCGGAGGCTGGAGATAGCGATGGGCTGGATTGCGGAGCCCGATTGCATCCTCCTTGGTAGGCCCTAATGCAACTGGAGTCAGGATCTCGTTAAAACACATGGATGTCCGACCTAGCCGTCCTGTGTTGTAAGCAATAAATGGGAGCCTTGGACCCCCGACGGCCTCTACAGCAACGTGGAACTGCCGAATGTCTGTGTTGTCCCGGGAATTTGAAGCCGGTCTGGTCAACCTTACCAAGTCGCATCCTGTATTCTGGGCCTTTTCATAGGCTTGTAACCAAGATGGATCCCCCCAGCGCGGCGAATTGACCTCTGCAAGTTGTTTATTGCCGATCACCTTGGTGGTTCCTTGAACGGTGGTTAGTTGCCCAAGCAAGCCAGAATCGAGCCCCAGATCGACCGTAAGATAATCTGGCGCAAGCCTTAGGGCATGGTTTAGGTAAGTCATGTAAAGAGCGAGCAGAGCTTCTTCATACAGCGCTCTTTCTGGGAAGACCACGTGAAGGATGATGGGGATCACTGTGTCCCTTCTGATTTCGCCTACAACACGACTGATCTCGCTCGCTCGGTGGGGCGCAAGACCCAAGGGGCTCGTTGGGCCGGATTCGCTCGTTGCAAGATCGTCTACAATGATCTCGATTGCGTCCACACCGACATCAAGCTCTTGGATATCGACGCCTTTGTCGAGCAAGGCAGATATAGGCAAGGCGAGGGCGTAGGTAAAGCGGCGCTGTTCAACGGGGACCGAAGCCAGGGGAAAGGCAGACTCGACAAAAGGTATGGTCCCCTTGGGTAGAATCAAGGAGAGAAATTTGAGGAAGTGGCGCTCGGCTCGTTTCAGCGTCAGATACGGCGCGGTATGCCGCTGGTCCGGAACGGCAGGTGGTGATGTTGAAGCGGAGTGGGTGTCCAGGTTCTCCTCGGAGACGTTGAAGAACTCGAAACGGGTGCAGCGGCGAAGGACAGTACTGGTGGCATCAAGGAGGGTGCCAACTTTGGACTTGTCGTATCCCTTCAGATGGGCCTCGATAGCTTTTGCATCGCGCAGAACGTAAATGACAGGATTCGACGTGCTGAAATCCTGCAACATGGCCTGCACATCCCGCTCCAGCCAAGAGCAGACGAGAATGGCACGGGTCCTGTGCAGATTCAAGATGTTCTGCAAGATGGCGATCTGGCGCCTCCCATAGTCGACCGGGCCGTGTGTCTTCTTGTAGCTGGAACTAGACAAGCCAGTGAGATGATGGAACTCGGATTCCAGGTCGACTATCTTGCGCTTCATGGCGGTAGATGCCATGATGGCCAGCGTAGACTTGCCAGCGCCACGAATGCCGGCGATAACAATGGAAGCATCGGGATCGAAGCTGGCGGTGATGGGATGATGCGGCAGCGCACGGCGGGGCGGGGAATTGGGCGCCGACCAAGAGCCTGGTGAGACTGACTGTTAGTATGATCAAGACTCGAGGTAGAAATCGCGAAGCAATCAATACAGACGTGCCTAGAGGTACTCTGTGGCTGGAAGTGCTCCGACTATTGGAGAGGGTTCGTGGTGGTCGCCTGGCATGGGCACCGACATCGTTGCTGTTGCCAGTGTCGTTGTAGAGCATGGCCATGGTTGCGAAGGAACGCTTCATGCCACTGGCGACGGAGGATGATATGTGCGGTAGAGGTAGAGGATCGCGGGCTGCGACATCCCCGACATGGCGTGCCGGGATGGTGTTCATGATGGCGGCGGCGGCGGCGGCGGCGGCGGGGGTGGTAGTGGTGTCCCTATCGCAGCGAGTGAAAGGCCGGGTGCCTACCTAGTTGTGCGCATACTTGTGAATCGGCATTCCCGCATGCGCCATGGCAATGTCAATTCTGCAAAGTGGAAACTAGAGAATCACTCATCCGATCAGAAAAGGGTTCATAAGTTTGTCAGTAGCGGTCCGTTGCTTGAGGAAACAGCGTCCTCTGGCATGCAAGCTGAGTGCCTTCGAGTTACCTAATAAAAGCCTTGCGGCAAAGAAACTACACCTTGCTTGAGGTCTGTATGTACAAGAGGCAAGCACGGAAAAGGAGGGCGAGCATTTAATTACCTAGGACGGAGCCTGCCTCTCTCATGTGATATACCACGTCCAAACCTACCAGTATTTACAGCCATCCCATCTGTAACCAGGGCGGGTGTTTTCACAGAGGTCTCGCTGCACAAAAGGATAAACGATTATCCTCCCAACTTGGGCCTCCATTTTCTCTCCTCTGTTCACGCCGTTCACGACTCCAACACACCTGTTTGTCCTGCTGCCTCACAGGTTCGACAATGGACTATAAGACTACCTACCGATAGGCATATGCTTCCCTCTAACCTGCAGGCGAAAGTGTCTTCGAATTCTCGTTAGACGTACATGCCACAGCAAAAGCCGAGCTTCCCCCGCACTGAATTCACTACCGGTTCCACTGCCGTGACGGATCCAAACATTCACTGCCATCCAGCTTCTTCGCTCATGATATCGCTATGCACCCACCTCGGCCTCTACGCAACCCCATTCAAGCCATGATCGGACTCCCAGACACCCGCTACAACGTCGCCATGGTTCGGAGAGGGTCATGAACAAAAAAAAAAAAAAAAAAAAAAAGATCGGCAAGGGCATCCCATGCGCCTGATTCGCAACATATCTCTCCGGATACACAAATCCCAACATGCCGCCCAAACGCAAGACACTCAATGCCGCTGCCGAAGCCAATGCCCACGCTGATGGCCATGTCGCTAACGCTTCAGCAAGCAGCAACAACACCCGGTTTGCGGACTTGGCCAACATTGACACACCCGGCCTCGGCCCTACCACGACGACGTCACTTGTCGAGCCCGCTCGTTCGAAACGCCAGAGAGTCTCGAGGGCCTGTGATCAGTGTCGAGCTGCACGCGAAAAGTGCGATGGAATCCAGCCGGCTTGCTTCCCCTGTGTGTCGCAGGGCCGGTCGTGTACCTACCAGGCCAGTCCCAAGAAGCGAGGTGTCCAGACGGGCTACATCCGCACTCTCGAACTGGCTCTGGCTTGGATGTTCGAGAACGTTGCCCGCAGCGAGGACGCCCTCCACAATCTTCTGGTCCGTGAAACTGGCCAGGGCAGCGCTCTCCTGGTCGGCAAAGACTCGCCTGCTGCAGAACGCCTGCATGCAAGATGGACGACGAGTCGAGTCAACAAAAGCATCACCCGTCTTCTCTCAGGTCAGGCCGCACAAGATTCATCTGAAGACGGCCAATCCCCGTCCGAAGACATAAATGTCCAAGATGCCGGGGCAAAGACATCCGACTTCCCTCATGCGCCTCACTTGACTTTCTCGGCGCCTAGTACGGCTGAGACACGCACTCTACCAGGCCCGGTCCGACCACCTATTTCGGCAAACACCCTGGAAAACAACCTTCAGCCAGATAGTACCGGGATAGGGATGCTACCGCCCAATCATTGGCGCCTGCTGGATATCTACTTTTCCTACACGCATTCTTGGCTCCCTATCCTCGAGAAGAAAGACATGTACCAAGCATTGTACCAGTACTCTGAACAAGGCTCGTTGCTTCCCTCTGCGAATGTCGAGTCTGGCGTTCATGCCGAGCTCTGGAGCGCACTCGCCCTGGCGTCCTTCCAGGCTGCTGCTACTGCTGCATCGAGTGCTACGGGTCCAGCTTCAGCTGCTCATGGCCATGACAATGCCATCAATCCTTCACCTGCAGACATATCTGACACAGCCCGAAAGCTCATACCTTTGGAAAGCGGGCCGTTCCAGGTTCAGCACTGCAGAGCGTTGCTGCTTCTTTGTCTCGTAAGCCTTGGACGGGATGATTGGGAGTCTGCTTGGTTGCTGGTTGGCTTTGCGGTTCGCGTCCTACTTGTTGTTCGCACCCAGCTGCCTACTGATGATGACCGGCCACGACCAAGAATGCGTGCGCTGCTCGTCGCGTGCTTCATCGTGGATACCATTGTATCTATGAGACACAACCTGCCGGCCCATCTCAAGCCAGACGACATTGCGGATCTGCCGTTACCTGAAGACGGTCAAGATCAATGGGAGCCGTGGACACCATGTGAGGGCTTAGGCGGTGAACACACCATGCTGCAAATGTTGAGGAATCCGGCATACCCTTTAAGCACATTCAACCACCTATATGGCGTGACCAAGCTGGTTGCTTTGGAGCTTCTGCCAAGAATACGAACATCTTCACAGAACGCTCCCTTGGAGTTCAGGTCGCGGTTGCAGCAGGCAATCGGCCACAATTCTCCCTTCAGCATCTTTGTCCTTTCCCAGGATACAGCATCGGCTTTTGTGCCTACTGCATACCTTACCCGTACCGTTTATTTATGGGCGGCTGCCTTTTCTGAGCCTCTCAACGAACACTACTCGCATCTTCTGATCGAAACTCTTGATCAGTATCAGAAGCGGTTTGGTACATATGCAATCCCACCTCTGATCCCTTCTCTTCTAGACTCCCTTCTTGCTCTAAAGAAACAATCACATTCTTCAGAGCGGCATCGAAGGCACTTGGAGGAGCTTTTCCCCGCCTACTCCTCCATTTGGTCTCGGGGAGGCCGACACAGCAATACCGGCCTCCAACCCATACGACAAACTGAGCTTCCGCCGACTGCAACTGCAACTGCAAATATCATGCCCCATGTCATGGAACAGCCCCCGTCGACGTCAATAAATCCGGTCAACGATCGGTTCAATGGAATACCGAATCCTACCCCCTACAATAGCGATGCGGCCCTAGACGCAATTACTCAAAACAATGACTACGGATCAGTCAATACCCATGGCATTCTCAGTACATATCCACCACCTGTCACCCACTTGAACGAGGCCTCGGTGGCCCTTGCGCATGGAGGTACTCCTCCCAGACCACCACCGCCATACGTTGATAGTACAACGAACCATCCTCCTCACCATAGTAACCTCGTCCCCATGGCCAATTTCGGATATTCGACTGTAGACTACGATGCGATGGTGGATGATCTGGCATCGATCGAGTACACGGATGCGGTTGACGTTGATCCGCAGTTCATGACGAACCTCGGGTTTGTCCCAGGGTGTAATTTTAGCGATATCAGCACGTATGAGCAATAGTTGGCTATTCGAAGTTGAGAAAACATACAAACACATACAAAGACATACAGATATGCGGCACACATGCACAAAAAAAAGGGGGAGGAAGGAAGGGGGTGCCCAGAAGTGTTTGTGTTCTCATGAAGAACACAACGGCATTTGGTAGTTTCGCTACACAAAATTTCCACTTTGATGATAACTCGTGACAAACAGACACTCGCGAGATACCTACCCCACCCATGGTGGAAGGACCATTCGGGACCGTCACCTCGTCTTTGAGTGGCAGTGAATCAGCAGGACAGCCTATCGAGATCATTGTGTAGGTATAGTGGCCTAAGGTTCGTTTTTACTTCTACTATTTAAGTCTACCATTGCACCTTCAGGTCCATCGTTAAGGCAAGATGGCCGAGCGGTCTAAGGCGCCACGTTAAGGTTAACCCTTAATATTCCTTCCAAGGTTCCGTGGTCCGAAAGGGCGTGGGTTCGAATCCCACTCTTGTCAGCACGATTTTTTTGTATCAAACGTCTACTTTGTTGACATCGAGTCCTGGTACTTGTCGTTCCTTTTTGTTCGGTGCTTTTCTAATTTCCCTGTCTTGACAGTGATTTATGGAGACTCCAATCTTTTTTTTGGGGGGGGGGTTGGGAATTTGGATATGGGTGAGATAGTCATTAACTTGAGGGGTGACCTTTGCGATAATTTCATTCCATTCATTTGAAAGTCCAGTCATACGACTGAGGTACGTCGAGCCTCTTCGAGCTCCCCGTACAATGTGATTATGATCAGTTCATCCATTGGCTTCATTCCATTTCGTTCAATAACGTAGGCATGTCTGTGCAGGACCTATCTTGATGCCCGGCCACTCTGTACATGTGTTCTACGACCAACAAACAACTTGCCCATGTCCTTTCCTACGCTTATCTTTGTGCGTATATATTATATTTATATCACTCACTGCATGTGTGTGTGTGTGTGTGTGTGTGTGTGTGTGTGTGTGTGTGTATGGGGGGGGGGGGGGGGGGGGGTTGGTCCATTCGACACCAAGTCAAATCTTAGGCTCGCTCTTCCCCGTAGCCTGCGCCGCCCTCTGCTGTCTAATGACGGTACTACTAATCTTGGAAGTGAAATCTTCGGTAGCCTTGACGTCTTCTCCCACGTCCTCCGGGATCTCATCCGCATTTAACACATCAACCTCAAAAATCTCCAGTGTCTTCCATCCCTGTTCCGCCCGCTTGTCATTGACGGCCTTTCCACCCGACCGCGTCTCCCCCGACACGACCAGCACATCGATATTTTCCTCCGTGACCGTCGGCCCAAAAGCATCTTGTATCCGTACGCATTGCACGATGATCATGCCATCCCTGAAAGCCGCGCGAAAATCGCCGTCTTTCTCGTCGATTTGCACTCCTGCCGCGACGGCGGAGTGGATGTTGTCACCGGCCGCAGGGCCCATTGCCTCTCTCCATCCCTTGTCCGAGAGCTGTAGAAGCCTGGATAAAAAGTAAATGACGTTCCGCGCCCGCGTCTCCCACGACTGCACGTATTCTGCAAACTTCTTGTTCTTGAGTAGCTCATCGCCCGTGATCCCAATGATGTATTTGCACGGCTCGCGTCGCCTGGGCGAAGTAGCCGGCAGTGACAGCTCATCTTTGCTCGGCACTCCCAAGAGCAAAGCGCCCGCGGTCAGGAGCAGCTTGTGGCCCGGATGGAGATAGTCAAAGGTCCCTCCTAGACAAACTACCGGCACTCCTGATACCCGTCTTCCCTCCCCATTCCCTTCCCCTCCAGCTGCTCCCGCTCCCGCCGTAGTATCGTCTCCAACAAGCCCATGATGCAGCGTCAACCCTCCCTCCACACCAACCAATTGCTCCTGCCGAATCGCATGTGCCCCAATCATCTTCCCCTCCGCCATCTGCAGATACACCTCGTTCAACCGAATGCCCTGCTCGGTGCGCACATGAAAAATATAATTCCACGGGTGATAGGCGTCGGCAAATGTCGCCAAGTCTACCACCACCGTGTTGTTCGTCTCAATCAGACTACTACTGCTTTTCGAATCCCCCCGCAGGGCCCGGTCTTCAGCACTCAATGGCTTGCGTCCCCGATCATGATCAACCAGCACAACCGTCGCATCCACCGACCCCTGACCACCATCGATCTCCGTGCTGATTTCCAAGCGGGCGCAAATGACCGAGATGATGGCGTACAGGCCCGCGATGAGCGCTTGCGCTTGCGACCAGAGCACGGTCTTGGAGCGCAGCTGGTAGGGCGGCCCTTGGAGGATGGGGACGGTGACGGCGATGATGAGCTTGGATGCGCCGTGCGGGTTGGCGTGTTTGAGCTTGGAGAGGACGGCGGTGAGAGGGGGGCGGTAGGCGGCGTTGAGGAGGGTGCGGTTGGAGGGGTGGGGTGGGAAGGGGAGGAGGAGGAGGGAGGGCAGTTGGTCCCTTTTATTGATGGTGGTCATGGTGAGGATGGGTTGGGACGTAGAGGAATGGGATGGAGTGCTATGATGAAACTGAGCTCGGTTTCCAAAATGAAGGAGGTTGACAGTCTCCCCGATGTCGGCTATTGATAAGATGACTCGCTGCTAGATGCAATTCTGTCCCAAGTGCAATGTGCCCGATGGTCCAGGCAGGTGCGGAGGTGCCGTCATCAACAGATGGGCGCATGATCCATTGATAGGCTGCAAACATAACGTTCAACCCTAACCCCGCACCGGTTATTCATCCACTGCCCAGTGATGTGTTCTCAGCCATGCATGTTTTGGACTCATCCATTATTCAATATTTAATAAACATCTATCGGTATATGGCATCCACATACGCCCATCAACTTCCGGCTCCCACACATAGCCACCGCCTCCTAAATGCCCGCTAAATCCCCGGGTAAATCAACGACATGCCATGTTTGTACTATGCGTTCACCTCACGTACTTTGATCCTTCAGACAAAAGCTCAAGGACCACCCATCCCCGTCCCGACACGTTGTTGCATTTGTTGCATTGAAGATGTCGCCGTAGGAGTTGATCCGTAAAGGCTCGGTCCTCCGGGACCTCCATGTCCACTCGACGGCCCTGGCCCTCCCAGTCCCATCCCAGGGTTCGTTCCCGTCCGCTCTCTCATCCTCCGACCCTCCATCAGCCCCCTCAAACCTCTCTTCTGCAGACCAATCACACTGCTTAGCTCTCCAGACCAGATTTCACTTCCTCGTTCCCTCTCATGCTCCCCAATCTCTGACCACTCACTTCCACTCACGCTGTTCGTAGCGCTCAACTCCTCGTCAGGCGGCCTCCTGCCCTGCTGAAGCCCGGTTGTATTGATATGCAACGCCGCAGTCCTTGCAGCAAGGCTACTGCCGCCGCCACCATATTCACTGCCGTTTGCGGAAGGCGGCATTGATCCGACCGGACTAGCCAGTCCATCCAGGTCGGCAGGCGGGAAGAAGTTGGGGTTGAGGGTACCGTCAATGCCACGTCCGCCTCCGGCGGCCATGGCAGTGGCATTGAAGACTGCGGCTGCGTTTCGGCTGTCAAGTAGGTTATGCAGGCGCTCCACCACCGCTTCAAGGAGACCATCCACTCGATACGGCCGCGCTATTTGAAGAAGACTGCAGAGAATCTGTGGAGTGCACAACGGCGAGGTAGGCTGGGGGAGGCTGGAGGTATAGAGAAAGTGGAGAAGTGCTTGGATGGTGAGGAAGGTGTGCGGTAGATAGAGGCATCGTGGTCGGTTATTAGGCGCAAGAGTACGCGGTGTTGGTGCACTGTTGAGCGCGGCAGCGTCTACACCCGTTGGTGACATGATGCTTCCCGCCACGGATGTAGCGGCCGTGCTGGGCGGCTTGCCAGCTGAGCTACCACCCGAGTATACCGACATCTGACTCTCCATCGTATTCCTGTTTCCGGGCGTGGGTGTCATGTTGGAGCTGCGGCCCATACCAGACGACGCCGAAATGGAGTTGGACCTGAGTGTCATGACGTCGCTACCGTCCTGGCAGGCTGTCCCTTCCCGGAGCAGCTGGACAAAATACGGCCCCCATCGCCTTGCAACGATTCTAGAGTTGACAGGTATCCGTTCACCGCCTATGCAGAGAATATCCATGTCCGCCAATTCCCGCATCGTAAGCGCCTTCTCTCCGAGCTCTTCGGCAGCACGGCTGTGTTGTCTACCGCCGGCAGTAAAGCCCGCCTTACGGGCTAGACTCAAACCAGGACCGGTATAAGGACTACTGGCACTGACGAAGCCGCTCATGGGCGCCGTCTTCCGAGGATTGTCATAGAATCCAAAGGCCTCCAGCTCTACCATGCAGACATTGCTGAAGTTGATGCGCCGATGATTATAGTCATCCACAAGGCTTCTCTTTCGGTGACCCAAGACGACGAACGTGTTCCTCCTGTTCCACAACACGCCTCTGTTCCAACTTCCCTGACTAAAAACAGCCCCTCCGGCATCGATCCTACTCCAGCTGAGGTTCCGTAGATCCAATGCCCAGAGTGCATATTCCTGCTTCGATGAGGTGAGATAGGTGCCACTAACCACAAAGTAGTGATCGATGATTCCTCCATTGGGAAATCGTAATCCTGGCGGACTGTATTGCTCTTTCATCGTCGTCTCGACAAGGGTTCCATCACTCGATCTTACTTGCAACTCCAATTTAACGTCGAGAAAGTTGTAGTTGCTGTAAATCAGCATGCTAGATCCGGCATCCTTGGCCTCCTGGGAAGTAGCTCCTGGGTCCGGCCGTCCGCTAACCGGGTGTGGCTTGCCTATTTTTGCCGCGAGGGATGGTGGCAGGGGAGCAACCACACTTCTATATGCACCGCAGCTCTTGCCCAGTTGTTCCGTTGAAACCCACTTGAGGCTTCGCAGGTTGAAGACACTGATCTGTTCAATATAGTGATTTGCGGCATCTTGGCCTCCTATAACCACCATTTCTGCGCCGCCAGTCCCATCAATGTTGATTCCAATGCGGCCCTCATTGGGGTTCCCCGATGAAGGATTGTGCTGAAGCGCTGAGAACGGGGCCCTGTGAGATGCGAAAGCGGCCGACGACGGGAGAATGCATGCACAGTGAGCATATCGTCCCTGGGGAGCCTCTTGTGTCTGAACGAAGGTCCACTTCCTTGTGGGTGCGTCGTAAATGTATATATCCGACATGACCTTGACCTCGGGTTGTTGATCCTGCGGTATTGTGTTTTGGCTTGATATCGGGGACATACCGCCATAACAGACAAGTTTCGTGTCGCCGAGAGCGCACATGGAGTGAAAATACCGAGGTGGGGGAACATCTCCGGTCGCCTCGATTTTAGACCAGTGTCGTCGGATGAGGTCCAACTCGTATAGATCAGCCGTTAGCGGCGCTGGCTTGCTTCTCGACAGTACCCTTCCACCAAATACGAATAGTTTGTCTCCCAAGACTGTCGTAGTAGCACCAACCAAAGGCGGCGGCTCTCTGCCTGTTGTCCGGTGCACGTTGCACATCAAACCCGACAAATGCTGTGATGGCGAGGGCATTGGTTGCGGCCCACCGCCACCCGCTACCTGTGACCTCCCTGGGCCACCGTTGGGGGAGGGGCCGGCGGACATTGGCCCATTACTCCTCTGCGTCGAGTTTTCATGGCGTCCATCTGCCCCTTCTGATCTGTGAACACTTGCGAAGCTGCTCTGGCTGCTACTCATGCTAACATCCTGTCGTGCAGTCTCTTGAGATCTCATATACGTGCCGCCACCTCCCATCTCCATCGATGATGCCGAATCCATGGGGCTCATTCGATTATTGTCCATCCAGTCTTCTTCTGCGTTCACAATCGTTTCCAGCGGCGGTTGAGTGAATGGCGTAGGCGTTGATGGGCTCGTTGGGGAAAGCGTCGGTGGGGGAGGTTCCGGTAAAGGTTTTGCAAGACTGTTTTGGAGACTCAGGCTCCGTGCATGTTGCGCCTGGAGTGGGTTTGGAGACTTTATATGGATAGGAGACGATATGGACGGTCGCTCTGCGGCGGGAATGGAAGACTCAGCGGGTCGTCGTAGACCGAGCTGTGAAGGTTGGCGCGTGAGCCTCGCAAACTCCTCCCGGCCGGGAGTGATCTTTTTGATGCCGCGGAAAGCTGAAGACAAAAACTCGGACGGGGTCCTTGCAGGAGAACGAGATGTCTGTTCCTCGGACTCGGAATCGGAGAAGCGACTGAGGTCGAAAGCACTCGGCGGCTGCTGGTCTGAAGTTGGCGATGTCAGTCCAAAGCCCGCCATTTCGACAGTTACTGCGCCTGCAGCGCAAAACTATCTATGCAAAAAGGCTCTTGAGAGTGAAACAGGCGACAAGACATGGGCATAGTCACAAGAAGTCCCAGGAAGGAAAAGGTCATGTGAAAGAGCAGTGCAGTAGGGCGACGGCACAACAAGAGCAAAGTGAGGGCGAGCCAAGATGCAGTCACCTGGCAAATGACAAACGCGGGTCCAGCCGAAGAAAAGAACAGGAGGGAAAAGTCCAGGATCGGTTGGGTCCGCCGTTGAGGCACAGACAGGAGTCGATTCCGGGACAATGGGTCAAGGTGAGCGATGGCTATCCTGGGAGCATTCACACCTTGGACGGAGCCCAGGGGCTAGACACACCGGGCTGCCCCGAGTAAGTTCCCAAGACTCTCGTACCAGTCCGCGGCCTTTACCATGAGCCTAGCAGCCATATTCCCTACCAGCATGGAAAGGAATGCGAGGGGAACAGCGAAGAAGGGAATCTTGGCCGGCCGACCTGAAGCAGAAACCCAAACATGTTGTGGGGATTAGCCGTGCGGGCAGTGGGAACTCGGAGAGGCCGCGAGTGTCAGGCACCTCCAACCATGGCAGGAAGGGCGGCGTGGATCATGGGGGGACTGCGCAATGGCACAGCGTAGGAATTGGAAGGCAGTGACGAGATGGGCATATCAAGAGAGGGATCAGGGGCCGTGGAATCAACCAATTTGAGATGGGAAATGGGTAATGCGAAGCGTACCTGATCAAATCGTCGCAGAGGTGGCAAGGCGACGATGTACCGTAAGGTGTTTGTTTTGACGTAACCAAAGTTGGAAGATGAAATTGATGTTGCGACGAAGTTAATGCTTCCTTTGATTTCCGATCTGGTGTCCCTCCGTAACCAGGGCTTCGTCGAGCGTATACTTGTACGGGCGGCGGCGGGGCTGATGCGCAGGCGAACGGGTAGACGAACAGATGGGATGGAACAGGCGGGACAGAACAACGGACGAGAGTAGAAAGGAGGGATGAAAGACGCAATACTGACACGTTCGGTCGAAGTGGTCGGTGCAGAGAGCGCGCATCGGTGTGCAGGTAGAGTCGGTGGTACTGTAGAGTTCTTTGCAGGGTGCCGCACGGACTCGGCGTTCAAGGGAGAGGACGGAGGAAAGTACTTGTACAACGACCAGGTACCCTACCTAGCTCTATGGACCAGGAATCTAGTCTAGTTCTAGAATTTGCAAGCGGTTTGGTTCGTGCGCCCGCGTGTATAAAGGATCGCAGGAGATAAGTAGGTAGGTAATGCAAGGTTGCGGCGATCACTCGTCGGCCGTTTGGTGCAAGAGGAAGAAAATGGAAGTGAAGTCGGACAGTAGTGCAGTGTAAGTACCTAAGTACTAGACAAGGGACTGGGGACGGGAATGGGGTTGCTTTTAGCTGCTACAACCTCTTCCTCTTTTCTTTGATTCCCTGCGGGTTGAAGAGTCGCCGAACTGAAACCCCCTTCATCAATCAACTTTGCTTTCATGCTACACTATATAAGTACCAAAAGGAAAGGTACATGGAAGGTATAGGCCCTCAGAGATCCCCCCGTCTCAGGGAAAAACCCAGATGAAATTTCAAAACTCCCTTCTCCTTTTTTTTTTTTTTTTTTTTTTTTTTTGCAATGCCAATCTCGACTTGTCTTCAATGCCTTTTCGACATCGTCGCAAGATAGGCCATTCAGGGGCAGGCGTCAGTCGCGCTAGAGATTGACACGACGCTCCGCGTGGTTCTCGTGGACGATGGATCCCAAGGCACACAAAAGGGTGGATTCAATGCTGCAACCTTCGACAAAGAGAGCCACACGAATCGACAGATGGTGGCTCGAAGCTGCGCTTTTCTTGACAAATCGCAGCAAGTCGTCCGCCTTCGAGAAGCAATGCCAAGAACTACGCAGGGACTCCCTCGGGAAAAGGATCCACACTCGGCACAGACTGACATCTTTCATCGATTCCGTCCTATGATACTGTAGTGTCCCCTGTTTGAAGTTCCCGTTTCTCGTCAACCATTCCGAGTTCAGTTTCTCTCCAAAGTCCGCAATCGCACAAGAATAGGTCTTCTTCCTCTCTCCCTTTTCGACGTCAGCTGTCATCATCTTTGACTTTGTTTCACGGGCATGCCACCATATCCTAGGTATACAGGACACTCTCCCCGTCGCCCCCTCCTTTAATTGAACCGTCAACACCCACTGCCATCCCACCCAGTTTCCGGTTTACCTCACATCCCTACCGCTATCTCGTGGCTAACAAGGTTCACATCTTTACTGCATAGTACTCTCACTTCCCCCGGCGTCATCGGGACATTCTCCCTTTTGGGATACGAAACACCAGGCGACGAAATAGCTAACCAAAGGAAACGAACCCTGCCAGCGCGCTTGCTATGCCTATCCTTCTCGGTCAAACCTTCTAACATCACCCATCAGAACGTTGACCGTCAAATTATTGCCGTTCCGCATGGCATCACTCGGTGATTAGGCCCCTTTTTCCATATGGATCCTTTCTAACAAAAAAATTGGAGATTCCAATCATCTACCGTAGCCCTTGGGTCTAACACAAGCCGCATGCACTAGTATAATTACAGTCGGTTATACTGATTCGTGCCAACCCTGAATTCGTATGCCACCTTTGTTCTCAATATCGAGGTTCACGACGTGTATGTTTCTTAGCATCCATACAGTACAGTAAACAAAAAGAAGAAGAAAAAAAACCAAAATAACCATTATAGAACAAAGACGTAAGCTGTAAGTCCTGCGGGACTTATTCTAGATTTTTCCATGTGTTGAATGATGTTGAAGATGCCGAATGCTGTAAACTACGCCATTTGGCCATCTTTACATGGCAACGCCCACCCAGGCCAGTGTGAAAGCCATCCCTCGAACTCTCACGTAACTGCCCATCCGTGACATTAGCTCGATAGCCAGCATGCCAGGCGGCCAAGGCCAGTAAGTCGAAGACTGCGAGGCCAAGTGAATCACTAAGAACAATGTCTTTTTTTTTTTTCCCCTTCAAATTAATCGCCAGAGACGGCCAGCTGTGCAGCAGTCAGGAACGGTTGTTGTTCGTCATTAGTTTTTTCTTATTTCATTTCATTTATCTGTTTGTTCATCTTTGTTTTTGGGTGACTACGCTTGAGAGCGAAAGAAAAAGAAAAGAGAACTCCAGTCCCCAACCGTCGCAGCACACTTCAGATAAGCCACGTCCGCCCTACGCTTAAGCGTCCTTGGGAAGGGGAGTGAAGCGGAGGTAGGGCTTGACAGCCTTGAGGTTGGGGAAGAGACGGGTGGCCTCCTCTCCCTTGATGGAAGGGTGGACAATAACGTCATCACCAGGGACCCAGTTAATGGGGGTGGTGACCTTGTGCTTGTCGCCGGTCTGGAGGGAGTCGACGATGCGGAGGATCTCGGCGGAGTTGCGGCCGGTCGAGGCGGGGTACGCGAGGATGGTGCGGATGGTCTTCTTGGGGTCGATGACGAAGACGGAGCGGATGGTGAAGGCGATGCCCTTCTCGTCGACGTTGGTGGTGTCCTGGTAGTCGAGCCTGTAGAACAGAGTGTCAGCAACTCGATGCCCACTTTCCTCAACCCCCCTCCCTATCTGTGAAATGTGGTGGGTATACTTACATGTCGTAGAGGTAGGCAACCTTGCGCTCCTTATCGGCAATGATGGGGAACTGGACCTGAGAGCCGGTGACATCCTTGATGTCGTTGATCCAGCCCTCGTGGCTGCCGAGGGTGTTGGCGGAGAGACCGATCAACTTGACGCCGCGCTTCTTGAACTCGGGCTCAAGGCGGGCCATCTCGCCGAGCTCGGTGGTGCAGACGGGGGTGTAGTCCTCGGGGTGGGAGAAGAGGATGACCCAGTTGTCGCCGATAAACTCGTGGAAGTCAATGGGACCCGTGGTGGTGTCAGCCTGGAAGTTGGGGGCAATGGTGCCCAGGCGGAGGCTGCATCGGGAATCACGGGTCAGTCGTTCATCCGCGCAAAACGAGCTTTGTGGACAGTGATGACGAAGGAGGCTCGAGGACTTACGGAGCGTTGCGGTCGGTGGAGGCCATTGTAAATTATGTTGTGTGGTGGGAAAAGAGGAATGGGTATCTCAGAAAAACAGCAGAAACAGTTGAAAGAAGAGAGAAGCTGAAAATGAAATCAGAGCATGCAAGGAGTGATGAGGGGCGGCGGAGGCATTTAAAGCATCTTGTTCTCTATGGTACCTACTTTGCGGTTTGACTAATCCCTCCGGGCAGCTCCAGCTCGCGCCATGTACACACACACGCAGAAGTACGTACATCTTTTAGCTTCCGGGATCTAATACATCCCTCAATGCCGCCGCCGAAAGGCTTCCAGTTCTGGCCAGATGAACATGGCTGTCTCGGTCTTGTAGAAAGCATTGACAAGTAGTGTATTTACGTATTGCAAAAGCCACCAAGGTTACACGCTCTCTGTACAGTACAGCTCTCACTTTCTTACATACGTAGCAAAGGAACTCATCGAGGTTCTCACGAGTCCGTTTGTTTCCACCGGGGCAGCTCTTCAGTCAGGATACCTCCTCGTCTCTTCGTCCATACATGCTCCGACCCCGAAGATTACATATGGTTCCCGCTGCACTCCCGGTTGTGTGCCATCCCATCCCCTTTTCCATCACCTGTTGCAGTGCCTCATCCCAGACCAAATCCAATAATTGAAAAGTCTTTGCTGTAGTGTCTCACACAATCACACACCACCATGACATGAAGCCAAAGCGAGCCAAGACAACCTTTTTGTCTCTTTTTGAGCTCCAAAACGCGGGGTGTATTTGGCCCCTCCATGAGGATGCCCTGAGGAACGAGGGGCAATCGCTCCCTCTTTCGGCCTGGCGGCTCATTGCGCAATCACCTGCATCTCCCATTGGATGCCAACACTAGCTATAACAATTATGTCATTTGGTGCTCGCTCACGCAACGGTCATGATCCGTGTGGGGGGGCATTCCTGTTTGATTTGGTTCGCAGGCTCGTGAACTTCTTGGATGCTTGCCTTTGAGCCTTTCTATTTTTGTTTGTTCAATCGTCTGTGGCGTTTCCGCTTTGAATCGATCGTATGCTGAAAGGATGGAGGTAGAGTGAAGCATGCTTCGTGGTGAGTCTACTGTGTGTAGCCAACAAGTACCGGATCCTCCCGAAGCCCTCTCCGTGCTCCGTCCAAGGGCGGGCGGGGGAAAAAGCATGCGTCCGCACATGTGGAGGCCGACAGCCGGAAACAACAAGGGTGTCCGATGGTGTGCCTGGTTCCAAGTCTCCGGGTGTCGGGATCAATGGCGAGCTCGGCATCAAGTGGAGAGGACATGGTTGAGAAGGCGGCGCTTCCAGCTGCATCGTCTTGCCTCGGCAATAACTACGAATTCGATCTGAAGGCCGACTCACTCGGCCACGGGGTGATTCTCATCACTAGAACTTCGGCTTGCCGGCGATTATCCAACAAAGCATTCACATTACGGACAGTTAATAATTTGGCAGATCACGGCAGTTGCTCACCCGTGCCACTACCGGAGCTCCCGATTAACACCGGCCTATGGCGGACGATTGTTTTGGCTCCGGGCTGTAATAAGTGGCATCGGAGCTTGGGTATAAGTACTGGTCGTGGCTGCCAATAAAGAACAAATAAAGTAGGCCTGAAGCGGAATAAAGGAGAACCATGAGATATGTCTCACTGCGATATGGTGATATGTTCTGGGCAACCGACCCATGTCGGAGTGGTTGGGAGGGCGTGATTTTCCATGATAATTATAGCCGGACTCCTGATTACCTTACTTTTATTCGACTTGAACTCATTCGTAAAGATTGCGCCAAAACCAACGCCAGCCCATCTCAAAGCTTCACATTACCTCCATTAAGCTCCTTCCAATCCGCTACACCGAACTTGACGTACGTACCGTTCCTTAGCCAGAACACTTCATCCTCACCCGTCCTGGCCGGATCTACGCCCTCGCTCCGTAGGTTGTGCTTCTGCTGCTTGTTCGTACCTGTCGCCTGGAGGCCTCCCTCCGGCACTACGCGCAGGAAGAGAGGCAAGGCGTACTTGGGGAGCCCCCTCTTGACATGCTCAGCTAGACTCTTAACGGTGTCGTCAGTTGGCCTAGGTGCTCTAGCCGCCTCGCCGCTTGTCTGCACCAAGCACGACGGCTTCAAAACCACGGCGGCGCAGCCCGCGCGACCCTCGTGGCTGGGCACCTGGACGCCGTAGACATTGCACTCGAGAACCGCGGGATGCAAGCCAACCACCTGGGCAACCTCAGCAGTCGAGACGTTCTCACTCTTCCACCGAAAAGTGTCACCGATACGGTCGCTGAAGTAAACTCGGTTCTCGTTATCCCAGCGCAGCACATCACCGGTACGGAACCAGGCATCGCCCTTGCTAAACACATCCCTCATCACCTTTTTCGATGTTGATTCCTCATCGCCATAGTAGCCCTGGAAGCGAGAGTTGATATCGCCAGGCGGTAACCTAAAGAGCAGCTCGCCTGGCTCTCCGCGGGGCGCTCGGGTACAAAACCCGGTTTTGGGATCTCGGCGAGGAAGCTCGGTTTCATGGTCCACCTCGACAATGGCAACCTCTCTTGTAAAGATAACGTTATAGAGACTACCGCTTCGCCCCACTGCACCCATGCTGAAGTCGTTTCGGCTCTTGTTCCACGTCGCAAAGGTGCCTTCGGTTGCGCCATAGAATTCGGCGATCGTCTCGATTCCAAAACGCTCCTTGAATCGGTTCCATACATCCGGTCGCAGTCCGTTTCCAAAGGCAGCGCGTACTCTATGTTTGCGGTCAAGGTCTTCACCAGTAACTGGATCAACAATGGGAGGTGCCGATAGGAGGTACCGGCACGTCTCTCCAACGTACTGGATAATCGTGGCATTGTGTTTTCGGACGTCATTCCAAAATCCGGAAGTCGAGAACTTACGGCTCATGGCAAAAGTGGCACCTGCTGCCAAAGTATGAGCAAAGCCCAATAGCATGGCTGTGCTGTGGTAGAGAGGCATGGCCTGAGAAAAGTATGAGTTGAAGCGATGTAACGAATCTTTGAAGGAGACTTACCGTATAATACACATCGTTCACATTGGTGCCGAGCCATCGAAAGGTGAAATTGGCAACAGTGGCAGCCTTGGCCCATGAGATAATGGCAGCTTTGGGCAAGCCAGTCGTACCGCTAGTGTAGATAAGCATCGCCATGTCTTTGTCCTCGAATCCGCTTCTCAGCTCATCCGCAGGGCGGACGCTATCCATCGCCAACATCTCTTGTTCCAGCTCTGGCGTCACGACTTCGAAGATGACGCCCCCCAAAGCCGACCTGACATCTTCACTGACATTGCCCGCAACAACGGGATCGACCAGGACCAACCGCGCCGTTGACTTGTTCACGCAGTGAATAAGCGGGTTACCGGTAAGGTTGTAATTCAGCAGCGCCGGCGACGCTCCAATGGCCCATGTAGCGAGGACGAGGAAGATGAAAGTATCGGTATTTTGAAAGTCCAAGCCAACGAGATCGCCCCTCTTGACGCCGCGCCTGTCCTTGAGCCAGTTGGCATAGCGCAGGACTGTATCATAAGCCTGCGCATACGTGTATGCCCGGTCTTCGAACCGAAGGAACACTCTGTTTTCGGACGACTTGGTGGTTGCGAGGTTCTCGAGTTGGTAAAAGAGATTCACACGGTCCCGGTAGCGCTTCCAAGCACCGCCGAGGACGGTAGGAACAATGGCCCTGAGTAGTTCCAGGTCGTAGTAAGCAAGGAATCGAGCATTGGCGTAAGCAGCAGCAGCAGCTACCGCGGGAATGGTAACTTGTAGGGGTACTGCGCGGAACAGATTCCGGGTGTGTCAGCGAACTTTATGCAGGGTTGCGGCTCACGAACCAACGTTTTGACGTCACGTTTGCGGTGTGTGCCGTTCTGTACGTAGTCTCCCATACATCGAAAGATGGACCTGAACTTACTTGAAGCCATATCGGCAGAAAACGGGCGGCGCAAAGACGGTCAGTCAAGTATAAGCACCCTAGTGTATGTATAATGTGCCCCTTGCCGGAAGGACATGCAAACCGAAAGCAAGAAGAGAGGTGGAAGAAAGTTTGGAGATAAGGAAGCCGCGCTTGGGTACTTTAAGGGCTGCACCTAAGGTATACAGTGCAACACCAAAAGGTTGGTTGGTGGAATTAAGCCCAAGGCAGGATGAGATGCCCGGTCAGTGAAAGAGTCTTGATCAGAGACAACGGTGAACACTGGCGGAGCTGTAAACCTGACAGGCGGCCCCTTGGCAACCCCACGACTGCAGGGTCCCCGGGCGTGTCTTTGGATTGTTTTGCGCTGTTGCCAAAGCTGGGATTGCTAGCCTCTGACTTGGGATCTTGGCCTATCCGGCTGGGATGATGATGGTCTGAATGGGAATTCAAGCTATCGCCCCCGGGGACCCGGGCCCAGCCGCATGCAACGCAAGGACGACGTCCGAAGTCAAATGTACATTACCCATTCGTCTCCTGTCGACAACATCTCGGCGTTTTTTTTTTTTTTTTTTTTTTTTTTTTTTTTTTTTTTTTTTTTTTTTTTTTTTTTTTTTTCCTTCCGCCGTTGATAAGGACGCTGGAATGCACGAAGAACGTGGAGGAAAAGAGCAACGAATCAATTGCAAACCTAACGATGGATGGTCGGATCCGCGGATTCGGTGTTGTGTTTTAACAGATGCCACCTGCATGCTATCGGATGATCACAGGTCTTTGTGTGCCTCGGCTTCTCGAGTCTTTTAGTCACTGCACCACCATCTGCAGCTTTGGCACTGGACAGAGATGATGGATGGCTTGAAATTGAATGTTACGACAGGGGTAACCAGTCTGCCCATTTATCAGGAGGCAGCGAAATCTGTAGAAACCCGATTAAGCAGACCGATCTTGCACATCTCGTGGTCTCCAGCTGATGCCGCTGATGTGAATGTACATCGCGTATAAGCGAGCCGCGCGGGGTGCAGTAGCGCCCCCCTCCGGAGCCGGGAAGTACCCATCCAGGAACGGTGCGGTTGGAATTTTGGCGGGCAAGCACTTGTCACCGTGAGGCATGAAGCAATTCCGACAGTCTGTTCCAGTCTGTTGGTGGCAGATTTTGGTTGAGTCGTTGTCCTGGTTGGGCAACGAAGGTATGGTATTTTTTTTCTTTCTGGTGAAACCGTCCACAGTAACACGACAGACCCACGTTCGGCAAAGCGAAGACGATGTAAGAAGACGGACACCCAAAAAGAAGAGACGTCCGGTTTCGCAGATAAATAGGGTTCATCATGAACCTTGATCAAATGAGATGCGGCTCGAACGTGGTGCTTCTTGATGGTTGCAATTCAATAGAAAAAAGATGAACGGATGTGTTCCGTCTCGATTGTAGACTGTGTGGGATTCACAGCAGCCTTGTGATTGGAGATTCGAGTAAAGTTCCATCATATAACGAAGATGAGCGCTTGGCGGAAGTGGAGGCAGGTACCCACGTTAAGGGATCTCCACGGCTAGCCGTTTCGGACGAGCCATTCAGTGCCTTAACTGTACATACATACTGCCTGAGAGACGCGGTTGGTGGTCGCCAAGGCATGGCGCCGGTGTTCCATGTTCAAGGTCATCCTGTCTGATAGTACACGCGACACCTCGATGTCGTTGACGCTGTGAATATCCAGGACATTCGAGCAGCGCGGTAGATGGATTTTGGCAAATAGGTCCGACTCAACATTTACCATGTTTGCCCGACGACCAATCGACCATGGCGCAGCTGGCGACACTCTGTCCTCCGAGACTCAAATGGCGACGATGACATCGAGTCCTATGGCCACTCCACTGTCATCGGCGACAGCAGCGCAAACATCGACACGAAAGGAACCACCCCCCGAAAAGCTTTCCGACATTCGCAGACGCATATGGGTTATAGTGTCGTTCTGGCTGATCGTCCTGCTACTGGGATTGCCAGTATGGTGGAAGACGACTACCATCCACCGAGCTAACCTTCCCCTGAAGGAGATGCTCGACTGGGCGGATGGCAAGGTGCGCATGATGAGCAAACACCATGTCTGAAGCTCGAAACTTGACATTGCTAACCCGCGCTTGAACATTGTATAGGCATGTCGCCCTGTCTTTCCTCTCCGCATCTCAATCCAAGCCAACTCGCTCCCGGAGCAAGAGGCCCAGAACCTCCTCCGTCTCACCCAGCACGCCCTCGATGACCTTAACGACTTCTCGGGGCACCACTTGCGACTGCAACTCTCCTCGCCCGCTGCGCCACAGAAACGGAATGATGAACCCGATACGGCTCTCACAATACGTCTTCTTCCCGGTGATGCCGTAACAGCAACGCTCGATCCTTACGAGCCTGTCCTTGACATCACATACCCGCCGAATGCTGCACCCTCCGCCACATCAGCTTCGTCATCGCTAGCGACCTATGTGGCCGGCCAGCTACGATCTACCTTTGCCGAGGAGCAAGCCATTATATCCTACCTGCTCTCCAGTAACTCGATACCGACCGACTACCGGCCTCAGAGCTTGACCCCAGAAGCGGCCGAATCACTTGCCAAGCGGACGACACGATCGCTCAAGTATGCGCCTACATACCACCTCACCTTTTCTCTGTTCACCAGCGGACCGCTTCCAAGCAACTGGGATATTGAAGCCGCCATTCAGGACTATCTGAAGCCCGTTCTAGATTTGCTGTCGCCCATTCATAACTTTACCATTGATACCCAGGTGCAGCTGTATGCATCGCCAGGAGTGCAGAACCAGGTACTAAGCAAGGATGACCTCTCGTCCTTCATCAACGCCGCCGAATGGCCTCTTTCACCCTCCATAGGCGGTGCGCCGACAGTGAACTTCATTGTGTTTGTTGGCAACCAGACCATTGCACTCTCCTCTGAGAATGCCCGGGATTCAGCTGAGGGTGGGTTGACCACTTCCCAGTCATGGCTGATCCCACAATGGGGCACTGTTTACTTGCTTTCCCTCCCGCATGACACTGCCCATGTGTCTGTGGATGCCCTTAAACAGCCTTTATTGACCTTTACATCCCATCTCTTGTCCCTGACCGGGACACCGAGTTCTGGTTCCCTCCCGCTTCGCCTGTCTACGCTGTCCCGCATCCGCTCGGCAGACCTCCTTCTGCGGGCCTCCTCTACTCTCGGTTCCTTGGCTCGTCTTGCCTTGGCACTAAAGTCGATTTCCATCCCTAGCAGTGTCGCAGATGGTGTATCCAAGACTATTGTTCATTTGCGCCAAGCTTGCGAGACCCTTGGCGAAGCCGAAGGCCTGGAGCATGCCAGAATAGCCGAGGCTGAGGCTGAGCGCGCCTTCTTCGAGAAGAGTATGGTTGGCCAGCTGTATTTCCCGGATGAGCACAAGGTAGCCGTGTATCTTCCTTTGCTTGGACCTGTGGCTGTACCCTTGGTCATGGGGATGTTGAACGAGTTGAAGGCTTGGAGGAAAAGGAAAAGAGAGGCGGCGGAGAAAGGGAAGGAGAAGAAGAAGGATTGAGATACCTCCTGTCCGTGCGTTATAGAAAACATAAGCATTGTATAAGGGGTTCACTGAGCCCTAGGCATGGGACAATAAGGAATATGGCTCACGTCCGAGTTGTATATTTAGAGTCCCTTTAGGGAGCCGGTTCTTGACTATCATCATTATCATCATCACCATCATCATTCGGCCATCGGCTTTGGTTGAGAGTTCAACTGCTCTAATACACTGAGCCCAGAATTTGCGGTTGGCAATAGCAGCATAGATTATTTATTGGTACACGGAGCGGGACATAATGGCGATAAGTCGGCTTCGGCGGGCACTTGGTCTTTGAGACATCCTCATCTATCTATATAACGTTGACAGTCCTGTTCTTGCACATAGCTGCAGGCTGAGAGTTGGTCTTGACAAGCACACGATGCGAGAAGAAAATGACGTTGTGATATCCGGGTGTGTAGATGCAGATATAAATGCTCTAGCCTAGGTAAAAGGAAAAGGGTATTCTATGCTATGCTGTCCGCGATGTTTCGCGATGATGCGCCTGTCCCGATGCAAACTATCTAACCTCTTCATTGCCGTACAACTCTTTCTGTTATTCCGCATTCCTGCATGCCATGCATCCCGCTGCGTGTCCCGTTTTCCACTAGCATTAAAATCATCTTCCCCTGCCGCTTGTGGAAGCCAGTTCCCAAGCAACGATGCAGCCAGCAACAGCTGAGATCAATGCCGACATGCATTCCTCCATCCACTCCTTGCTGGAGTCCGATCCAGGGATCAAATTCTCTGTGTTTCAATCCGCCACCCTAAACTCCGACAACAGGCTTGGCCCTCTGACCCCTTGCCCTACCCTTGAGCGTAGCCATGGTATCGACAATAACGATGAACAAAAAGGTAACCCAGAGAAGGAAGCCGAACGCAGTAGCGGCCTCGACACATCCGCAGAATGTGCCGGCACCGCAGCTCGGAGACCCGAAATAAACGGCGAGAGCGATCGAACCGGCGAACCAGAAGATCATGGTGATCCACTCCAGCGCGAGGGCGATGGTGCGCTGGAACGTCTTGGGGAAGTAAGGCGGGAAGAGGGCAATGTAAATGAGAACCAACAAAGTCCAGACGGAGCTGAAGAGCATGAAGGCGTAGATGCCGGGGGCTCGCCACCAGGGTGATACGACTGTTGTTGGAGATTGTTAGTGGTGTAATGGTTTAAAAGTGGAAGATGGAGAAAAACTCACGGTAACATGTTAGACCGAGCTCGATAAGGCCAAAGACCGTTGCGATCATGTGGGCGTAGGGGATGTAGCGGTTTAGAGATTCCATGGTAGCGGTTGTGATGATGTAATGCTGGGTGTTTGAGATAGTTCCACGAGATAAAGCGGTTGGGTTTGAAAAGTCTCAAGTCGTCGAGAATAGAACCGTTGGTGGATAATGTATAGTTTGACTTTGTTTACTTGGTGGATTCGTTTTCACTCAGGACAGTTCGAGGCGGCTGAGTTACTAAGTAGGTGATATGAAAGTTTGATGCGGATGAAGATTTGGATTCTGGAAGAGTCGTCACTGCCGCGAGCTTATATCTTAAAAGTTTCTACTCAAGTGGAAGCCAGGTTCCCCGTTGTCGGCTTTGTGACTTTCTTTACAGGGAACACAAATGACGCGCGGTAACAACGCATTGGCGCCCTCGACAAGTCGAACTAGCACGATTTCGGGCCATAGACACAATAGGGTTCAGTGACGTTACGTGGTGTCGAGCGACGGGAGAACAGACGCCAGTCATGGAGCTGGTGCACTGCTCGTGAGCCAATCGACAAGTTGGCCAAGGATCCAGGTGACACACGCCTAGCAAGGGCCAGTTGTGCGTAGGGCTCGTTGGCATGGGGACTGCTGGACACCCGCGACTGTAGCAAGGGTTCCGATCTTTATTTATACCTTTTAGCCTGCTCGGTAGATGACGGTTAGCTACCCGTGAGGGTTCTCAAGTCATCTGCAGAATCTGATCACCCTGGGATATCTACAGATCACATTGCCGTAGAGGTAAGCGTTGTTTTTGTTTACTTTGTAACCGCCGGGAAAAGGAGAATGTGACGTCATGTTTGATTGGATGGCGTTGATGCTGGGCAAAGAGTGCAAAAGGCCCAGACGACGAACGAGTCCTGGATCGGGCCAAGGACTTTTGACCGTGGCTGTGCAGCTTCCTTCGCTAGAGGTACGTAGTAGTATTCTTCCCCTAGCTGTTTTAAAGTGGCGCGCGGCTGGCTGTGCCTTCAGCGGTTGAACTCACTCATTGCGAATCAATCGAGTGGCTCGTGCTCCTGCTATCTGCAGGCACTCAGTTTCCACTGGACGCACCACTGCAGGCGGGCAGCTTTTCGCTTTTCGTAGAGCGGGGTCTTCCGCGCACCAAAGAGTGGAGCTCGAAATTGGATGGATCCAATCCAAAAGATTTTCAACCCCGCCATCCTTGGGCCACATTGTCGTCGCTGCCTCTGCCTCTGTTGACTCCTTTCTCTCTCACCAGGCATTCCTCACATCAACATCCATCTCTCATCACCACTTCTCAATCCTCAAAATCCAGCAAAATGGGCTTCACTGATCTCCTCACCGATGCCGGCCTTGCCGGTAAGCAACCCCCAACCTGCCGCTTGCGCCTGCGCTTGCGCTCGACGAGAAGCGCAATCATGAGAGAAGGACTTGTCAACTAACGCGCTTTGGCATCAGTGCTCAACAACTGGCTTCTCACCCGCTCTTACGTTACTGGGTATGTATCACGGACTTCTCCATGATATGATGGTCACTTTCCTGCCCTTTCGAATGATGAACACACTGGTCCGTGTTGCTGAGCAGCTTAAGACCCTGCAAATGATTAACACAACAGCACTTTTGTGCACTTCTGACTCGAACCTCCTCCAACAACACACTGGATGTACATCAATGCACGCTCTGGTTCTTGGCGAACATGCTCTTGCTAACGCGCAGCTCTGTATAGCTACACTGCCTCCCAGGCTGATGTTGCCGTCTTCAAGGCCCTGAAGGAGGCTCCCTCCGCCGAGAAGTACCCCAACGCTGCCCGCTGGTACAAGCACATCGCCACCTACGAGGATGAGTTCGCCACCCTCGCCGGCGACTCCTCTGCCCCCTACACCACCTACGGCCCTGATGTCGCCGAGGTCACCATCAACCCCGCCAAGGCCCCTGAGGCTGCTGCCGAGGAGGAGGAGGAGGATGTCGACCTTTTCGGCTCCGACGATGAGGAGGAGGACGCTGAGGCTGCTCGCATCCGTGAGGAGCGCCTTGCTGCCTACCGCGAGAAGAAGGCTGCCAAGCCCAAGATCGCTGCCAAGTCCATCGTCACCATGGATGTCAAGCCCTGGGGTAAGTTTTCCTTTCTTCCGCGGTGTACAGACGAAGCATCTGTGCTAATCCGGTCGTTACAGATGACGAGACCGACATGGTTGCTCTTGAGGCTGCCGTCCGTGGCATTGAGAAGGATGGTCTCGTCTGGGGTGGTTCCAAGCTCGTCCCCGTCGGCTTCGGTATCAAGAAGCTCCAGATCAACATGGTCATTGAGGACGAGAAGATCTCCCTCGATGAGCTCCAGGAGGAGATCGCTGGATTCGAGGACTATGTCCAGTCCACCGATATCGCTGCCATGCAGAAGCTCTAAGCTTTGGCTGAGAGTTTGATTGCAGAGGTATGAACAAGTTATGAATCTAATGATACCAGATGTTGCCATTTGAATGTCTGTTCATAATTGCTTTGAGCCGTGCTTGTGTTCTGATGTGACCCTTCGTACAAGGGTAACGAGACTACTATACATCCTTGATTGCGAGCGTTAAACTGTTGGAGTGACTGGTTAGTACCTGTCGAGGCGATCGCGCATGGCCTAGAGCGGTGTGCCCGTCTTGTTGCGTACCTTGACGACTGGACTAGGGCCATCAAAATCCATAGGTATGTGCGTGAACATGCCAAATACAAGTTGAGAGGGTCGAAGCTGAATTGTTACGCCGAGGACATGAAGATGGCAGCAATGAGGAAAAGATAGAATCTCGGTCGCTCTTGGCCTCATCCTTGCATTTGTCTCGGTCTTTTTCTTCAGCCTGCGCAAGTCACTCCAATTTTCCAGCTGACCATGAACGAGTGAAAGAAAGACATGTGATGTCGATGAGCTTAGAAATGGTGCATTGATCGGAGGGAAGGTTGACAAGGCAAAGTAAAAGATACTTGGGGGTTGTGGTGCGGTTTGGTGGTGGAACCTTTCCTCGACCCCCAAGGCAGGATCCGGTGAAGTTGCACCTAGTGAGCGACGACTTCCTTTTGCACGCCACCGGCGGCTTCTTGAGAAACCTTACTCACGAACCGCAGCTGCCACGCGATGCCGCCAGGTTTGGCTTCGAAAGGTGCTTCCCAACACTAACGGCTGCGTCAGGATTAGGAACAGAATTTCGGGGGTGAACTGAAGGGCTGCACCAGGGACTTCGCTTACACGTCTCTGGCCTGGGGGAAAAAAATGTCGTCTATAACCAAGGTGCTTCGACTTTGCCAAACCCCCATTCCTCGTCTACTCTTTACCCTTCTTATTGTTCTTGTTAATCACTACCCTAGTCCTCATTTCAAAGCCCCGGGCCAAAAGAAGGACTACCGTCGGCAGCCAAATATACAAGCCATTCTTGCAATTTTAAGAGAATCAATCGAAATGATAGAGGGAACTTTTGCTGTCAACGTCCATGACTCTCACCTCGGCCTTTTACGCCTCTGCCTCAGGGCCATTGGCTGTTCCTTTGCGCTTCCTGTCGCCTTGGCTGTGCTCTGCAAGAAGGCTCTGTTCGCATCACTAGAGATGATCTTCCATGTTCCTATCCGACTCCGCTGCCTCTTTTCTGCCCGAGCCAGTCAACACCTGGCCATTGAGATTCAAAAGCAGGCTCATCAGTATGCTAGCCCGAATGGCTCTATAGACAGCCTTCCTTCGCTCATCTCACCCGGTTCGTCGACATACAGCTCACACATCGGCGACCTTGACCTCGATCCCGACGACGACGACGACGACGACAATGAGCTCCCTTCGCTTCCTTATATCCCTCCGACACCCGAGGGCATCAAGCGGTGGGTCGAACTCTCTGCTGAAGCCCGTCGCAGGGTAGCAGATGTGCAGCATGACGGTCTGAACTGGATGTCATGCAGTCCGCCCCCGAGTCCCCGTTTGCCGTTGCGTGATCTGCCAAAGGGTATCCCGGAGTGGAGGGAGGAATGAAGCGACTTCGACTTGCCTCCGAATCCTCTAAATATCCCAACGTCAGAGAGATTGAGAAGATGGTGGGGTGAAGCTACTGAAGAGGACCGCGCCCGGATCAATCGTATCAGCACTGACGGGTTGAACTGGCGGACGTGGGGTCCTCCTCCCCAGCCCTCCTGTGACGGAGAGCCAGTCGTTTGGTCTGGGATTGGCCCTTGGGTTGCTGGAAATGGCGACGATGGCCTTCCATACGGAACATGTGCGACTGGTAGCAGCGAACAGACGTTGCACAAGCCGATAGTGGACTGGCAGTCACTTGCACAACGACACCCTCAGAATGGATTGCCATCTTGGGAAGAGCTCCCATCCTCGCATGAAGTGCTTGAGTATGCCGTTTCGGATACAGTTCACGCAAACTTGTTGCTGGTTGTTGCACTCTCCTCGGCAGCAGAGCAATCTCGGGACGACAGTGAGACAAGCTTTTGTCAAGTATCGTACAAATAAATAGAGCGAATGTCACACAAGGGATGAACTGGATTTACGGATGGGCCATGTTGGCTTTTGTGGGCTCCTCGTCTGGTTGGTAGAATGACGACGGTTTATGTTTTCGGAGATGGATCAACATGGGCGTGAATTTATACCTCTCTCCGAAGCGAAACTTGGGACAGGTCACGTAAACGTGAGTATTACCCGTGCTTGAGTTGCACAGCAAGGCGCTCATTGCCGTGAGGAGATACTGCTAACGTATCGCTACGTCTTTAGGAACGACAAATTGACTTCGACTCCCATCTATGTGGCTGTTGGACGTGGATGTTGATACCAGTGTGGAATATGCTGCATTGAAATTTGATGATGGTTGGCTGCCTCGAGCATTGCGAGATGATTCCAGGCGCATGACAGCGACTTTACACGACTGTCGCGGCGTGCATGCTCCAAGGCTACGGCCTGACGAGAAAAACGTCACAGGAGGAGCGAGTTAGTATCATTGTATAGATTTTCTCAACGTGGCATAGGGGCCTACATCAGTCTAGACCACACAACCACTGTTTTTCAGGAGTCGATATCTCCACAAACGTAATATTGGCCTATGATTTCCCGTCGGAAGATGTGGATGGCTCAAGCTCTGGTCTTTCGTCTTCATGGGTTTTTTTTTCAGGCGAGTGATACCCAAATGCGTCGGTCTGGGATCTCTTCCGTTCAGACGGCTTGTCATTCGTGAGCGGTGAGGAACGAACAACGGGTTTACTCATGATAACATAATCCGGCATCACTACCTTCCCTGACCGGAACTTCCTTGGCCCAGGTGAGATGTCATCCGTCCCAAACCCGTGCCTTTTGTAAAAGCCAAGGGCGCGTTTGTTGGATAGGAAACATGTCAACATCACCTTTGTAATCGGGGGCAGGTTAGTGGCCACAGTCACATGGAATCCCATCAACAGTGAACCGAGTCCGGAGCTGTGGCAGATAAGTAGTCAGCGAGAGAACTGGTTAGTGTAGGAGTACATACATGGCTGTTTGGCCATTTTTGCACATGATGGACCATGACACGGCGCGTGCTGGAGAGATGAAATATATATATATATATATATATATATATATATATATATATATATTTAATATTTCTTTCTGGCTTCTTACCCCTGTAACTCCGGCTTGAGATGAATTTCATAGCAGTAGATGACCGGCTGACCTTCTTCATAGGTAGGCATCAAGGACGTGAAAGCACGTATAGAGCCGGACGAGCCGTCTTTGACCAGGACGTAGCGAAGATCGGGCGATCTCATTTCTTCCATCTTCTTCCTGGGTTGCCATTTATCTTTGGAGTTTTGGTAATCATCGTAGCTAGTCTCTTTGATCAAGTCGAAGCATGCTTTGAGTTCCTCCTCGCTGAGTTTCCCGGACTGGACCAAGCTAATGGTGTACTTGGTGCCGGTTTTGGGATGCGACCATTCGGTGGTCCAGGGTTTGGGTGGTAGTTGCGCTGGCGATGAGGGGTGTAATGTGGATGTTACGGATGGTTGGAGATAGTTGGCGATGAACTCTTTGTCTGTTTGGCGATTTGCCCTCTCGATGGGGCTCGTTGGCGCCCGTTGGCGTTTTGGTGCCATTGGCGTATGGAAGTTGGTGTCACGCGCTCGTGGTGGGATTGGATGAAGTCTGATGTCGCGTTGAAGTCGAGGTTCACGGCGTGGAACCCGAATGCTTAGTTTCTATAGCAAGCAGTTGTAAATGACGAAAATACTTAGTTTGAATCCTCGATTTCCACTTCCCGCCCAGAACTGCAGCACCACATAAAGCAACGGGTATCAACATACAAAGGGGAGATTAAAGCCACTTCTACGTGATGCCTCATCACACAAAGGTACTTTGTATCTGCTGCAGGGCCTTTCCTATTGAAGCATAGTGTGCAGAAGTATCTTACCTCAACTTTCCTACCACACACTTCGATCTGGTAGCTGCCAAGCCTGATCTGCTTCTTTGCTCCCTTCACTCATCCAAAGGAGTATTCTAATCAGCAAAGCTCAGGGTATAAATCAACCAATCTCATCACAGGCACAAGCTTCACCCGCATAACACCCCATTTCCATGAACCGCCCAGCACCACTTCTAGGGTGCTTGCCAGCTCTGCGGCTTTGCATTCGGGGATATGCAAGCCGCCCCCCGCGGCCTCGTCTGGGGGACACACTGAGTTTGGAACATGTAAGTCGCTCCCACTCATCTCGTGATGAGGATGAGTTTTCCAATCTACCGTCTCTACTTAGTTTCTCCAAAGAGCCCGAGTTTTGGCCTTGTACCGCACCATCATGCGGGCAACCCGCCGGATTCCGGACCCGGCCACGCGTGCCGAGACGAGAAGGATGGCCCGCGCCGAGTTTGAGAGAAACCGCCATGTCACTGACCTTGTTCGTATTCCTCCTTGTCCGATTTCTCATTTTTTGCTTGCGTCCCTTTTGCTACTGACGCTGGCCTGTCTCACTCACAAGGACCACATTCGCTATCTGCTCTCGACAGGCAAGACAGAATGGGAAAATATGGAGAGGTATATTGATGGTCTGTAACTGTCGAAGAGACCATATCTGGCCTCGGCCTTCACCTACCGAAGAACCGTTCTCTTATTCATGGGTCGCATTCCTTGTCATTTGGCTGGGGCCGTATGCGCTGGTATCATCCACACGACCAGGCCGCTGCTGGGTTCGGTTTATCCCAATCTCATTGCTGAATCGCCATGACGGGCCATCGCTTATGCTGCGCGCCAAAAAAAACAAAAAAAAACAAAAGGCCCGTTGAATGCCAGGTCTGATATACACGTCTCCGTATCGGCATGCGAGTCGGCGCTCGTTGTTCAAGATGGTCCTTTCGCCTAACGTATCGTACAGCCCAATCCTTCTATGTAGACCCGAAAATAAAACCACAAGACCAAGACCGTTGTTGAGCGCTCGTTGTACACACCATGTGTCACTCCACTGTCGATATCGCCATCGTCATGTTCACCGGTAGCCCTGGCGCTGCTTGTGTCTGGGATTCGCAGGGCAGATGATGTAGAGGTAGCCGTTTTGCCTCTTGTTGGCCTTGCGACGCACGACCTGTATAGATGTCGGGTTGACGGATCAGTCCGGGTCCCCACCTAAAACCTCCACACTCGCCGGCTTCTCTAGATATCTCAAGGGCCTGATATAGATATAGATATATCTATATGCGGTGCGTCTCACCTTGCAATGCTCGCATCGCTTCTTGATAGCGGAGTGAACCTTCATGCCCCTCGATTGCTGCTTCGACGGCAGGCCGTTCTTGGCGCTTTGGGACACGGCGACGGGTCTGTTATGGGAGCACATGGGCGTGCAAATGTGGCGGGAGAGGAGACCCTGAGAGAGGCATCGTGTCTGGTATGCCGAGACAACGGTCTTGGTGGAATTGACGGCAGTCGCGCGAGGAGCGGCGAGGGAAAGCGCGCGCATCGAGGATGCGAGCGACCGGAAGAGGTTCGACATGGTGACTGGTTGGTACTATTAAGAGCGGTCGCCTGTAGTCGAAAGTAAGCCTTCCTGCCTACCTGCCGTTCGTTGTTAGGTTGAATATGGACGCCGTCGAGGTGCTCGTCGCTGGGGTCGCTGAGGCGCGCGAAATCGAATTGTCTGCCGGCCCGTCACTCAATCGACAGTGTGGGGTCCGATCAAGCAACGCTACCTATGCGGTTTTCGTTCCGTCGGCTGCTTAAAGCGTATAAATGCCTAAACGCTTGCACTGTGAGAGCTTATGCCTCTTTCGATGCTACTTTACGGGCTAAAACACACCAAGACCGCCGCCAAGCACCTTCGATAAGCGCAGCTTACCTGGTAGTACCTGAAGTAGAGGACCAAGTGAAGAGAGTTGCAGTTATTGAGTAGCCAAGCTATGTCTACACTTACCTTGTCCCCCGCAACCCTCACAGGGGGGTGGCTCTTCTCCACGCTGGGAGCCCGCTGTAACCCGCCATTGATGTCGTCTCTCCAAAGTGCAAGTACACCACCCAACCTTCCCATCTCGTCTTCCTCCCACCTTCCACTGCCACTCTCGTTGTCCACCTCTCCACGGCGACGAAACAAGCCGACAGGTGATTGTCACGGAGCTGCCGATACGGACCAGAGCAGAACTGAAGCTTACCTACCTCCCTCCGCCCATCGGATATCCATATTCGCTGTGTCACTCTCTTGTGCTCTCGGTAACATCCCCGTCCTCGTCAGGCGCCCGTTCGGCTCGCACCATCACCTTCACACCACCACCACATCGTAAACCACTTCCACCATCTCGGCGACCTTGGAAACAGCGCCCTTAAGCTCGCCCCGCCGTCCGCTTCTGCGTCCTATCTTATACATAAACAAGCCTCCAGCATATACCAGTCCATAACCTAATATCAAGCAGCGCCGCGCCCTGGCACTTCCCTTCTTGCCCTTTAGTCGCATCCCGCCGCTAGCGTCAACTCGAGCCAACGATCTAGGCGCCTCGCCTCCCGAACACTTCCTTCGTCCAAGACATTCGTGTCTTGACTGGTATTGGCACGATGAACCAGCAGTCACAGCAATATCAGCCGGCGCGCCGACCAAGTGCCTATGCCTCCCACGGCGACGAGCTTCACATGTCGGCACACCAGGCCCACTTGTCGTCGCCCCGCGAGTACGCGTCCTCCGGCGCACCACATATCAAGCTCGAGCAGATGCCCTCGAGCCCCCCCAACATGCAGAGCTATCAAAGCGCTGGTGCCGTACCCAATGTTCTGCAACCCGGAGGCATGTCGTCTCGTCCGCCCGTCATGCAGTCCAACACAGCTCCCACTCTCCCCACGATGCAGCAGTCCGCCGACTACAAGTCCCACGGCTATGAGCGCTCCAGCCCTGCTACCCTGGCCTCAAATTCCTATGACGGCGGCAACTCGCCTTATGCCGCCTACAACCCGACTCCTCCAGGTGGCAGCTCTTCGTCGCAATACATGTCTCCCGCAAGCACCAACAAGTACGCGGCCGCTTCGTCATCTCGCAACGTCTCCAACACCCCGCTGGGACTGTCTGATATCCGGCCTCGGGCCGACTCCACCCTCTCTGATGGCATGCTGCCCGGTAGCCAGGCCTACGAGTTGGCCAATCCCCAGTCTCGCACCAGCAACTACATGGCCCCTTGGGCTACGTACTCGTTCGACTGGTGTAAGTGGCGTCCCAGCGCAAACAGTGCCGGGAAATTGGCCATTGGCAGCTACTTGGAGGATGGCCACAACTATATCCAGATCTTGGAGGCCAATTTGACGCAGACACCACCCGATGTATATGTCCCGGGCACCTCCAAGTACTCCATGGACTTCACGCGCACCGCCGAGGCCACACACTCATACCCCGTAACGCGCCTGTTGTGGGAACCTCCTTCATCCCAGAAACAATCCACAGACCTGCTTGCTACCTCAGGGGACCATTTGCGGCTGTGGTCACTTCCAGCTGACCCCGTGGTCCCCACCAGTGGCTCTTCGATCACGTCGAGAAGCGGCCGTGACGCCCCCATCACCAAGCTCACTCCCCTAGCCCTCTTGTCCAACTCCAAGACGCCTGATCATACAGCTCCTCTGACCTCGCTCGACTGGAATACCGTTCAGCCTAGCTTAATCATCACATCAAGTATCGACACTACGTGTACCATCTGGGATATCCCATCGTTGACGGCCAAGACTCAGCTTATCGCCCACGATAAGGAGGTGTACGACGTTCGCTTCTGCGCAAACAGTGTAGATGTGTTTGTAAGCTGTGGCCAGGACGGCAGTGTGCGCATGTTCGATCTCCGAAGCCTTGAGCACAGTACTATCATTTACGAGCCCACAGGCAAGGAAGAGCGTGGTAAGTGTCACTTGTCGGCTTTTCGTTGGTCCCTATCTTTACAACAAACTAACCCATATATTTAGATGCCAATGGCGGCCGGATCAGTCCTACGCTAGCTCAGCAAACCATGTCGCATCCCCCACCCCTCCTGCGACTGGCCACGTCTCCGCATGACCAACATTTACTCGCAACTTTTGCGATGGATTCCAATGTAATCAGGATACTCGACGTTCGCCAACCAGGGCAGGCGTTGCTGGAGCTTCGGGGCCATGGGGGTTCCTTAAACTGCATTGAGTGGTCGCCCACCCGGAGAGGCACGCTTGCTTCGGGTGGTGACGACTGCCAGGTGCTCATTTGGGACTTGCTCAACCAGCCCTCCGGATTGACCCCGGCAGGCCAGCCTGATAACGTGAGGAGTCCTGTGGCTAGTTGGCAGTGTGACTACGAGGTCGGGAACCTTGGATGGGTTCCTCCAATGGGCAATGGTGAGTATGGCGATTGGTTGGGAGTCAGCGCAGGGCGCGGTGTCTGGGGTGTTCGGTTCTAGTACGCCGATGTAAATCGAAATGGTTCCCGCTCGCGAGAACAGATATCAACCCAGGGTAGAAGGATGGGATGGGTGCATAAAATTCTTTGCAATGGAGAGCACTGTTGATAACGTTTCATACAGCCAGGCGTTTTTTTTTCTTCCGTAGAAGGGGGGGATATCCTGTTGCGTAGAAGGTCATACTCGAAAAGGCACAATAAAACAGCGATTTGGCCTAGTCCGACTGCTCGTTATCACTCGACGTTGTCACTCGATATTGGAAGCGCCACATAAAACTAGTAAGGATTCTGTCATTCACCTCTTCATGGAACATTGGCTGGCACCCAGGGGATTAAAAAAAAAAAAGAAGAAGAAAAAATAGAAAAAAAAAAAAAAAAAAAAAAAAAAAAAAAACTGACACTGACCAGGAACGCGAGAGGTCTCAAAGCCACGCCATGTTTAGCTGCTCACCTACATCATTCTAGGACATATTTCACGCATTGCGGAGTTTCTTACTCAGTGGATTTATTTGAGACACACGAGCCACACTGGTGAACTTGTACGGAGCAGCCCCAAGGAAAATCCGTGTGCTTCTCCCGGAAACTTAATATGGGCTGAAGTTGTTCAACGGCCGGATATTCCCAACCTTCAGCAGCAGTGTTCGCCCAGCAAGAATGTTCATCAGGGGTTAGACTTGTGCACGTCGAGCCTCCTCTGCTTGAGGAAGACAGCCAGCACAAGTGCAGTGACCGAGCAGGCAAACGAGAACCCTAAGTAATGGTAACAGTGGTCAGCAGTCCGTGCCGTAGATACTTGCCAGGAAGAGAAGCGAGAAAGGGAGTGAAGAGGGAAACTGACCGTGACTCCACCATAGACCGTCAATATACGACTGGACAACAGCATCCCTGACCTTATCGATTGCGCCGTCGATAAAGTCAACATCAGAAACAGCCTTCGATATGACCTATGGCTCCAAGTTAGCCTTGAGCTATTCCGCACAGCGAAAGACATAGCGACAAGCACAGGGTCAGGGCACAAACCTTGGCTACCTCAACTTTGTCATATCCTAGCTTCAACAGCCGAATCTCAAGGTTTCTTCGAAGCACGGTCTGCATAATCGTGTTCGCAGCCGGTAACCCAATCGTCATCCATACCGTTTGCATCAGATACATGAACGACACAGCAGGCGCCATGTGGGCCGGGTCAATGACCACCTGAAGCGAGATGAACAGCGCGCTGCTCGTGACCCCCATGCCAAAGCCTCCGGGGAAGATGTACAGCGATTCGAACCAAGACTTGGTGTTGCCGTGCCACCTCAGCATTAGGAGAAGATAGCCGGTGGAGGAGCAGGTCACGGCCCAGATGACGAGGGACTTGTACCGTCCTGAGCGCTTGATAGCGGAACCAGAGATGATGCCGCCGATAGCGTTGCCCATAACGGCAGGGACGAGGTGCGCGCCCGCGACGGTGGCGGACGGCCGCGGCGTGGATGTCACTTGGAAGTAGAGGGGGACAGTGAACATGAGTCCCAGCTGGGCGGCGGTTTGGAGTCCCAGGATCAAGAATGAAAGGATGGCGTCTTTGCTGTGGAAAATCTCCAGCGGCAGGATTGGCTCGGCCTGTCGCCTTTCTACTGCAATGAACGAGACGAGAAGGATGACGCTGGCACCGAGAAAGACGAAAATGAGCGGGTGGGACCAGGGAATCTTGACGCCGCCGAGCTCGATGGGGAGAAGCAGGGCCAGCACAAGGGCAGCGAAGATGAACGAACCCTTGAAGTCGATACGGCTGAACTTGCTCTTCTTCAACTGGGTGGCGTCATCTGTCTCGTCTAGCGTGCTGGTGTAGCTGGGTAAATATGCTGAGCAGAGAATGATGGCGAGGGTTATGAGTGGCACTTGACCGCGGAACGACCTGAGCGTATCAGCGTCAGTTGGTTTCTACAATACTCGGCAACAGAAGAAGCTTACCATCGCCATCCGACGACATCTGCCAGCCAACCTCCTAAAGGTCCGCCAATGCTTCGGCCAAGGGTAGCTACGAGGTTGACATACGCTCTCCACTGAGCAACTTCTCGGAGAGGAAGCAGATCTAAGAGGCAACTGGCTGTTAGTCGTCGCTGTGAACACTCTATCAGTTCATGTCAAAGCCAAGCTTACCTGTGATGAGAACGGACACGAGTGCGGACATGCCAGAGGCTCCAGCACCGGATACAATTCGGCCCAAGACAACCTGCGACATTGTCTGGCCAACACCGACAATTGCACAGCCAGCCATGAACATGGTATACGCGATTATCACCATCCTCTTGCGCCAATAGATGTCACTTAACTTGCCGTACTGTCCAGGGGCGGAGTAGTCAGCATACGCCCGCAAGGCTGTGTCATTTGATGATATTCCTCACCATAGTCTGCGTGGCCGCCCCAGCTAGAGAGAAACTGATAATGAGCCAGCTAGAGTCCTTCAAAGCGTTGAACTCGGACGCAATAATTGCATGTGTTGCCATGAGAATGGACGTATCTGTCTGTGCGACGAAGATGCCTAGCAGCATGACAGATATGATCTTGATGACATTCACATGGGCGCTTTGCTTCAACGACTCGGTTTTGTCGCTTCCTAGACTCTGTTCCTCGTCTTCCTCGGGAACTGGCTTGATAAACCGATTGTAGATGCCTTCCTCAGGAGTAATGCGACAGGCGTGATAGAGGTAGTCGGAGCTGGGCTGCGCAGTGTCACTCAAATGAGGCTCTCGTTCTGTGACTAGGGATGGCTCGTCCCCATGGCGTTGAACCATCTTTGCCAGTTCTTGTGCAAGAGCCTTTCAGGCCCGATGGGAATCCTGGGCCAATATAAGTACTTGTCCTCTTGAGATATCGTTATGGAACTTACCTTGAGATCTTGTAAAGCGCAAGATCACCAAAATCTAAGCTCAAACTCGGAAACACGTTCAAGGAAATACTCCCTTTTCTGGGAACTACCTGAGTGTCATCCCCACCTCTTGGGATTCATTCCGAACACGGAAGCTGACAACTCCAGAATCAGCTTATCCCCGAGATACCTTGCGGTACATGAAAGGCCGAGACAATCACGACATAAGTGTCTGGATTTCGTTAGACGGGCCCTTGGATCGCGAACAAGATACTACCTTCGCACAAAATTGGTTGCAGAAACGACAAATATGAGCAAATGAGAATAGAGATAAATTACACCATCTCGTAGTTTGAGTTAGGCTGCGGGACAGAGTTGTCATGGAATCTCTTATAGTAGCGCCCGCATGGTGCAACTGCGCCAAACTAGCACGCCATCGATGACTTCACGCCAACCTCCAAGCCCACCAACGCGGAAACATCGCGATGCAAAGGAGCAACGCTTAGCAATCACAGCCCCAATCCGAAGCTACACTGGCTCGATTATTTGACGATGAAGACATAATTTGCGGGAGTTATTCCAACAACGATATGGGTCATAGATGGTTGCTGGGATCCCGACCTTTTTCAGTGCCCAGGGCCTATTTATTTGGAACCTCATGATCATTTTTTACTACCCCTGGGAATCCCTTCAGCCTTATTGTTTTTTCAACATCAAAGCACTTTGACACAAAACCCATTCAGAATGCGCTTTTCGGTGGCAACTCTCGCAGCAGGCGTGCCACTATCAGCCGCTTTTGCCGTAGACAGCGGACAAAAATCTCTAGGCTTCGACCATAAACCAAAGGGGACGACAACGAAAGGGGAAAAGAACAGCCCAAATATCGTCTTCATTCTTACCGACGACCAAGACTTGCATTTACAGTCGCTCGACTATCTTCCCCTGCTCAAAAAACACTTGGCCGATGAAGGTACTACCTACAAACGTCACTACTGTACAACGGCCATCTGCTGCCCTGCCCGAGTTTCTCTGTGGACCGGGAAACAAGCTCACAACACCAACGTCACGGACGTATCACCGCCATATGGTAAGGTGCTTCTTGAGTTTCTGCAGTCACTTTCAGGCGTAGCTAACACGCAAAACTAGGTGGATACCCCAAGTTCATCAGTCAAGGCTTCAACGAAGCCTATCTGCCAGTTTGGCTCCAAAAAGCTGGCTACGATACCTACTACACCGGCAAGCTTTTCAACGCCCACACCGTTGATAACTACGACTCCCCTTACATAGCCGGTTGGAACGGCTCCGACTTTCTTTTGGACCCTTACACTTACTCGTACCTCAACGCCACCTTCCAACGCAACCGTGATCCCCCGGTTAGCTACGAAGGCCAATACTCAGTCGACGTCCTCGCCAAAAAGGCCTATGGATTCCTCGACAAAGCCGCCAAAAACGTCCACAACCGGCCCTTCTTCCTCGGCATTGCCCCCATCGCCCCTCACAGCAACGTCGAGCCGCGCTTCCCTTCCTCCTCTTCCTCCTCCTCCTCCTCCTCAGACCCAGCTACCCTCCACCGCCGTCCAACCAACGCACACGACGACATTGAAAAATCCGTCTCCTTCACCCCTCCCATTCCCGCCGCCCGACACGCCCACCTTTTCCCAGATGTCATCGTCCCGCGCACCCCCCACTTCAACCCCTCTTCGCGCGCCTCGGGCGTGTCCTGGATTGCTCGCTTGCCGCACCAGAGCGCCGAGAACGTAGCCTTCAACGATCACTTTTATCGGCAGCGGCTGCGCGCGCTGCAATCGGTCGACGAGCTGGTCGCAGGCGTCGTGGCGCGGCTGGAGCGCCATGGGTTGTTGGAGAACACGTACGTCTTTTACACGGCTGATAACGGATACCATATTGGTCAGCACCGGCTCCAGCCGGGGAAGGAGTGCGGGTTTGAAGAGGACATTAATGTCCCGTTGATTGTGAGGGGACCGGGCGTGAAGAGGGGGGAGGTAGCGGAGGTGGTGACGAGTCATGTGGATCTGGCGCCTACGGTTCTGAAGTTGGCTGGGGCTTTGGGTGACAAGGAAAGAAAAGAAGAAGAAGAAGAATATGGGCTGGATGGGGAGGCGATCCCGCTTACCGCCGAGGACCTGGCCCAAGCGAAGGCGAAGGGAAAGAGACATGAGCATGTTACGGTTGAGTACTGGGGGTTTGCGGTCTCGGAGGGCCGAGTGTTTGAAAAGGACGCGACGAGGTTCTGGACGAACAATACGTACAAGGCCGTGAGGATCTTGGGCGAAAGGTATAATATGTACTACTCTGTCTGGTGTAGTGGTGAACATGAGCTGTACGATCTTCAGGTGAGTTTCTTTTGTTCTGGGCCTTCTTCCGGCCCGTTCTGACATCAAATACCCCGTATTCAAGGTGCTGACAGACACATGAAATGTAACAGACCGATCGTTACCAGCTCAACAATCTTCTTGACCCTTCGTCGCTTGCCACTGGGAAAACGCCGGCGACTCTTCTTGGGGTACCAGTCCAGAAAGTCGTTGCCCGACTTGATTCGCTCCTCTTTGTCCTCAAGTCGTGTAAAGGAAAGACGTGTATCCGACCATGGGAGGCTCTACACCCGGCTGGGAATGTGCACAACTTACATGATGCTCTTTCGAGTAGGTTCGATTCCTTCTACGAAAAAGAGCAGAAAAGGGTAGAGTTTGACCGGTGCGAGAGGGGATACATTGTTGAGGCCGAAGGTCCGCAGTTTGAAACGGACGGGTTAGTATACCGGGATGGACATCGATGGGATCAGTGGGTTTGAGAACCGGCGAGTTTGCGTGGGTAGAGAAACTATATTTACTTTCCAGTATATAGGGCTTTCCTTGCTGGTATAGTATAGTGGTTATCAGCACCAATGCTTCAACAGAGTTTGTTCAACATTGTTGGAAAATGACAAAGTGCCTAGTTGGTCATACACTACGACCATAACAGCTGTCTGTCATCCAACTATATTTCTCCTTGAAACCATAGGCATGATATGATGTGAAAAAGGAAGCAAGACATGAGATGGAAGAAACCAGAAAGAGGTGGAAAGGAGGAAACCAAAAGGGAAACCAAAAAAAAAAAAAAAAAAAAAAAAAAAAAAAAAAAAAAAAAAAAAAAAAAAAAAAAAAAAAAAAAAGACGCTTGACTTGCCCACAGCCGGAATCAAACCATCCTTACTAGAGGTGTACTCTACCACCGAGTCATGTAGGCCGAGCAATTCGAGTCGTTGAAAAGTAGTTCGGAACCAAGGAATAATTATACACAACCACACGTCGTTGCGATTGCTCCCTGCTGTTCAATTCTTCAGCGCAACTGCTCCCGGCCTCGATATTCCTCGAGCCAGGGGTGGACGTCCTATGCTGAACTGGTGCGCATACCTTGGTCAAAAGCCCATGTGGATAATCTATAGGGTAGGGTTGCTTTGCAACGACACTTGGTAGCCCGAAAACCCCGAAAACACGCCAAACTCCGGTGACCGTAACGCCAACGCCCAATCCCGAAAGGTCATATTACAGCCCTCCTGGGAACGGTCATCATATACCCAGCAGAGAGACACTAATCCTGCAAGGCATTAACTTCGCCCTCCACGCGTCTGTTTGGCCGTTCTCCGTAGGCCATTTCCAAACATCAGTCCCATCAGGCCTTAGACGTGAGCCCTCTTCGCAACGTCAGCAGCCTCGGCCCCCGCGATTCTTCCATAGACCACACACTCCAACAACGACGAACCGCCAAGGCGATTATCGCCATGAATGCCGCCAGTAATCTCACCAGCGGCCCATAGTCCCTGGATAGGCTTCTGCTCCTCCCCAAGCTCGGACGAAAGCACCTGGGCATGCTCATTGAACACGGCACCACCCATGGTGAAATGCACAATGGGCGTAACGCGGCCCACGCACAGCTCTGCGTTTTCGTCGACAATGCCGTCACTGTTTACACCAAGTTTCCAGTGCCCGAATGCCTTGCGACGGAACGGATCTTCCCTCTCTCTCCTCACAATGCTTGCATACTCCTCCAGCGTCTCCTTGGTGGTTGCATCCAGTTCGGAAACCTTTTGTTTCTTCATCAGGCCCTTCCACAGATAGAACCCCATGTGGCCCGCAGCAGCCTCGGCCGCGCCTGGGTCGAGCAGGAGTTGAATGTCCCATTGGCGTAAAGAGGCGCCTTCGACTCCGTCGCCCGGCAGAGCCATAATGGTGTTGCTCACATGCTCCCTTGTTTCCAGCTCGTTGACGAACCTCTTACCGTTGTGCAGCAGTATGCCACCTTCACCTCTCAGCAACTCGGCGGCGAGGAATTTGACGGGCACCAACGGATTAGCCGGATCGACGAAGCCGGTCGGGTGAATCTGCACGCTGTCCATATCGACCAGCTTGGCACCGACGGCGGCGAGCAGATCGTGGGTGCCCGGTCGCGGATCGTTGGTGGAGGGCATGCCGTCCAGGTCTGGGCGATAGCGGGCCAGCAGGCCGTGCGTGTCACCGCCGAAGCCGCCGGTGGTGAAGATCACGGGACCGGTGAGTTGGTGAAGGGAAGTACCGTCATGACCGCTACCGCCGTTGCCGCTGTTCTTGGTCGATCTGTACTCGACTCCAACAACGGTCACGGATTGGTGGTCGGCTGAGGAGCCGCCGTTGCCTTTTTTGGAGACAGCAGCATTAGTGGGGTTGGTGAGCAGCCTGGTGACCTCACAATCGGTCATCAGCTCGAACCGGTCTCCTCCGGCCTCCTTCAACTTTGCGACAAGGGTGGTGATGATGGCGGCGCCTGGAGGCGTCTTGCCAGCGCCACGATGTGTTCGTGGATGACTATGGCCTCCGAGCTGTGCCACCACGGTGAGATCCACGCCTAGATCGGCGAGGAAGTTGATGGCATCAGCGGATCGCTGGGTGAGGACCGAGATGAGGGACTCGCGTTGGGCCCTGGCGGCAGGCTGACTTGTGGTTTGCGAGGAGAGGCGAGCGCCGGCAGAGCGGACGGTGTCGTCCCAGAAGGTCTCATCAGGGCCTAGATTAGGCCAGGCAGCCTGTTGGAAGCGGGTGGGCGCCCCGTTAATGCCCGAGGAGGCCTTGATGCTGTTGCCTCCTAGCCTCGGGGCACGTTCCAGCAGGCAAACTGAAGGGGCGCCGGCGCCCAGGGCGGAGTAAGCGGCAGAAAGCCCAGCAAGGCCGCCGCCGACTATGATGACACAGGGACGCGAGGCCTGTGATGTCATGGCGGATGTTTCGGACGGGAACAGTCTGTTGACGAGGTCTGTCATAAACGCGTCGGGTATTGATGGCAAAAGGTGGTGATAGACGACTGCGGCAATGGGACTCAGGACTGCAAGATAGAACATCAAGCGAATCTGTCGCCTGGTCATGGCAGTAGTATCACGGTTGATTGATGTACAAGTTCAGCTCGAGAGGACACTAATCACGACGGCCATGTTATTTTATTGATGGAACGAATGGTGAGGGGGGGCGGACGATGTTGCCCTGCGGTCAGATATCATCAGATGTCAGGCAACGGGATGGAAGCTGAAGGGGAAGCAATCAGATGAGAACCGAACCACCTCCTTGGGACGAAGGTGTTGGCATGCCACCGGCTTGGTGTTCGCAGGTATGATCTCGAAGGCGGTAGAGCCCGTCCATCATCCGATGTCTGCGTCGACGTCGGATGGTCGAGGCCGAACCGTCGTCACTGGTGCCTGCCCGTTCAATCAATTAGAGTGCAACCAACGTACAGCCGGGGAAAGAGGAGACGTAAATGGCATCGCTGTTGCGACGATTCATCTTCACTTCAGCCGGCAGACTTGCAAAGGCTCAGAGGCATCATGAGTGGTACATAACATGGAAGAAGGTGTAGAGGTACTGTAGTGCCGTGCGCCCCTCGCTAAGACAGAGCCGAGAACCGTTGCCGGGCGGGCCGTCAGCTGACTAAAACCAGTTGGTGATTTGAGAAAGTTACCGAGTGCAAGCATGGATTTTGTCCCCTTTGCAATCTTCTTGTGTCTCTTTTACAGCTCGAAACCATGTCCCCGACAGTCTGGAGAATGGAAAGAGCTCCACTGCGAAAGTAAAGATGAAAATGCGGAGGGGAGGGAAAGGACTTTTGGCTCATAGTCTTGGCATGCATCTACTGGGGCCACTTCCAAGACTACGTACAACGGAATGATAGACTAGCGTGCAGCGTTAATTGCATGTCCCCCGTATCAGATCCAGCGACGTTTGGCTGGGTCCACCTTGAATGACCAACCCACTCACTGTTTGATCACCTTCCAGCTCCGTAATGCTCAGCTGTTGACTAAAAACAACGACAACGCTCTTCTCTTCTCTCCTTGGTGCCGCCAACATCCTCGTATCAGCCGCTAATGTGGACCCGGCCGGACAGCACGTGTATCCCGTCTCCGTTTTCCCTCCTCCGGTCCGGAAGCCCAACCACCCCGTTACCCCATACACCAAGAACTGCAATGACGGAGCGGTCTCCGATGCTGCTGCTTGACTGCTTTGATGGCCTTCCTGATTCGTCACGAAACTCCCGGGAGGGGCGGGAAAACCTCGCCCGAACATGGCATTAAATGATCAACACAGGCTATACAGCAACAACGCAGCGCTGCAGCACCATTCGTGGAGAACTCTGTCCATCGATCATCACCAAATGAAAACAGAAAACGCGGGGTTACTGCAACACTCCATCTTCTTGGCTTTTCCCCAACCCGGGGGAACGGATGAGATGATAGACAGTGCTTGGGGTCAAGATGGACTAGGTGGGATATGTACACTAAAGGGTCATGGTCAGCTGCACAGTTACCACTTGAATTACCAGAGAAACCAAAGTGGTGCAGTGTTGATCGATCTGATCTTGAAATTTCCCCGGTTCATTGGTAAGTTGGCTGGCTGATTGGATATGCGAGATCATCACTCTCTTGGATTTTCATTTTCCTCTTTTCTTTTCTTTTTGCAAAGGTTGCATTGCTGTCCAGTGGAACCGAAATCCACGTGTGAGATTTCCACTTCCCCGGTTCAAAGGGAGGCTCAAGGGAGATTTAAGCTTTCACGTTTGTTTTTCTCGGGACCACCTTCGTCACCGTCTTGTAAGCAAAACGTTGTTGATGATTTTACGTCATTACGAGTATCACACTTGGATTTCACACTCCGTGAGGAACTGAGCACTACCTACCTATTTCTCACTCCTCATTAACACAACTCTCATTGATTGTACACTTTAGCGCACGATTGAACAGGACGGTCGGTCAGTCAATTTGTCTCATCCGACCATGATTGACCCAAGAACTCCTTGGCAACAAGCATTCCCCCAGTGTAGTGTACTGTCGCCAGCCATCAAGTGAATCAGGGGAATCGGAGGTACAATGTCCTCCATCAGAGGGGCAACGGCAGTTGCAAACCTGAGGTCTTTTGCTCGCATACCATGTCGGTGATTAGGTATAACTCAAGCTTGGCATTATGCTGCCCCCGAGTCTGGACCGGCCTGGCAGCCGGCGAATAACCTCAACGCGCCACAAGGCAAGGGAGTATGGGCTGGAATCAATAAACGGCCACGTATAGTGTTCTGGTTCTAGGGCTTGGGCGCAATGGATGTGTGAGATTTTCATCATGATATTGAAGGTTTACCTGATTCATTGTGCCCAACGCCCATTCGGATGAGTGGACGGAATAATAATGTAAGGAAAGGGGAAATTTGTCGAGAGTTTCTTGCTATCATCCACCTAGTGTGATCTTTTATTCGGTCCCCTGTGAACTCCTTCGTGAGCTTGGAGCGCAAAAAGTCAACTATCATTATTGACTTTTGACTATGTGGAGGGGTGTCGCGTGACGTCTGGGAATATATGAGACAATGTCGTGCCTCTGAACTGACTACATTTCTTATTCACTTGGCTATTAATCAACGGGAAACCCAGAAAAAGTTTCTATAGAGCAGATATCGTGTTCTTCCCCCGTAATTCCTTTTACACTAGTATCACAACCACTTGGTCTCTCTGACAAACTGCACTTTCAGAGTTTCGCCTCGCATGCCCACCCACGTACCCAAAAGAAAACATCCACATTGAGACTCGATAACATGCTATTACATCAAATTAAATTGGACCCCAAAAACCGGTTGCGAGCGAGCCTAGGTATGTTCCAGGAGGGGAAAAGAGGATCTTCAATGGCGACGAACGGGTCCATCCCCTCGAAAAATCTGAAACTGTGTTCCAATTTCCCCAGATGACCTTGCCGACTTCCACTTTCCCACGCAGCTACCGGCCGGCCAGAAGAGCCTATAACACACATCCAGATTTCGCAGATTGTCGAGCTTTGTCGAGATTGGCCGAGAATTACTTGCATCTGCTGGCTCACAACCACCATCATCCCCGTCCGTCCATCATTCCTTTGTAATCCCCATCCCCACCTCCATCCCCACCTCCATCGCCAGTCCTTGGCAATTCCACCGATTCCCACTCCCGTGTCCATCAAGGTAAAGAAAAAAAAAAGAAAGGTGACCCCACAAGTGCGGGCAGCAAACTCCCTGCACCAACTCCAGTGGAGGGTGTCCCAAAAGCCGGCAGTTATTGAGGGTCCACTTGTTGACATCCTCAATTCAAAGGAGGCGCGTGGCGTTGAGTTTGCAGCATATGCAAGATATGGATGACCCCGATGTAGGTTGTGGATCTTAGAGGACAAGACGGGCCACAGAACCTCCGTTGCCCGACATTGCTGAGCGCCAAACAAAAGGCAGGGAGGGCCCGCCGGACGGGTTGCGATTGAACCTTTGGATGGATTGACAATTGCTGTTGTCGGTGCTGATGCCGGGAGCCCGTGCAATGGTCCTTTGAGGATGGAGTACATAGCCGGCTACAAACGTGCCGCATTGACTTTAGTGTAGATGTCGAGGACATATTGGTGTTGGTGTCGACACTAACATCAACAGCATCTGGAAAGTTCTGCCGCCGCTTGGGGTTCCCAATTTCCCCAATCACACGTGCGCAACCGGTGCAAGAAATTATCTCCGGGCCGAGTTCCCACCACGTACGTACGTAATACGATGGCCGGGGATATGGTTTGATTACATGAGGGCCATCTTGATCTCGGAAAACAAGCTTAACCTGTGCGCCGGGAAGCTTGCGACGGGGGACGGGGGTCGGGGAGATGACAGCGGGGATGCCGACAGGGACGGAGCCGAACTCGGAAGTGAAGCGGACGGGGACCGCCCTTGGCCCACGGGGACATCTTTGACAAGCGCTCAATGGCCCGTCGGACAGGATGACGGAGGGTCGGGGGTTGCGATTTCGGCAAGAAGTAACCTGAAAAGAACCAAGGGAAGAATCAGCAAGTGCCTGCCTGCAATGCGACAAAACCGTTGGTACCCGCGCCAAAGTCTATTTCTTTCGTCTCCTCTGGCTGCACGTTCTCCTCTTTCTCACCCACCTGAACCAATCACCATTCTCCAACCTCGATTTCATGAGACTCGTCATCCCAGTAAGCGACTCCATAATGGTAGATCTTGGAGTGGATGACCTTGTGGAGGACAGTGGAGATGGCCCTTTGGAGGCCCAGAACCAAGGCAAATTCAACCAAAAAAGAAAAGCGTAGCATTGCCCCTTTCAGGAAAGAAAGAGCCGAGACAAGGTGGAGTAAGCTTTGGGTTCAAGCAGAGCGCTGGAAAGCCATTCAGTGACCGGGGTCAGAGGCAAAATGGCAGGGGAGGGACGTCATCTGAAAACGTCAGCCATGATTTCACTGCATATCGCTTGATGGCAGAATTCTGGGGTAGCCACCACCACCACCACCACAATAAATTGGGTGGGGGGCGATGAGGACGGGATGGAGGAACCAAGATTGAATATTGAAGTGATACATATGGTTAGCTTTGCTGGGTCAGTGAACTAACTCACAGAGTCCGACACTATTTGCGCCCAGTCGCTACATTAGCGGGGGAAGACATGCTTGGGACTCCATAAATGGAAAGAAAGTGTGATATTAATGATGTGTGTAAGCATTTGGTATCGTCGTGGACCCAACCCTTGATCCGGTATCATTAAAACAAAAAGAAAACATGAACATGAGATGCACATGACCCAAACCTCTGTGGATATCCAAACTCGTGAACTACCTCGCTCACCAAATAACAAATACCCATTGCGACCCGCTTAAACAAAATTCATAACGTAAAACATATCAGGGAAAGAACGGCCTGGGCCGACTTACGCCTGGTCACGGTCAGACTTGGCAGCCATCCTGGTCTCACGGCCCTTCTCAGACCAGGGGAAGTGGAAGACAGGGAGGAGGAAGAAGGAGTTGCTGTAAAAGAAAAAAGAACCGTTAGCGCATGATCATTTTGAAGTTATATGAGGCTCTGCAATTGGGTCAAGGATGATGATGGTAATGACGCGTGCTTGGCAGATGAGCTTGAATCGAGGAACCCCGAAAGGACCAGTAGTGTCATGGCATGGTTTCGGGGAACGCCCAATGCCAATGCCATGTTTTGAGTATGAGGCCAGGATAATGACACTGTGCTTTTCTTTCTTTCATTTATCCTTGTCGGAAGGGGAGGTAGATATGTGGTTGAAAGAAAAAGAAATTAAGAGGACAAAAAAAAAAAAAAGAAAAAAAAAAAAAAAAGAAATCATGGTCGGGGTACTAACCTGCTGTCCGCAATACCAGCAAACGCGTTGTACCAAGCGAAGAAGGCGGCAAGCATACCGAAGACACCGCCAGCCTTGGTGAGCCTCCCGGCGGCAAGGGCGTTTCCGTTGTCGTTGGCGTACTCGCCGCAGGCCAGCATGAGGAAGGCAATATCCAGAGTGAAGAAAAGCATAAAGAACATGATGGTGGAGCGCAAGGTGCATAGAAGAAGGATGGTGGTGAAGATGAACCAGCCGGTAAGGAAGACGCCGACAGCAGACGCGGCCATCTCGGGATCAATCGCCTTGGCTTCTGGGGTAGCATAGGGACCGTCGGCACCAAGGATGTTCCAGGCCGGGGTGAGAAGAATGGCATAGGAGATCCAGAAGCCACCGTAAGAAGAGAGAGCAGTAGCACCGAAAGTGTTGCCAACAGCCATTTCCCTGAAGGCACGTGTTAGACATGATGCGTGAGGAGAGGGTGGCATGAATCCAGTGATTGTACTTACCACATGCCGGCAAGAAGCTGAATAAGACCACCATAAGCGAGAGCAGAGCCAACGACAACGTTGGGGACGGTCAAGTTACGAGCCTTGAGGTTGACGCAGGAGAGGATGAAGGTAGTGAGGGCGAAAGCGCAGAGACCCAAGGGCGCTGGGTTGGCGAACTTGCGTTCCTTGACTGGGCGATAGAGACCGGGTTGAAATTCACCACCGAAGGCAGGCAACCTGGGCTCAGTTCCGGTGTGGATGCGAGCCATTGGGTTGTGCCAGCCATTGAGCATGGCCTCTTGGTGGGCGGCAGCGACAGCGGCCTGGGCCTGAGCCTGGAGCTGAGCTTGGGCCTGGGCGTGGGCCTGCTCCGCAGAGATGTTGTCAACCGAGGGCTTCTCGTCGTACATTGTGCGAACTTGTTGAGAGGTGATGATATGTTGGGGCGAAGTGTGTATTGTCGGACCAGGTGAGAAACCAAGTTAATGGTGCTCCTTAGATGTCGATGTTGTTGTTGTTGCAAGGTGTACCACCTAGAGACCTGGAGAAGATGGAAATAAAGAAAAGGGTCCTGGGGAAGAACTGGGGAAGAGAGGTTGATATAGAGAATAACGAGGGGGGGGGTGGGTCGAATGGATCATGGATTACATATCCCACGGCCAGAAGAGCGGCATGTTGAACATGCCGCTAGAGAAGCGTTGCCGTAATGGGCAAGCAGGGATGATCCGCAGAGGCCTGGGGTTAGCTGGAGCTGCTTAGATCTGCCTGGATCTGCTTGGGTCCTGGGATGAACTGGCTCATCGGTCAGTGGAGAGTGGATGTCAGTGATGCAGGGACTAGGGGCCGTCATCTGGGGGACTGGAGACCAAGTGGGACGCCGTCCTTGGGCGTGCCAGCTCGTTAGTGGCATAAGGGGCAAAGACTCATACCGGATAAATGCATTTTCCCTCGATATTCCCTGAGCCCAGCCTCTGCTGGATTTCGACTGGACCTCGACTGGGGTCAGGCTGTGCCTCTCTGACTGGAGCAAGCCGGGTCACGGCTCCCACCACTAGACTGAGGCCGGTTGCAGAGTGCCGGGGGGCACCCCGAGCCCACGGAGGGACAGCCCAAACGATGAGGAGACGGATGCAGGCCAACAAGGACATCGGTGAGAAAGCGGATATCTCCCTCGGCTTAAGGTTCTCTCTTAGTGGGTCGTCGGTGGTTGTGTTAAAGCTGTGAGCTCCACTGAAAGACGGAGAAGAAGATCTGGAAACGCCGTCTCCTTACTGGACAAAGCTGATTATTCCACCAGGATACGGGGTAGGTTGCGTGGCATTATACATAGTATAGAGGTTGGTCCACAGCACTTGCAGTCTGCTTGGTAATTCCTTTACACGCCCAAATTAAAAAGTCTTGGTAGAGCCGACTGTCTAAAATTTGAAGAACATGGAAGGGGAGAAGTAATACATACAGGTCCAAGTGATAAACAGTAGACTGGTTTCGTGCATTGGGAGTGTCAGTTGGGGTGTTTCACGATGAGTAGACTCTGTTGAAGCAGATGCCTGCTGTCATGTATATTCCATAGACGAGAAATGCACTAGTAGTACCGGCAATAAGGGGGCACTGGAACAAGGAGGGTCACTCACCCAAATTCAACCGACAACAACCATACACTCTATGTGCGTAGTATCCAACTGGAGTCCCTGTTCCGCTCCAAAAACCCCGGACAAAGAGTCTAACACACGCTAACATGGTCATCTTCAGATTAGATCTCCCTTGTGGCTAAGGTTAAAGGTGACATGACCTGAATTGACGTCTAGATAGCGAGGCTAAAAAGCTGTTCAGCACATGGCATAATTGGATATCTGATAGCATTGCTCAACTCGGGCTTCAAGAATTGAGTGCTCTGATCAAAAGGACGAGGACTCATAGGTGTGATTGGTGGCTTATTCCAGTTGGTCTCGATGACTAGAAGACAGCACAATTTTTTATTTATTTCCTGATAGTACTTTTTTTCTGTGGCCGCATGTAGGTAGGGTAGTAATCCCGACCAGTAGCGCATTCTTCCTTCTCACACGGACTCCAGTGGCTTACAATTCTGGTAGAGATCGCCGGGCATTGGTGGTTAAGAGCTGTGCCGAGTTAGCCATACTGCCATATAACCGCAATTTCTTTTGCTGAAGAGGGCAAGAGGCTCCTTTCCCGACGCACAGGGGACATGGACCCAAGCCAGCATTGTCTTAGTGTCGACATGCGGTCGTATTCACCAAAACAATCTGGCAGAGAGGTGGGGGATGGGCAACGATTGGTTGGGGAGACATTGAGGTGCAGAGATGCGGCGGGCACAACCAGAAAAGCAGAGAACCAAAGAGGGGGGGCCGGTGGCTTGACTTTGCCTTTCCTGTTCAATTCCTGCACCGATTGCCGGCTGGGCATGCGTAATCGGCTTGACTGGGAACTGAATTCAATGTTGTTTAATTTTTTTTTCTTTCTGAAATATTCCTTCTCATGGACGACTGACTGTATGGATGTCCACGATGGAAGTTGTTGAAATGGTGGTATACATAGTACACTACACTAGAACGGTGTCAAGAAGCGATCTGCATAGAGTCGGATCAAGTGCCCGGCAACAGAGAGAGTATCAGAAAGACCAGCAAGTCGCAGTCAAGTGGAGAGAAAAGAGCGGACCTGCTCGACTTGTCGCCAGGCACACTGTACTGTGTGCCGGGAATAAGGGGAGTTATGCATGTATGTATGTAGCAGACTGTTGCGGGAGTGGTGATCGGGGGAAAGCCAAGTGGTCGCTAACCTCGCCGGTGTTCTCTGGCTAACTGTGAAGGGATGCGCCATCCGGAGTTCCATTGCAGTAAAGCACCCGTTGGTTACATGGTTAGGCTCTGTAGCATTGCATGGAGTCATGGATGTCCATGGAAAAGGGCGAAGGGAGAGAGTCCGTCCTCATTTTGGAGAAGGCAAAGGCAGGACTGTAGGTACCTAGTGTAGAGGTACTAGTGATAAAGTGAGGTCTGGAATGGATACCCGATGGTTGAGAGTCTGCACCTCTTTTGCCCGAATGGTGCAAAGGTACCTAGACAGATTTTCCCCCAGGCGAAACCGGGCCAAACACGTTGGGTCAGGCACCTCAATCGGAAGTCAAGCCACACAGAACCCAGAAGGAAGGGACCGACGGGAACGGAGCCGGAGTGGGAGAACTTTCCGCTTCAGCACCCTGTGAACTGAACGAAGTGACGGAAGGCGGGAACAAGGAGGGGTGGAAAAGGGCACCTTCCCCATAAAGTTGATTCAAAAGTGGTGGATTTTCTCCGCACGTTCCCCCCGTTCCTTCCCCTTCTGAGCATGGCGACAGACATGCCCGCCTGGAAGGGTGCTGACCAACTGTTTGCCGTCAGCATTTCTTAGCACCATTACGTCGTTGGGCACATGGAACGCTGTTAGTGCTATTCATTAGTGTACTCCCCGAATCCCCCTTTTTCGTCCTTTTGTTGTGTTTTTTCTTTGCTCCATTCTTTTGTCTCCACGGCCAAGCGGGGGAATCTGGGGAAAATGTAAATGCAAAGACCGAGTCATGACTTCCGTGTCTCTAGTGCTGTGCATGATGAGACACTCAATTGCTGCTGACACTGAATGGCTTGACTGTTGGAAAAACGGGTTGAATGTGGTGACTGGTGAAGGGAGGGGCGTTGCGGGGAAGTGGATGGAATTCGGCAAGTACCGTTGTACCGTCGTTCATCCAGTCTTTGTGTAGATGTTGAGGGCTTGCTTGCCCTCAGGGTCATGCAACTATCGGTGCTTTTCCCAATCCCCGTTCAAAAAAAAGTCTGACACTCAATTTCTTCCATTTCCTTTGTCCTCCGCCTGCCAACCTGCCCGCGCTGCTCTCAATTCAATACCCAATGCCAGTGCCGTGTGCCTCCTGGGATCTCCCAAGTTCTACAGTATGGCTTCTTCTCATAAGACGGACGGGGAAAAAGGGTCATGCTGATTTGTGCTGACGGGGTCCAAGACCCAGCCGAACGACTAGCCTCGGCCCTTCTCTATCAGAGATGTGGCCATTCGTAATCCATCACGATCCATCCATCGGCATCCAGCCTCTTGCTTTCCATCCACCTGGCACTTGTGTGTCTTCCACGGCCATTGACGGCATTTTGACGCCGCAAACCCAGAAAGAATCATTGGAAGCTGGCCTTTGAGTGCTTCCCGTGTACATTACTGATTGTGCACTTGAGATCCACACCACCCCCCATCGTTCTGTAGGCCTTGGCGGATGTGCGGCTCGTTCGCCGGCAAAATTAACCACACTACAACGACAGATTGCTACACTGCCTGCAGCTCATACCTACACTACACTAAGCTCCTGGCAATGGCATGTTAGCATTTGTCTGGGCGTTATTTCTCTTGCGAGTCTCGACTGTTGCTCCGAGTGGAGGGGGAGTGGAGGTCCCAATACCAACAGCCCCGGGGCAGACATCCGTTTCAGTCAAGCAACGCCGGCAGTTCTCTCTGCCATTACCCATGGGATTTCTCTGTCATCAAAGGTAGCCTTCATCCATGGGTGCCTTGGCAAAGATCGTCAGGGGAAGTAGCCATCTTGAGTGGGAGAGTGGTTGGATGCTTGGGCTTCTGGTTATCAAAGAAAAAGCCAGCTAGCCAGCCAGCCAGCCAACCTCCTGGGATATTCAGGAACATCAACAGACAGACAGGCTCACACAGACAAGTAAGTGCCCGGTCTGACTACCATGTTGAAGCGTGCATGTTCCGTGTTCTACGTTCATGATCCCAATCATCATCCTGGCGGGAATGCTAGTGACACTACGGCAATTATCTACCAATAGCAAGACCCCCGAGATGAACACCACGTTATCACAAGTACTCTACGTTCCCTCTGCCTATACACCTCCTGTACCCTTTCCCTTTGAAGATCCGTCGACGAGGGGGGCCGGTGACATGCCCATAGGAAATACCATTAACGCTATGGAGCACGTCCCCGTCGCTGATACAACGTCACTTGTACCAAGAAGGGAATTGCTTGGAAAACGAAAAGTATGGATGTGTTGCAAGGAAGAAAAAATTTATCCAAGGGGGGAAAGGGAGATTGGAAAGATGACCAAGATCAGGATACAAAGAACGAACTGATATTGTTTTGGAAGTAGGAAAAACAAAAAATAGTAGAATTATAAACACAAAGACAGGAAGAAACTAAGATACAGGAACATCAGAAAATATGGCCAAAAACATATGCACGAGAAGAAACCGACAACCACAGAAGTAACTTAAAACCAACTAACCAAGGGAACAACACCACCAATACCAACAGAAGAACACCAGCATTGTCACCAAGTGGAATGCCAACGCCTCATTGCACATCATCTGCCAAGTCTATTTCTCCCTGATGTTCACCTCCTACCTACCCACCCACCTTCACTCTTCCTCTTTCCTTGCATGTACCTAGCATCTCTTCATCATATTCTTTTTCTACAACCCACAAACGCCCGGGGGGGGGGGGGGGGGGGGGGGGGGGGGTTTCTTCTTCAAATTCAGACTTTCCTCTTCATTTCCTCCTTCCCCTCTTCGATTCTTACATCTTTCCCCTTTCTCCTTTCCCCTTTCTCCCCCTTCCCCATTCCCCCTTCACCCCCAACTTGATTTGGCTAAGTACTGAACCTGTAAGCTTCCCTAGGCACCTAGAGGTATCCAACACTTCAACACCTCAACCCCCCCACCAAATGACCAAATCAACAGATGAGACCTTCAAATAAGCTTTGCGGCTGCACTTGCCTGACACCTTAACCTAAGGCGCTTATGCATCCAATTGCGTAGGTTGGCATTAGCTTATCGAGCTCGTGTCACTTGGCGTCAGCTTTGCATTCTTGACATCTTGGCTCATTCCTATAGCCTTCGTCAAGGTCTCGACTTGTTATCATACCATCACAAGATGGGTCAAAACGGACCTGTGCATGCTCAATGGACTTTTGTCATGGTAAAGTCCGAAACTAAAAGTGTTATCATTTCTTATGCACCTTACTTATCACCTAGTATAAACAAATCCCGACATGGAAAGGATAAAGTAGAAAAGCATATAGCTCCCCAAAAAAAGCAAGCGAAAATCTCAACCACTATGGTAGCGTAAAGAAAAGATCAAGACTGTTAAACCATCATTAACGAAGACTGATAACCTCTCTTTCCCTCCATTCAGCCAAAAGTTAGCACATGCGTTGTTTCATCCTTTAACCGAAAGGGAATTTCTTGTAATGTGCTCCATCAAGGTTCCCACTAACATCCTTCACCAAACTCCATTCCACGTTCTGTAATTTCACCTCTTCCTCTTAAATATGGCTCTGTTGATTATCGTTACGTATGAAAATCATGTGTAGACGATCAATCAACCACTAAATGGTCGGCCCACCCTGGACGAGAAGAAGTAGGTCTCCAAGGGCAGAGGAGACGTGGATGGTACAGTCACCGGTGAAGATGAGGCTGATGTGGTTACCGACATCTCTGATGTCGGCAAGCCAGAAGGCCCATTCGGGATCGGAGATGCATCAATACCACACAAGGGAGTGGGAATAATGGTAGGAACAGACCTAGCTGGTGGAAATGAGCAATGTTCACTTGCTGCCGCAGTTGAAGGCACTGTCACTGTTGTTTCTGGTATTGTCATAGTGATTTCTGGTTCAGTAACCGTTAACGTGAGGTTTGGCAGCGTAGAAGGGACAGAACCACCGGACTCCCATGGGACTGATGACGAGAGAGATGGTACCACGGTCGAAGATAGTAGGGATATGATAGATGATGGAGAAGATGAGCTGGTATACGATGGCGGTTGTTGCGGAGCGGCGTTGGCTGTCCCTGTCGGAACTGACGGCTGGGTTGCTGGACTTGATACAGATGGCATCGATGGCAAAGACGTCATGCTAGAGCTAAATTGGTCCCCAACCGGGACCGTGCCACTTATGCTCATGCTAGTGGAAATCCCTTCTGTTGTGGTTCGTGTGATTGTTATGCAACTCGTGGTCGTTGTGCTGCAAGCTGTGACCGTCGTGGTGCAGGGCGTCAGAACGGCCCTTTCGGGGGGTGTGTGGTTGGTCGTATCGTTCAGCTGCTAGCCAACGACCATGTGTGCTTCATCAATCATGGACTTTACTTTTGCAACTTCTGAAGCAGCCATCCTTTGGATCTTATCCATGGCAGCAAAAACGATAGTGCGGACACTGGATGCCATGTCTTCCACGTCAATGGCTGTGGGTTTCATCTGCATGTTCTTGAGGGCCACATCGGTAACGATGGCAACCGTGGGGACTTCTTCCTCAGTGCTGATATCATCTTCGTTCAAATCATCCCCGTCTGCTGGCCACTCCCACACTGCGCTTGTCATTGGAACAAGACTTTGCCGAACTGCTCCGGTGAAGTCTGCCATTTCCGTCTGACCTGGACTTAACGTTGGCAATGTGAAGTTCATCTCAGGCCCCGGAGCCTTAGGAACGTGGCCAGTAATACTCCAAATACTCAGAGCGAGGTTTCCGCCGCATATGAACTCAGGTTCTCCCTCACAAGGAATGCTGCAGTCCGACTCAGCAATCCGCCAGGAATCAACTACTTTGTCTCCGCAGAAGCACATGTAGCCGGCTTCCGTACCAGCCAAGCGGTACCCAAGGGTTTTGCAAAATGTAATGCAAATCTCCGTCGTCATGCCACCAACCACCGTTGCCGTAATCGATTCATTCTGTAGTGCTCGAGCCGAATCATCTTTGTAGCACCCCCCATATTGCCAGCCTGCTGTGGCAGGATGTATGGTTTCGGCTGCAGCGGCAGTCTCAAACACGGTCAAGGAATGTGTTGAAGTAATGGTGATTTCCACGACAGCACCTGCACCAGGGGCATTTCCAAAAGTGGCCACTGTGGACAGGCTTACAGTAACGCTCTCGGGAGCAGCAGTTGGCAACGGGATACAAAACCACCCGCTAGAGCAGTGATAGCATGGCCATCCGTACCCACAGGGGGCCGGCAGCGCAGGAGTGAGAGGCGGTGGACAGAACCATCCATTGATACAGTCGTCGCAAAAGTAACCCTGACCAGGACAAGGACCTGAACCGGGACCGTAAGACGATAACGAGGTAACTCCAGAATTGTCTCCATATCCGAGAAGGCCTCGGGAGCCAGAGACGCCCCCAGACCCGTTGCTGCTCAGTCTACCTGCATTGTTGGCTTCTTCAGGGTTGGTTCCGGACCCAGAAGTACTATCTGAAGAAGAGCCGCTATCATCGGATAGGCAAGGAAGACCCGTGGGACATGAAGGACACGCAGGCAGGGAGGGGCAAGTGAGCATCAAGCTTCTAGTACCACTATTAGCAGAGAAAACGGTGGTCGCACATAGCAGCAGCACTTACGGTGTTCCACCGAGACAGGTAGCAATGATGCTGAGCTCCACGGACGTGATCGTGATAGTTTGTGTGCTGATGGAGACAACGGATATTATCTGCCCTGCTCCCCCTGCCTGAGGTAAGAGACTGTTTGAAGCTCCGCGTCTCAAAGTACAAGCTGGAACTGAATCACTGCTTATCTGGAACACAGAGTCGCTGGTTGGCTGTCCTGAAGCGCTCACAAAGACTGTAGACACAGAAGCTGGGGCTTGTACTGTTGAAGCATTTTCCGATGCTGGACCAGTGATAGGAATTGTCGAGCTTGGTCCCTTGATAAAGGGCGCCGTCGTTTGGATTGAGCTGCACGGGACGGACACCGGAATAACAGAGTCGCCTACCAACATCAACCGTGAACACATTACACCAACAGTCTCGGAAGAGGCTAAACCCGCGGCCACCGTGACTTGACTGATCAAGCTGTCCATTGGGGTATTTAAAACCATGCTGGCCAACACCGATGCTATAACGCCAACAACGTTGCTGGCTAATGCAGTGTTTGAGGGACCCGCAACGCTTGAGAGTGACCCCGCAAATTGAGAAAGGGGTACAGCAGTGGGAAGTGATATACCAGAGAGCTTCGACAAAAGGGTTGTTGGGATCGATACCTCAATGGTCGTCGAAGAGAGATTTAGGGTAATGGCCGGCAATTCTGACGTCAAGAGCGTAGCTTCTGACATGACCGCCTGGGTGAGAGATGGCACTTCCGAGGCAAGCACTGCTGTTAAGGAAGCAGCATCGGGCACAGGAACCGACACGTCTGAGCTAAGAATCGATTGTAGGGACTCTAGGGGTGGTAGAGCCGACAGTATGTTCGTGCTCAACATGGGAATCAGTGGTGTTGTCTCCGAATTAAGAATCAGGATGCTAGCTGTTGGTAGAGGAACACTTGGTATGATGGCACTCAAGATCGAGGCAATGTCTGGCGCTGGAAGCGGAACTATCGGTACAGACACAGGAACAGAAGCTAGCTTAGATGAAAGCAGCGCTGTGAGAGTTGCCGGCAGGGGAAGGGAAGCCATCTCCGACATGACAATTGCCGAGAGCGACTGGAGTTCGGAAATCGAAACCGGAAGTTCTGAGCTGACCATCGACTGGAACGACTGCAAGGGTGGTAGGACTGACGGCAGGTCTGTACTCAACAGGGGAATCAAGGGCGTGATCTCAGATATGAGAAGCGGGATGTCAGATGTCGGAACCGCTGCGGGTGGCAGAATGGCACTTAAGATAGAAACTACCCCCGGTGTTGGGTTCACGTTGGTTGGTACGGGGAATGAAAGCGGAAGTGACAATCCTGGGCTAAGGAACGGCGGTTGGCCCGAAGAGGTCGGGCCTGGTACTGGTATAATCGGTGGTAAGGTACCTTTCGCCGACATAGTGGTGTCCTGCTGTACTCCGGGCTGAAGAACACTCTCCAAAGCCGGGATGAGGGATACGAGAGAAGCGACATCTGTAGGAAGCGTAGCGTTCGGGCTGACCATTGCCGTACCGATGTTAGGAAGACTGGTCGTCAGTAAGCCCAAGATGGTGTTGAGCAACGAGATGAGACCCCCGATGACTGCAGAGTTCGATTCGAGTGGGGTTGTGACACTACCAGTACTTGTTGTAACCAAAAGAGTAGTTTGGGCTGGAGGATTGAGCAGTAAAGACAAGATATCAGGACCGATTGTCATGCCAGGGGCACCCAATTCGTCTGACTTGGGCTCCTGAGGCTCACCATTTTCTACCTGGCGGTGGACATGTCGAAGGGCCGGGGTTGTTCCTGTCTCCTTGCTGTCCGAGACATGGTTGGAAGCGAGGCTGATGGGAAGAAGGAGTAGGGGTAGCAGGTAACGACCAGCAGACAGCATGGTAGCCAGAAAACGACTGTGTCTGCACGAAAGAAAGAAGAAAAAAAGAGGCCAGTTGTGTAGGTATGCAGTTGATACACTTCCAAGGGCAGAAGGCCAAAGCGGTTCCAAAACTCACAAGTCCAAAACCCGTGGTCCAAAAAAAAAGAGGGAAACGAACGGTGCTCAGCCTAGCAGAGTATTGGTGATGGAAGAGAACATGGAGAAGAGTAGAGAAAAACATCGCTCGGGGATTGGGGGAGATGATGCTCTTTTGTCAGGCCGGAGAAGCAGTTGTTTTTTCCCAGTCGACTCCTGCACAACCGCCATCATGGGAAAGGGGCAAGACCGACCGACCCCTTGAGGAACAGTCACGACTGATTAGATGGTGGTATCCCAAGGTCAAGTCTCGAGTCCCTTCCTACCGCGCTGCCTCTCGGGCAGGCCATTTCCAGTATAGAAAGCAAGTGGAAGGCTACCGCTCCAAGCTTGGACTCTTGTACGTGATTTCTGTGTGAACGGTGTCTGCTGAGCTGTTAACAACCGCGAATCATACAGCATGTTGAGCTCGCAAACCAAATAAGCAGCTGTCCGTAGTATGAGCAGCGACGACCCTTGACCGCATTGAACACATTGTCCTACAACGCTACCATCCATAAAATTCACAATGATTCGCTGATTCGAAAGGAGGCTTTGTCGTTGTTGGTCATTTCATCAATTTTGGGACTCAGGCCGATCGCACTAGGTATTTGGGACAACAGCCTTCATCTATTCCATTCCCGGAGCCCATGCAATCAAATAACCACAGACGCCCGAAAGAATCCTTCCATCCTCGCTGGCTGAAAACCACTTTCAACCAGTCGCTTAGTTGGCGTAACGCTTGCCCTCACGGAGGGTGTCGGCGAACTCCTCAAGAGGAGAGCGGGTCAACTTGGTCTCCTTCCACAAGTTGGGGGTAAGGAAGCCATAGGTGTTGGAAACAGCGGCGAAAGTAGCCTTGAGAGTGTTCTCAAGGGTCTTGGTAGAGCCGGAAGAGGAGGTGTAAGCATCCTCGATACCGGCGAGCTGGAGAAGACGCTTGACGGCGGGGGAGGCAACGAGGGAGGTACCACGGGGAGCGGGGATAAGCTATGAGGATCGCAGTCAGCGCCAGTTCCAGCTTCTCAAGTCAAATATTGGGTATAACTTACGCGGACGGTGACGGAACCGCACTTGCCAGACTCCTTGACGGGGAGGGAGTGGGGGAGACCAAGGTTGGCGCCCCAGTAACCGCGACGGACAGGGATGACGCTGAGCTTGGCGATGATGATGGCAGCGCGGATAGCAGTAGCGACTTCCTTGGAGGTCTTGATACCGAGACCGACGTGGCCCTCGGAGTCACCGATGATGACGATGGCCTTGAAGCGAGTACGCTGACCGGCACGGGTCTGCTTCTGGACGGGCTTGATCTGCAGAGGGGGAAAACAACAATATCAGCATGCCAGTTTCGTGGGGTTTCAAACACAGTTCCCCCCAATGTCGTCGCGAATCCTGCGATTCTCGCTCCTCCTCCTCAACCTCGTCCTCCGGGCATCAAAGAATTCGTTGCTGCGCACCTTCATGACCTCATCCTTGAGCTTGGGGAGGAAGAAGTCGACGATCTGGTACTCCTTGATGGGGAGAGAGTGGAGGTAGATCTCCTCCATGCTCTTGATCTTGCCGGCCTTCACGAGACGGCCGAGCTTGGTGACGGGCTGCCACTCCTTCTCCTCGGACTTGCCGCCGCGACGGCCACGGCCACGTCCACCACGGCCACGGCCGCGGTCACCACCACGATCGCCACGGGAAGCGAAGCCGCCGCCACGGGGGCCAGAAGTTCCACGATCAGCCATTATGTCGGTTTGCCGGTAGGGTATCGGAGACGGAGGGTCTGTTGCTGGTCGTCGTCGTGGACTGGTTGAGGAGTGCAGGTACTCGACGTTTTTCTCGGGCGCCTGGTGGGGGTCGCAGCTTTTCGCTGCGATTTCTGGATTTTGCTGGTGCGCTCCGCCTTTGGCACCAACCCTAACGCCCACCTCATTGGCCACTCGCGGGTTTTGACCCGCCTGGCAGCCGGAAGGTGGGGTAAATTTGGGGTCACAGCTGTCAGGCTTGGCATAGACAATGAGTGTGCACGGACCAGGCTGTCTGCTTCTCCGCCCAACTGCTTGCTGTAGCTACCTACAGGGCTGGCCGTCGAACCGTCAGTCCCGCCGCGAACTTGCAATCGTGAACCTTGAATGCCGGGGCAGTTTCAACCCGTCATGGGCAAATTGAAGCCCCACTGCGAACATCGAGGTCCCGTCCCTCCCTCTGTTGGCCATCGGGGTTCTCACTCTTGTCATCACCAACTCGTGGAGATTCCAGGATTGGACTCATGTCAACAAATCTTTCAATTCTGTCGATGGTTGTTGCGGACTTCCTCATTGTCGCTGCAGACTTTAAGTGAACACCCGATATCAATACCCATCTGCAAATGCACGTTACCTTGTCGCATTATCAGATGGTTCAGTGGAGGTGTTCGTCTCTTAGTTGCGACATGTGCCTCCAGTCTGTCGGTCTCCATAGACTCATAGAGGCATCCAACTCACACAGAATGACCTGGTATTGCACGTTCCTCTTCCAGGGATCACACGCTGATATGATCAAGAAGAGAGCTGTTTTCTGAATAAGTGCCTAAATGGACAATTCGGTTTTCCTATTGAAGCTAGCTGGAAGAAGGGGACATCATCAGATTCCATCAAAACGCCCATGCGCCGGAAACCTAGCCTATGGTAGAGGATGAACTGAGTACCCAAGTCCAACACATGCTCCTGCGTTCCCGATATGCCCATGGCCATGACCATTTCCCTCGTAGGTAGAATCAGTGAACGCCTAGAGACGCCATGAGATGCTTGCTTGCTTATTTGCGAAGGAAGAACATTCCAAAAGACAAGCCCTTCAAGCCGAGGGGTTGGCGTTCATCTGGATTCGATGATATGTCAGCACAACTGCGACCTGGAAGCAAAACATGAGTGAGCTCTCCTACCTTGCGCTTGCCGCCAGGACCGGTGACAACGTTCACGAAACGGCGAGTGTAGATTTCGCGCTTGTGAGCACGGCCCTTGGGGGTCTTGGGCTTCTCCTGAGGCTCAACCTTGGGAGTCTGAGACTTGACCTTGCCTGAAGATGGGTGTGAGTTTTGGTGATGAAGGTGTGGCGAAATGGCATAAAAAACTGCAACTTACCGGCACGAGCAAGGGAACCGTGAACTTTGCCCATTTCAAATAGTAGTGATGAAGTGGTGGTAAGTGGCTTTTTGTATCTGTTTTTGAGTGAGTATCGGACGGCAAATGGGCCGAAAAGGGGACAACACAAGAGTTTGGAATGATGTGAGGAAGGGACTCGGGATATTATATACCTGTATCTGGCAGGCATGTAAGGTATTCAGCCGTGTCAAACATTCACCGATGACTCGTCCCGTCTATTTTACCTATTGTCTCGAAAAGGGCAGTCGGGGGCCAACCGCTAGTGTAGTGTACCTGGCATGTACTGCGTAGGTACTCCTTCGCTCTGGGGGAATCGCCAAGAGAATTGCCCCCTGGCGACACGAGAAAGAAAGGCCCTGTAACCACCAGTGCTAAACAGTGGGGCCTCAGCATGCAGGGAAAGCACCGTCTCGATTACACTACTGTACCAACGGCGAAAGAGGTGAAATCAACATCCCATGCGAAAGACGGGCAAAAAGCCTACATGGATTATTCAACAAAACAATGATTGATGCATAGGTAGGTAGGTATAAATGCCCTTCATCATTGTTCAACTTCCTCGTACACCCCTCGCAAAGGATTTGCTGCCAGCAAGAGGCAACTTCAACCTCAAGGCTCGAGACGGAATTACTGCAGTGTAGAAGTTTTGGAACGACCCAAACAGGCAAGTTCAATTACAGTCTGAAATGTTCACGTGCGAGCGCGCTCCTTCCGCGACAGACAAGTCCCCGGCATCCATCCATTCATACAACACGACGCTTACGCCGCGCAACGTTAATACCCCACGTAGTTGGTTTAAACGAAGAGTGACTGCGTAACCCAAATACTTGCGCGCGATCGGCCATCGCGTCATCTCAACCCATCATATCCACCCCAAAGTCCGCACTGTTAATTCCTACCTCCAGTTTATTCCAGTTGGAATTGGTGGGAATATGTGGCTTCTCGAAAGTGACGTCTTCGAAGGTGGGTTTTGTCCTGTGTACTACTGTGCTACATGGATCGGCGGTCGCGTCGACGCGCTGCCATGATGCCATCTATATCAGATCAAGAAACTCCATGAGAAGAGATCGCTGACCCCGAACGAGGAAGCCAGACGGAAGAAAATGGCTGCGACCGGGCAGGCAGTACCGCTTTGGTAGGACTGCGGAAAACAGTAAGACTTCCTCGGCACGAGCACGAAAACAGCCACTGACTGGCCTTTTAGCCGATTTTGTCATTTCTGACAAGACAATCTCACGGGAACATATTTGCATTCATGTCGCTGATGTCGTGGACGGCGATGGTGTAGGTTTTCTCGGGCAGGGAATGTTCCGAATTGCCTCGGCTGATAAAGCTTCTTCAGGGCAACATACACGCACGCTCCAAAATCACCATTGAGGATAGGAATTCGAAAAAGGGCACCCTCTTGAACGGGACTCAGATACGTGGACAGAAAGTCGTCCTCACCGAACCAGCCAATGAGCTTATATTGGGTGCCTGTCCACATCAACTTCGGTATGTATAACCCTACACGAACGAACCATGGTGTTACGTGACCTGAACTCACCGGTTTGCTTCAGCATCGTATGGCGTCCCGTTGTTCTCAGCTTCTCTTTTACCAAGAAGGAAATCGAGGCTGGTTCATGGCAGACGCTACGTGACAACCTCGAGCAGCTTGACATCAAGTACATAGGTACTTACGAACAGCTCACCACCCACGTGGTTAGCAAGAAACGCAACACATCCAAGACACTGCAGGCACTGGTCAATGGCAAACCTATCGTATCCGACGGTTTCATCACCGCCATTGTCGAGGCTGCCACAGTGCCTGATGAAGCTGAAACGGGAACGCCCAGTGCATTGGAGAGCACCTTCGATGAGGCCTGGCCCAACGCCGCTGATTACCTGCCACCTCGCGGTGATGAGCCTACCGAACGACCGCCAGCCGATTATGTACCCGACGAGCGGCGACAAGATGTTTTCGCTGGATACACCTTCGTGTTCTACAACCAGAAGCAACACGAGAACCTTGCGCCTGTTGTTCAGTGGGGCAAAGGCAAGGCTTTCTTCAAAGAAGTAGTGGAAGGCGTCACCGAGGTAAATGACTTTGTGCGCTACGTTAAAGAGGTTGCCGGTGAAAAGGGGACTGGGTCATTTGAGGATGGCAGTGACGGGAAAAGAGTCGTTGTGGTGCGACATGCCCCTGGAAAGGGCGATGACGTTGAGTGGTGGACCAACTTCTACACGAGCTTTGCCAGACATCTCGACCATCGGCCTCCCGACCAAAAGGAGTTTCTGGAGGCCATCCTCGCCTGCGATGCATCTCTGCTCCGACGACGCCTCGAAGAAGACACCCAACCTACATCAACCGCAAATCCCACCCAGATCGCCCAAACTCAGTCGGGGGATCGCATGCAAGTCGATCCACGCGACAGAGAAAATGATGAACCTACCCCGGCTCGACGACGAGCTCGCGCAGGTGGTAGGTCTCGCTTCAAGGGGTTCGATTTCGATTCCGATAACGACGAAGACGATTCCATGGCAGACGTTCCTGCTGCTCCAGCTACAAAGGCAACACAATTAGCCGCGGAGATGCCAGCATCGCAAGACAGCCAAAGTCTCTTCGTCTCACAGCAACAAGAACAATTCGATGATGATTTCTCAGGGCAAGAATCACGTCCCGCCGCCGCCACCACACGCGCTACCCGTAGCCAAAAGCCAACGCGTAAACGAGCGCTGTCACCACTGCTCGAGCATGATGTATCAGAATTACTAGATGCCATTGCCCCCACCGCCACCGCCGCCAAAAAGAGGCGCATTGAGGCCGGACAGCCCGCCATCCCCCAGCCGACTCCCGAACCAGAGGGGCCACCAGCTGTAGACGATGACAAAGACGACGCCAACAGCATATCGAACTCACGGGGTAAGGGGAAGAAGGGAGCCAAAAGCAAAGGTAAAAAAGCCGAGAAGGGAGACGGTGACAACATCATCGAACTCGCCCGCCAGAAGCGCGAAGAGGCCGAGGCCCTCGCGGCCGCCGAGCGTCAAGCGCTGCTGGACTCGACCGCCGACGACGAAATCGACTATGCCGCCATCCGCCGCCTTCACATCATCGAGGAGTTCGAGGTGCGGATGCCGAACCGCGATCTCGACAATGCAGAGGAGGGAGAAGAAGGCTTCGCCGACGCCAGCGGTGGCAGAAGAGGAGGGCGCACGCGCGAGCAAGACATTGCCGATGGCAGGTGGGATCCGCGCTGGAATGGCCGGAAGAACTTTAAAAAGTTTCGTAAGCAGAAGCCGGGAGTTGACAATTCTGGTGCCGGTGACGCTGTTGACGAGCGACAGCAGCAACGACGTCTCGTCATCACGCTAGAGGAAGTCAAGCCCAAAGAATACGGCATTGGAGACGATTACTGGCTTGAAGATGCCGGTAGTAATAGTCGACGCAACACTCAGGGACAGGGGGGACAATCGCAGAGTCAAGCCCGGGCTGGGACATTGGCAGCAACCGGCACTTCACAGAATCCGGCCGATAACAGGTCCCGTGGTCTTCCCACGAGAAGGATGCTCATGGCGGTGGATAGTAGTGACGAGGAAGGCTCGGATGACAACGGTGGCGGAGAAGGAAGCACCGTAATCCCAGAAACCGGATCACCACCGCCACCCTACTCAGCGACAGCGGCATCGGAACCGCCAAGGTCGCGAGCAGCCAAATCAGCTGAGAAGGCATGGGCTGCGAGGAGAACGCGGCAGACTACCGC